TCCTTGCATTCGGGAGATACAGTACATTCTTTCTGAAAAATAAAAGTCCAATATCAAGAAACCAAATGCAAAATCGACAGAAAAGTTATTTTAAATTATTATTTATATTATTCGTACAATTCGAATACAAAGTGATTTGTATACACAAATTAGTACTGTCCACATTTTTGCTCTCTTCTCTTTATTGAAAAGCTCATAACTTTACCAATAAATTGAATTTTTTTATATTTTTCTTTTGGTATCTTGACATATGAAATCATATATATCTACTAGACGCAACATTGGGCCACAAAGGGTTACTGAGGTTACCAAATAATGTCTCCAAAGACCTATCTAATATAGTCACAGAAATCTCTGCTGAACGCTTTCTTTCTTTATAGTATGAGGTTTCCTAATGATATTATTAATAATTATTTACCAAATCTAATTTTCACTGTCGATCTTAAAAAAACAAGGTTTAATCCTGGGCAGGCGACCAGGATTTAACCTATATTTTTTCGTGGTGTCCAAAAGGATCCATCCATAGTATGTGGCAAAATTTTCAAATATTATTCTAACAAATATCGTATCCGTAAAATCACAACCGTAATTTTTAATTTCAATTTTATTAATTTCGTACTCAAAATGTTTTACTGACTGATTATTATTTAACTGATTAAAAGGGCTTCATTTTCTTAGAAAAAAGATTTTTTATGAAATAAAAATCCTGCAGATACGACTTCAGACACACTAATATTTGGCTTTTCATTGAACTCACAATGTATTTAACCCCCAATCTCAAAATTTTATTGTGCATTGCAATCCGTTCCCATAACTATCTCATCAATCTACCACATAAAGATGTCGCACAATATTTCATTTCATAAATTCAATATAAAAAACAACATCTCTTTAAAGGCGATTACATTTAAGAGTCTTAAAAGTAGCAAATAACATTCATAAAGAAAACAAAGGATATAAAAAGGATCATAAACAAAACCCGAAAATGTTAACAATCGCATGCCGTTGCCACCAGCACCGCCACCGCTGATGAACTTTTTAATAAAACACTTAAATTGTGCTTAAGGATTTATATAACTTTGCTGAAATTTGTCTTTGTTTGCTCCTCTTCACGCTGGGTGTGACAATGCGACGAGGAACCTTGAGAAACGAAGGCGAGTGTAATATTCTCATTACAGTACAAGAGATTGTTTTCATTTTTTGTAATCATGAACAAAAAAACACACATTTCTGACCTCTTCATTCGCATAAGACAAGACAAGAACGCATTTAAAGCGTATTCAATTATGGCAATGTTTGCTGGACGCTTGTGAGTTTTAATGTAACAAAAACAAAGGCAAACAAAGGATATCATTAAATGTATTTGAATTAAAAAGAAAACCTAAGCTGACCAAAAAATTAACACAAGTAATAGCGGGTGGCAGCCATTCCCTTCAACATGTTTTTTTTTTTTTTTTTTAAATTCCATCCGATCATTTATATGCAAACATGACATCTTACACTTATTATAACATAAATTTTATTTGAAAATAACCATTCAGAAAGATTGAATCTAAATGCAAATGTCCTCGTCTTTATATATTCTATTATAACAATTGTTATGTATGAACAATGTTTGGGAAATTGGCATTGTTCTTTATTCCCTCTCATTTTAACTACTCAGTAAGTAGGGGGTAAATATTAATAATTTTCTTTAATAAACAATGTCAGTTGAATTTAATGTTTTAATCTTAGACTGCATCAGTCACCAAATTAAAAAAAAAAATAACTCTCTTAACTCTATAAAAGATACATCAACTTGAACTTCCATTTTACAGACCATTGTAGTCTAATTTATAATTATTTTAACCATTGATTTAGTGGTTATACCTCGCTATTACCATGTTCGCCATTTAATTGAAACGTGCGAATTGAAATCATAATTCAGTTAACTTTGATACTTATTATCACCGCCACATACACACAAACTCTGTTAAAATAATATCCACTTTTTCCACCATTTGTTTAAATAATGCGACCGATGCCTGCCATTCTCAGGTCAATGCCAAATATATTTTCTTTAGAACTTCGTATTTAGGAACCATGTTGATGTGCCCCATTGTTGGTGCAGTTGAAAAAAAAATAAAATCTAAAAATTAGATTAGGAAAATGGTCCCATTGACAGATAAACCGTCTTACCAGCAATTAAATGTATGAAACAAATTAAAAAATATGCACAAATTTAATCAATTTATTATTCATGCCAATCACTCTCACGCCCAGTCAGTCATGCTTGCATGTGCTTTGCAAGTATGTCTGTGTGATAGTTCGCCTTCTCGTATATTTGCTTTTGCACTCTCGCTCTGCTACTCAGAAACATTACAAAGCAATCTTTTTGGATTTCGTATTTATTTTTCTTCATCAAAGGCCAGGGGAAAATACCGAACAAAAAGAATTGCCAAGAAAATATCTTCTAGCATGGAACAGGAGTTTAGTTTAGTTCTCCGATGAAATGCTGTGCAAGTGAAAATGTAAAACTTTCGATATTCTGTGTGTGGCTGTGTGCGTGTGTGAAGACAACAATGACGACAATGTCACCTCCATTCACTCTACTTTCTCATATCTCACGTACGACTACAAGTTGAAGGAAGTACACACTGGGGAATATTTAACGGCAGCCTTAGAATCATAAACACTTCTTGCCCACTCGCAATCTGCCAATGAAGAAGTTTGTACGAGGGTGTGCAAAGGAGAATGGAAATTCGTTTTCTATTTAAATTTATTGATTTTTTCTAAATAGTATATAGAGTATTGGTTTTATATATATAGAAAATCTACATATATAGATGAACAGAACAAAATTGGAACACTTCCAAAATGCATGTTTGCAGCCCGGTTCTGTTGGGCTTGGTACAGTTCAGTTATGTTAGCATTCGACCATCGTTTAATAGTTGTAAACATATTTTATGGTTAGAACGCTCGAATCCTTTACAGCTAACCAAACTATAGACACAGAAGGCACAAAGTGTTCGTGTATAAGTGGTTGTTCAACGCGCCCGTTTGTGTGTGTGTGTTTAAATGTACAGATGTGACTTTGTGTTAGATTATTTTTTATGGAGCCAAGTGGTACAGTGGTCCATATTCCCCAAAGGAGGTCAAATCTGAAACTTGTGTACAAAATAAAGTTAAATTCTTAAATATGTTAGTTGATGGTGTATGTTGTCGTTTTCTTATTTGCCTATTGACGTGAATAAAAATTATTGCATATATGGTTCAAATGACAGATATGTGCATTTACTATTAAAACGTTATTTTTGGGGCAGGAATTTAATTTGAATATTTTTCCAATTTTAATATCACTTATAATACTAAGTTAAAAATCATACCGGAAGTGCGGCCTCAAGAGTTTTTCTTGCCGGTCTTCATATTCTGAATCGATAGATTGCTTTGCGTGTCCGCCGTCTTGTAATCAGATCCTCGAGGGCAAGGATATTGAATGTTGTTTTTTTTTTTAATTGAATACAAATGATAAAATATTAATATTATTTTAATTTACTTCATCCCTTTATATTAAATAGTTTTTGAGGATTTATTTTACAAACAAATAGAAAAGTAACTAATTGTCTCGAATATCTTCTTTCATATATCATGCGTAAAATCATGCAATAATTTACAATATGGCAGTTGTAAAAACATACCAACGTTTTTGTGTTTCTTTTTTTCAAAAATCGTAAAACAAATATACAAATAGAATATAAATGGTTAAAATGTATAAAAAGTCCTGAAAATGTCCCCTTTTAATTGACTCAATCTTATTTTCCAAAGTTTTTTTTTTAATTTATTTTCCAATTATTTTCAATCCATATACAGGCCATCATAAAATAAAAATTCAACGGTTGTAATCCTTGAAAACAACACTTGCCAATCAATAATTTAAAAGTTTACAATTTGTTTGTCTGGCCTTTATGGTAATGATTCGGACCTGACCCTTAAGCAGTAGACATCAACTTGAAAACTACAAAGTAAACCCTAAAATAAAAAATATTAAATGTTGTATAACATTAAATAACAGTGTATCCAATATATTAAAGAAATGTCCTTTTTAACAAAATATTTATTCATTGCTGTAAATACAAGGAATTGTGTGTGTGGCCCGCTCCACCGTGTGTTCAGCCAAGCAACCAACCTGCTCTTCTTTCAAAGGCCCTTGTTATGCAAATTCTCTGCAATGATTAACATACACTTGACTGATTTCATTGTATGTGTGCATTTATGCAGACACATGTTCGCGATCACAAGCTAGACGTTGCATGTGTAGGTGTGCGATTATGAATACAAATGTTGTCCTTTCACTGTGTGAGCGTTTTAGTTATATTATTTCTTTTTTTGTAAAGCACAAGAAAGTGAAACAGAATTCTTGTTTTAGTTTTCTCTCCTGGTTTCATTATTTTTATTTTTAAAAAACTACTCTGCTAGTAGATGCATATGTGTGTTAAAATTATAATTTAAAGAAGCTTCAAATAAGAAGTGGTTAGAAAATAAATAATAAAACAAATGGGAATAAACAATATTATAAATATAATACTTATAATCCTAGACAACAAATTATATTATATATACAAATATTTCAAGACTTCGCCTATATACCACATACAAAATACTACAATGTTTTTGTAATTTTTATTATTATTTATATAGTTAATTAATTCACAGTCTTAATTTTATATTGACATTTTTTCTTTTGATTTATCTAATATCATAACTTTAGAGTATTATTTATTGAAGTTAAAAGAAAATTAATAAAATACAATAAAATCAAAACGATTACAATAAAAATTAATCAACAAAGACTTCATCAGGTGTAGTCGACAGCTATGGTCTATAGACATTGTACTCGTTAAGCTTCTAAACCGGTTCGTTTTCTTCCGTAGTCGAAAAAAAAAACATTTCGCTAAAATGAACATAAAATCCTTCTAATTCAGACACGGACAAGAAACACTAAAAATCCATTCCAATTTTAAAGGAAAATGACCGATAAAATGGATTCAGTGGCGCGTCCGGAAAAACCTCAGACTTTAGATGGTATACAATCTCGAAATTCTCTCAATGACAACAATTCATCGACAATTTGTTCTGATGTAATTGCAAATCAGAATCGGTCGCGTTCGCGTAGCAATATCGGCACGGATTCGCGTTCGCCGCGGGATCATTCTTCTGATGGTGTCATGAGTACAGCAGCTGTAGGTGGTTCAAATGAATTTGAAAATAATGGTGAAAATACACCACGTCGTGAAAGTTTAAATTACGACGATACAAGTCCGAATAGTCAAAACTCATTGGCTAAATCGATAGTGGGTCGTTCAATGCGTCTGCCGTGTAGTGTTGGTGCAACGACACGGAAATGTGTGCTAACATTAGATGGGTATTCATATGTAATTGGTGAGTATGGAACAAAATTTTTCAAATATTTGTTAATCACAAAGAGAAAAAATTCGAAAAAAGTAATCTTTTAGTTAAAGAATATAAAAAGATTTACTAGGGAGACTCCTAGAGCACCGAAATGCGATACACATGTGGTCATTTCTAGGAAAAGGTAAACCACAGCCGTTGAACTTGAAATGACAACAGTTGTCATTATTTCATTTTTTGCATGCCATAAATACTAATGAAATGACTATAAATGTTAAGAATACAAAAATAAAAACTAAAAACAAAAATGTCGCGTGAGTGACGCAGAAAAATCCTTCGCAAAAAAGACTAGGTTAAATTTTGAAAGTGTAAAAATAATGTTTCATATTTTTTGTTTTTGCAAAATAGTCAGGCTGAATCTCAGTTTATTGTTTTTATAAAAAAACAACAACAACTGAAGTCGCGTAAGTGACCGCTATTTTTTGGGCTTTTATTTCAAAAAACTACAAAAAAAGTGTTAATGGTAAATTGTAAAAATTAATCGTGTTTTATGTATTTAATATTTAAAATGTTATTTTGTCTCTGAAAACGTGAACGCGATCTTTTCTAGCCTACATTCCTATCAACGAAAATTAGTCGACTTCAGAAAACCGAGCATACAAACGTCAAAAAATAAGATAATAAGTATAGCAAATGTATACTCTTTAATAAGTATACTAACGGAAAATGTTAATATGTTAGAGTAAAATACGCAACATGTTTTAACGTATATTATTTCAGACTTCTGGGTTAGCGGCCTATAAATTACTCCTTCCATCATTTTAAAATTTGTATATTTAGTTTTTCAATCTACGGATTTTTCTATAACAATTTTGTGAACATTTCTAAATAAACACTAACCACACGATGTGTACTGTTGTTGTTTTTCAGAGTCCATGATTGGTTCTCCTTCACATAAACAATTCGTTGTCTAATTGCTCTCGCAAAATGTAACGTAGTAAATAATTTAACTAACTAACACATGCATCACTGCCTCACTCGCGAGTAGTTCATTCGAACCCAGTACTGACCATAATTATAAATGATAATTGTTTTGGTGTTGCCATTATTAGGATTTGATGGCGAAATTAACACCGCCATTGACTAGAACACACACACACCCATGTTATAGAGAGCTGTAGCAACGACCCAAACAAATCCTTAAATGCGGGTGATTATGAACTGCCGAGCTTAGTAACGCATATAATTATGTGCTCGTCAGGGCGGGACTTTAGGATAATACTGTAATTTAGCTGAGTCAAGTAAACCAAACACACACCCATACATTTACTGGTAATTAAATATGCAATTCTGCTGGCAGGTATAATGAGGTAAAATTAATTTCTGCAATTGAAATTTTACCAAGTTCAGCCCAGCACAGTAGGATAATGAAAATTACTTATGAAATGGATTTTTAAGTAGCATTTGTTTAAATAATAAATTATTTTTGTAATAACTTTGTTCTTTTCAAATGTCTTCTATTTCTAGGTAAGTGTTTGTTTCTGTGCTCAATCCAACGAATATAATGACACCACAAATGTAAGTAATTCGTTATGGCCCTGGCAATCTTTCATTCGTTTTGTTTAATAAAAATTGTTTTTGTTTTTTTTTTTAATTTTGTTTTACTCGCAATTATGAATTTTAAATGAAAAGGTCATTTGTAAGTGTTGACTCTGCTGTGACCTCTTATACAAGGGGTCCTTTCGGAAATAAATATTTGCAGGCCGGCACGAACATTCGTTTGTTGCCTTTTTATGCTCTTTAAGTTGTCCTTTGGCCAACATAAATAATAGAGTTGGCGACATTTTAAAGGAAACCAATGCCTGTCTCCTGCAAAAGGGGGAATTTTTATCTCAAATTACACTATTATGAGAGTTTTATTAAAGGCTTTTCTCTTAGCATTCAGTGTGAGCCAACACGGGCACTGTTGGCTTGTTGTGAGCTTGTTGCCGATTTGATGTCACCAGCGACCAGTAAAGGCACCAACAAACGATAGGCATTTCGTAAAGTATCTTTGTTGTATCTTTGCCTGTGAACTGACATAGACGAACATATATTATGCCAATGGCATTGTGTGCTCTGACACTTGAGGCCTTGGTAAACACACGGAAACCCAGCCTTTACGGCAGAACCTTCAGTGTGTTCTTTGCACTCAGATGTTGGGCAAACAGGAATTTTGTCTACTTAAGAATTTTTTACTTTGCTCAGACAAAGAAAACAAACATTTCAGAATCCTGAAGTATGTATGCCTCCTGCTACTGCTGTGGTGGGCAGCAACCCTTCTCTCACTTCTATGCCCCTGGTCTTGTTGGCAAATGTAGTTTTCTCGTGTTTTCCTATCTTTGCCCCTCTCCCTCTCCACCACATCACGTTATCCTAATGAAATGATAGTAACCGAAAGAAACAAAGACAAAATTATGATAATGGCACAATTATGACCATATGAATGTCATAAAACGCTGCTTGCCAGTGAAGCGAGGCATCGTCGCAGTGTCGAGGGATTCACCAGAACATGCCATTAATTAATTAAAAGGACCTCTTTAATGTCTTAATACAATGGCGACCACTAAGGATCTCATTTGACCAAGTGTAACCAGAAAAGATAATAACATTGTGGACACATTTAATGGCATCACGTACATACGAGTATGTATGTAGGTGCGAGTATATATTTACTATGTCGAAACAAGACCCAACCGCTTGTAACAGTTGTCAATACAAGTTAATGGTCATACATACTGTATGTTACTGCAATTTGCGGAACATTGAAGTCACAAACAATGAGCCAATCCATCCTTATATTATGGTAATCCCTTTTAAATGAATTTCTGTGTAAACACCGATTTGTAGACGAATTTCTATTAAAAGGTAATACATGAATATTAATAAGCGTATTATGTACTTAAATGTAATTATGATTTCATTGTACGGTATTAGTGATTAAATCTACATATGAGTATGGTGTAGAAGAAATAGCTTGAATGATTGACCTATAATGAATTTACTTACATGTTGTAATGTTTTACAAATGAAATTCAAAAAACTATAAAAAAATTAAAATTTCTGATACAAAAAAGCTATTGAAAAAATAAGAAGATTTATTGTAAATGTAAGTAATCTGAAAAATAATATGAGTTTCTGATCTATATTTATTCGATTTCTCTTAATCCGTAAATGTATAGGGTCTTCTATTGTATAACATTTCAACCTAACATGACTAAGGTAAAATTTACGTTTTTACAATTTTCAGTTATTATTTTTAATAACGATAAACCATTCGTTACAATAATAAAGAACTTGGCAAGTTGTCCGCTTTTGTTAGGTAGAAACCAATTTTGGAGAGGATCCTTAATGGCTTTTCTTTATAATATAAATATTGCAATGTTTCATCCAAAAGAAATTATCTTCAAAATTTGGTGTCTGAAACAGTTACTCAGAGATATACAGATCTGATAGTATAACAAATACTTATTATTTTACTAGGTATTATAAACTGCAAACTAACAAAAACTTTCCATATTCATAATGTAAGGGTCAATAAATGCATTTGAAGATTTTACATATCTCTTTAAAACATACATATTTCATCAATTGTGATAATTTAAATTGTGTATCTGCTATAAAGTAATCTTATCGTCAGCAACCAACTAAATTGTGGTTACTTTGGTGCTCACAGAGAAACAAAAGAATATTCTCATAAATATTGGGGGGTGCGATATACTATCACAATTTTCAACACAATGAAACCTTCCTTTACTACGAACACGCATACCAAATCCGAGTTCAAATAAAGTGCAGATTTTGGAGAATGGAATAGAGAATACAAAAAGGAAAAAAAATTGAATGCACAATAGAACAATGGAATACACTTTTTTCTCGGTTGGTTTTTATGATAAGCAATAAAGTTGTACTAAATCGGGAAAACAATGGAATAATTTGTATAAAAGTTTTAGGAAGAAGAATGATACCACGAAAAAATGCGAAATGCAATTTTGTCACTCAGCAACTACGTTGTGTCTACGTGCCAAGCTGTGTGGGAGAGTATGTTTATACTTTAAACAAGTTGCAAATCACATCGAAATCTGTGTGTGATTCCAGTCACATTTTAAAGTTCATGAAAGTTTAAAAAATGTTTTGTATAAAAATTGTTATTAAATTTATTTTTCGGTTTTGTTTTTTTTTACATTTGCATTACTTGCACAATGTAGTTATAACCTCCACAAAAAGTGGATTCTATATGAAATTTGGCATTCTTCATCAGAATAATGAATGTCAATCTGTCTCGATAAAGCTCGCAATATTTAAAATAGAGCTTTGGCATTTTGCAAATACATTGCTACTACTCCTAGGATGTTTGATTTTGGAAATGGGCTACTTGATGGTACCCCATTTTCGGTATTTTAGCACAATTGAGTGGAAAACTGGGTATTTCGCATTTGCCTGACACCAATTTATAGTGGAAACATACGAATATAGATGTCTGGACAGATATATAAATATCCAGTTAATATCATACCATAAATCAAAGCCTTGGCATATCGGCTGAATTCTCTGAAATGGCGAGTTAGTCCTTTTGGGTTTTTAATATACTCACCAATTAATATGCTACCTCCAAAATCATGTTGCTTATATAGAGTTCTATCAAATCAATCAGTGACATAGTATTCATACCTGAATACTATCTGGCGAAACAAACCACTCCATGCAGCGTTGATTTTTCTTGTTCGCCTAGTATTGTTGTACCACACAATGACTGGTAGCATACAAATATGTACATATCATAACATTCAATATTAGCACATTTTGCTGGTTATCATGTTCAATTTACAAAGAATCGATATTCTCCTTCTTTCATTACATGTCCAACTAAAACAATCCGAATAAGCTTAAACAGTTTGCCACCATCTCATTTGTTTTGGCTGTCATGTGATATGTCAAATTAAATCCATATGTCAATTGTACTTAAACATTAAGTGTTTACAGACCATAACCCCACCCCCTTTCACATAACATCCGCATAGAATTATGTTTGCTGTACATGTTCTTCAAGATCTGGGTCTTTATTTAAAACATAAAGAGTGTTGTTAAAGTCGTTTATCATTTTGAAATATAAATGGCAATTTCTGTGAGCATTCCATGATACAGGACAGAGATATGTATGTCCGGTTATGGCCACGCAAGAAGCATTCACTCAACCCTGCCTGCACGTCTGGCTGCCAAAGAAACGGAAACTGAAATGCATCATGACAAATGGTCGTGCAGCAGGAACAAAAGACTCTGTAACAGAATAATACAATTTATTTTTCTTTCACTGCATCGTGGATAAATGATGTTGCAGATTGCGTATAATAATCATACGATGCAGCGCAGTTCTGCATTTCTGAACAGGCCCCATAGCATAATTAGAGTGTAACCAGTAAAAGGACGTGGAAGATTATAAAATTATTGATATTTGTATTTTAAACATATGGTAGTAAATAATATTTAACTGCCTGACCATCCATCTTGGATCTTTTTCCTAATTAAGTATATACAAATTAGACTGTATTTTAGGAATCGGTCAAATTAAATGAGCATGAGAACATTTTTGTAAAACATATCCTCTTCTCTCCGGAACTTGTGCATCTTTTTCGTCCTTATTCAAAACATAGCATACTGCGAATTCGTCCTTCTGATTCTTAGTACACTTACAAAGAGCTTTCATCCCCATTTTCACCCCCTGACTATGACCTCGATTTTGTGTCACAATGTTCTGAATTAAAATACGCATTAAAAAGTAGATATTAAACAATTAAATATTTTAAAGTATTCAAGAGACGTTTAAAAACATAAAAGTCCACGAAAAATTATTACTGTTCAACAGACTTTAATGGCCAAAAACACTGCTATGTCCTAAGGTAATATATATTATTATTAAAGAAATAAATGTAATATTCATAATTGTAATACCGTCAATTTTATGGAAACAATATGGGCAATTTAACTGTTAATTCAAATATTCCAGTATTGTTTTGAAAATATTGTGTCTGCTGCCTCCTTTATTGCTCCTAATCATAAAATTCCATAACAAAGGTTAATGGCAGACAGTATAGAAATGGTAATTTTTTTTAAATCTATTTGTTGATGTGATCCAATGTCTGGCTATATCTATATAAAAAATAAACTGGATTTCGACTGATTAATTTGCAATAAAATATTAAAATATTAAAGATTAAAGATAAAGTTTAAACATTATATTTAAGAGCCTTTTAAATACATTGAGAGGGTACAATTATACGATAGTTCACTTCAAAATTATTCACAATATAATAAGTTGAAATAAATTGAGTTAGAATATATATATACAGGAGGTGATGCAAATGTGGTATACCCATTTGTTTTTAGATTGCCAAATTTTTATTTTTTATCCGATTAAATTGAAATTTTGCACTTAACATGCTACAAGTGTTGTCTTTCCATGTATCAATTTGAAAATAATATTATTCTAACAATTTAAGAGATATTTGAGAAAATATTTGAAATCCCATAAAAAGTGATTTTAAAAAAAGTGCAGGTAATGTGGTATACCACATGATGTTAATGTGGTATAGTATAATTTTCACTTCCAATTGATATCTTATATAATTTATTGTTTTTAATGAATGCGAATTATCTCGAGATTTATGTCTGTTAAGATTTTTAACGGATACGTTGAGTGGAACTTAAATTTTTATTATATAATAATGTCTACACATGTCAATATTTAATTTTTGTATGGAGAAGTTGTTAAAACTCATAGCCTTTGTTTTTCATCCTTGTGATTCATGGTAGACTCTCGTAGAGTACAAATGTTTCACATAGTAATGAGATTTTGTCTAGTGCTGGCCTTTTTTCATGCAGAACCAAGGTATACCACATTACCTACACTTGTGTTTACTGAAGAAATGTCTAGTTTTTTTCCAAATTGGTGATTATGTGGTGCAATCGCGCATATTATTTGATTTTTAGTTTATACTGATTATTTTAATGCTTTAGTAATAACGATTAAAGTACATCCGTAAAACAAAAAATTATTTTTAAACTTCAAAGAAAAAAAGTAAATTTCATGAAAAAATTTATTTTTGGTACTGATTCTCAACGTGATTTAAATAAATTAAACAGGTCATTGCTATCTTATTTTTTTGAGAACAGCAACTATAGAACATGTTTCAGTTATTCTAAAACTTTCAGTTTACCACATTACCAACCTATACCACATTTGCATCACTTCCACTATATATATATATATATATATATATATATACATCATGCCGACCTCATATTCCCCCCTAAACAAATAATTATTTTTAGGGGGAATATGAGGTCGGCATTTAATTTATAAATCTAATAGTAAATCTTATGTTTGATAATTGAAATTCTTTTACATTTCCACAATAAAGGGAATTTGAAATTGTAAATGTTAAGCAGAGATTTCCTTTTCCTATAATATTAAGTTTCACTAAAATTTAGTTTGACATTTTTTGTTATGTCTCATGTAACTTTGGAAATCCTTGAAAACTAACAACTACAGTCATTACCACTACCTCAACGGCAGTTTACATTTATTAGAACTGAATAGCTTCGACACTGTCGGTACAGAGACGACAATAACAGCAATAACCCCAACTAACACAGAGCAACAAGAGTAGAACAACAATTGTGTACCTACTACCCAGCATAGTATGGCGAAGAGAAGGCTCAGAATCGGAACTAAACATGTTTCCACAATTTCCGCACTGTTCGTTTTCTAGCTCCAAAATAAAAACTACGGAATGACATGGCGTGTAGCTATATTGTGGTTGGAATTTGTTTGGCGCCCAAAAGATGTCAAAACCGGCTGATTGCGCTTGCTAGCCTGTTAGTATATAAATTTGCAAAAAGTACATGAACACAGAGTGCTTAGTATCTGTATGTGATGATGAATTGCCATGTAAAACTTATAGAGCTGTTGAGTTTTGTATGTCTATGTGTGGGTGGAGAAAGCGACCAGGGCTGTAAATGAGTTCCGTCGCCACACACATCTATGTATGTGTCAACAAAACATTTAGGTTAGTTCCCAGCCTAGGTTATATTGTTTTGAAGTTTTTTTTTTATTTTCTGACTAAAGGGGGAAACATATAAGAGGACCTCAGGATTGTTATGTTAATTTGGCATTTTTTAATTTTTGTTTGTGTACGTGAACGGCGTCCAAAATGAAGTTTGACTCTGATATTCGCGCATGTTTTTTAATTTTTTTTTATTCAGAATCAAGGTGTATTTAATAAGGTGTAAGTGACAATCATATGGTTTCAAACTTTTTTCTTTATTGTTTGTAAAGCAAATTGTCAAAAAACATTATTACATTTCAAGTTCAAAAATGGTCTTTAAATTTATGTTTTTTTATTAATACAAATCTAAGTAAACTACATTCATAGAGGCGGACGGAAAGGAAACCTAGGCTCAGTTATAACCCCGTTCACGTATTAGTCCACATATTTTATGTTATGTGTGGAAATCTGTCCAGAAATCCTATCTACTCATAAAATCAAGGAGATTATGTTAGCCTATATTGGAATCGGCCCCTTGGTGCTTGTCACAATTCTAGGCGGAGGTTAAATACGCCTGTGGAAAGATTTTATATGGTCAACACAATTTCCATGATTTAGTCTTTGGCCGGGGATTTATGCCCTTAAATTTTCATTATGAAGGCAAGATTTGATGTTGTTTATATTGTAATCCACAATATAAACAACATCACAAAGAGCCTTTGGCTACATGTGGGTGGCTTAAAATTAATCGCGATCAGGTCTTAAACTTTATTTTTCACTGACCTAAAACCGCCAATAACCCAAGAATACAAAAATTCATTAATTATTCCTCAAAGAATAGTTCTTGACAAAAATAAATTAATAATTGTTTTTGTTTATTTTTGTCAAAAACTTATTGTCAGCATGACAATTTAATTTCTATAACAACAATGTTGTTTTTGTAAAATATTTGTTGTTGTATCTGATGCATACACCTTATTAAATACACCTTGTTCAGAATCATACAATCTACATATGTTATATTTAAGTATGAACCTTAAACAACCTGCACTTAAATATTTTTTCGCGGCCTCTGACGTCATTTGATCAATTTGGAGCCTTTTTTGTACTGTGAATTCTTATATTCGTCTATCTTAAAACTACTTATACCTTAAAGTTTCTTCTATCTGAATTAAATTTTTATTTCATATTCGCTTAGATCAGCAAAACTCTACAGTTTTTAAACCACCACTATCTTCCCACATTAGTGAGACACAGCACAACAGTAGATTAGTATATTTTTTAACCTCAAAAATTAAATCGAATGGAGCATTCCTTAGGGAACATTTCTTATTCTGGTTTAATGGAGCATGCTTTTAGTCGTAACCACAAACTTTAATCTTTTTTCTTATCCTACAAACAAATATTTGTAATATTGCCACTCGAGTGGGAATGAATATTAAACTGATTTCAAATGGATTTTTACCATTATAACAAACCTCGAGTCAAACAGGATTAGAGTAGATGACAGCCAAAACAAAGCCAATAATAGCAAACATTGCCATTATGGTGCTACGGAAATGACTACAACAACAATGACATTGAACATTGACGAATGCGCATTTACCAGCTTCCATTTGTATTTTCAAGGGACTGTGAAAACAAAATTGTATCCGTTCGCATCAATGAGCTGTGTGTACCATTCTGTGTTTGTGTGTCTGTGTGTGTGAATGTTTGGGTGTGTAGCTATGTCGTGGGGCGAAATGGCATCGCATCAGAAATAAGGATGTTTTTCAAAGTTGCATGGGAGTTGTTGTTGTTGCCATTTTCACAAGTCAATCATCGGAAATATTTTCTCGTTAAGTTTTCATGCAATTTCAGACCGAGTCAATTTCTGTTTCCCTAGATTTGTACGTTACGATAACGCTTACGATCAAAATGCTGCCGCTGTCAGACAACTACAATTGGCTTGGCCTAGTCATACTCGTAACTTGTTAGTTATTTTCTCAGGCATTTCAAAGAATGAAACGAAAATCAAGCAGTCTTCATAACAACCCCGCAACCGGCAAGAGCCTTTGAATGGTGTTGATCCTAATGGTGGGAGGAAGTGGGCAAGACGCACAGCGTTTAAATGAGATTCAATACAAATTCAAAAGAAAACAACAACAAAATACTTCTGATGATAATAAACACAACTTCGCTAAGGTGTTCATTTGATTCCAGCTCATCCCCAAGATTCATCCCCCAAGAACGAAAAATCTAAAAGATGTTATTTTCTGTTTTTGTTGCTTATAATTGGGTTTTTATTATCTCCAACAACAAATAAAATCTTAGCCTGGAAAAACAACCACCTGTAAGGAAATGGAAAAGTTTTACAAGGAGCAAGGATACTTTAAAACGATCCGAGTAGGCCGCTGTGGCTGGATTAAAATGTGTGCCAGGGAATTAGTCCAGATGTTTAAATATGTTTTATTTGGAATTTGAAATGGCACGAGCCACACAATGTCAACAGTGGCTGGTGGTTGAATCTATAACCAAAATAATGATATATCACATTGAAGATAACCGAAGTGGTCTAGATGGAACTGACATAAAATATCCAAGTACACACATTGACACGTTCATAGATAATGTCCGTATGTTCAGAGGGCAAATGTAAGCAATCGATAATGGAAGCTAACAACGACATTTTTTTGGAATACATTGGGAATTCTCATAAGATTCTCAATGCATACTCGAAAAAAATTTACATAATGTATTGAAATAGTCAATATATAACTATGTCCTAATTTGTTTGCCTCTTTCGAGTTGAACTTATTAATTTAATTTGCAATATAAAATATAAAGAAGTATTCAATTTCAATATTTATTATTATCTGAAAATGATAATTTTCAAATATACTTACATATATGGCATATGTACAGTAACATACTTATAGTCACAAAGTGCTGATTTTATAGACAAATGTCATTATGTCTTATAATGAATTTAGTGGATATAAATAACTTCAATGTACTAGTTATAGGTATCATTTCTAATGTATTTTTATTAATAATAAAATTTGCATAAAACCAATCTATACGCATTATAACAATCTTCCGTTTAAACCTATTTACATTTTAAGAAAACTCGCGATAATTATATTCGCATCGAGACTTTGTTGATATTTTTACATTCCCCGTACTCAAAATACGGCTTCTTTGTTGAAATTCAGTTTTGTCCATTTATTATTCCATAATTTGTAGAACAAAAGTCCGACCAAAATTACATTAGCCAACTTCACAATGGTCCGCACCAGGGCTCGTCGTTCTCTGCAAATCGACACGAGAACTTTAAAACTGCAAAGTGAAAAGTCAAAATACTTACGCTGACATGGCTTTGGGTATTTGACAGACAATGCCTTCGTGGCCCACTAAGATTAGGTTAATGGCTTTATTTGTCAAGAACTTTGATGTCACATTGTTGTTGTTTTTGTTGTTGTTATCAAAAGTTGTATTGCTGCTGACAAGAAACCTGGCCATTAAAGAAAATGTATTAATAATGTCCTGTTTTCAATTTCGAATTAAGAAAACAGCTCCAGGGTGGTGAGTGTGGTTGGTGATGGATAATGAATGTCTTTTTATTAAAGCGAAGATTACTCATTCGTCATAGTAAACTTGTGATAAATGCTTATGAATAATTGCTTATTTTTTCTATTCTTTCTTTTTTGCATTTAGGAAATGTTAATTTGATTTTGAATTCTTTTTGCAACAGTGCTCTTAGCCTCATTAATTAAGAATCCCGTTCCGTATCTGCTTTCGTCACAAACAAATTAAAGTTCTATCGCAGACAACAGGCCAACAAACTTTGGACGAACAACTAAAAATGGTATATGATTGGCACCAAGACAGCTGCTTCCATTCCTTCAATCAAAACTGCAAAGTGATGCGTATAATTAAATATTGATGATTGTCAAAACCATTTCTTCCTTCTCCAACTGAGAGAGTCTATTGTTAAGGAAGTTTTCAGGGCAGTTTTTCGGATAATTACATCGAAAAATGTGTTCAACTGTTGTCGAAAACGAAAACGTTTCTATGACGCATTTGAAACGAAACTGCATTAACACGGCAATACAATTTCATGTTAATATTTGATTCTGCATACCCAATATATAAAAAATAACTAAAACGTGGGAAAATAATTGTTTGTGGCTTGGCAGTTGTCGAAATATTGTGAATAGGAATTCTGTATATATTTTAATAAAATAACGCTTTATTTATTTATTATTTTTTTATGCAAAAAATCTTTATTTTTTGGAAAATGTGTATGTACGGGACTAAATTCGAGGAATACAAAGGATGAGATACCAATTCCAAACTCAAAATGGCGGGCATTTGCGGATTTGGACACAAATATATGTTCACTTGAACAATAGCCCACCACAAAGAACGCTGTTTTTCTTTTTTTCACAATAAAAGTAACATTCATTTGTAAAATTCTTCATAGAATCGACATTCTTTGAATACAAGCAAATCAGCTTAAGCGCACTCAGAGAACATTACATAAAAACACAATGAATTATTTTATTCATTTTTTGTTTGATTGCCTACTTCCATTGAATTCAACTAATTAAATAAATATGTATGCGAAAAATATTCCTTTGATGAGACAAACATATTTTTTTCATCATCATCATCGTCATCATTCCATTAAAGTGACCACAACTTCAATATTTAGTTAATTACAATGCGGTTGGCCAACCACAAAAACCACTTGGCCACAATTTTGGCCAACAGAGGTTAGGTTCGCTTGTAACATGCAACTAATTAGCGGCATACCATAGGAAATGCTGCATATATTATCAAGTAATGATAAATGTTAGAATACCGGATAACACATACACACATACATATTTACCACATATACGAATGACAGGTTTTCACTCGATGTCTGCCGCCCGGCTAAGTTGATGTCTAAGCTGGTACGAGAAGAACATTTTAATTGCCATTCCATTTCAGTCATTCTCGTCGTCAGTCACAATGTCCGTTTGCGTGCTTATAATCCTTTGCATTTGCACACTTTTCAATATTAAATAAACAATCCCCGGGGAAATTCTGTTAAGAGCATTACTCTATTATTATTATTATTTCTGCTGTCGGATGTGGCCCACCCCTTGCCAAACACGAACCTGCTGAGCTACATTCATAAGTAATTAGCGATAAAGAAGAAACTAACAAAAATTATACTTTTTCAGCAAAAATATTCTGTGTTTTTGTTGTTTATTATGGATTAATGCTATGTGTAAATATACCGGCCTCACTTTTCCTGTAAATTAATTCCAGTGCTTGTTGGGAAAAGTTATTCTTTTTAGTTTCGTTTCCTCGCCGTAGAGACAAACATGGAGAGGAAATTGTAGTCGGAAACAGGAATATGGACTGGTGATTATTCAATCATGCAAACAAGAGCTTCCTGCGGCGTCAGTATGAAGTGTTCAAAATCTTCTTGTGGTATTTCAGTCCTGCAAAAGGATAAACTGGGATAAGCGATGTGGGAAAAAGTATGGATAATGCCTTTCAATCAATAATCAACGAAGATGAAATAGGTGGACACTAGGACACTTTTTAATAATATGAGGTACTTATACATACCCTTTGTCATAAATGGAATTAACGCCGGACACAAGAACTGTCAACTGTTTGATATCATCATCCAACACTTCCAGTAAATTTATCATTTGTTCTTCGGTACTGGTATTGATAATTGTTATCACCGATGACTGGCCCTTAAAGGATCTAGAAAAGTTAAAAATTCAAAAATGTTATAAGGTGCAATCAATGTCCTTGAGTGGTAGTACATAGCCTTAAGTTTGTGACGTAACACAATTTGTTAAGAATTTTAGCTGTGTAAATTTGTGGTTTACATCCAAGAGAAGAAAAAAACTAAATTACCTAACATAACAGTTGCGTTCGTTGATTACTACGCCCTATGGAGAAATTATTATGCTAAAGAACAAGAGAGATTCTTAAATGAAAATATACATTTTCAGAGTCTGCCAACGTCTGTAAACCATTTCGAGTAAAATTTAGATTCCAGAATTTCATTATTTACGAAATTCGAATTAATAGGGAGATTTGTAAGTATATATCCAATTATGGCTACCCACAAAATATTCATTATTATTTTAACTTCTACATATATTCATTATTACCTTATTACAGCAAACACATTTCGTGAAATGACTTCCAGTGTTGTACGACCTTGCTCCATCACGGGCATTTTTCTAAGTTCTATGAGATCTTTGTAAACGCTATAATGACTTTTCTCCATTGATTTTTGTAATTCCAAATTGAGTTCTTCGTAATTGGGGTGGACCGGTAACCAAGTTTTGTCGGCATTAGAGAATCCTTTAAATAAACAAATTGGCATAAAAATTCTTCAAAATCAATATATCCTGCATAAACCAACCTGCATTTTTCTCAGCATTCCATTGGAATGGAGTACGTACTGGATCTCTGGAAACTTCTTTGTAATTGTCCGGGCCAACATTACGTGCCGGTGGATCAACCGTATCTTCCCAGGCTATATCACGAAAATCTTCCATTCCGATTTCGTCACCCTGCAAACACATTCACTATTAAATTAAATCAACGTCCCTACGAAGTTGTTCGCAAATCCTACATTGTATGTCACTGCTACACCCGGCAGAGTCATTAGCAACATATTCATTGCATCGACACTATCCACTCCCAATCTTGAAGCTATGCGCGGATTATCATGATTACTCATGACCCAGTTGGCAACATGATTTCGTGGCATATAGGTTAACCATTTTTGAATATTGAAAACATAATCTCGGGCATCCGATTTCTGAGAAATGTCGGTAAGCAAGAAGAAATTGAATGGGAAATGGGGGCCCTTCGAACCATCAGCATTTTCATAATAATCCATTAAAAATTTTAGATCGGCATATGCCTCTGTCATCATAATGCGAGCAGGACCTCCATGCGTTTCAGTGTATTCATCGAGCAGATTACGCCAGTGATACAGCATGTCGTATACCTCAGGCTACAATAGGCATTAAATACATTTACTAAAGTTACAGTAAGTTCAACAACAATCCTACTTACCAAATCCTTGGTGTAAATATGATCTGTATAAAGATGTGAAAATTTATCTTGAGTTTTTCCACTCAATGGCTCGTCTTTTAAATCGGGATCCTCGAAGAGATGATTAACAGCATCGACACGGAATCCACTTACACCCTTGTCCAACCAAAATGTTATTACATCGTCCATAGCTTCAACGACTTTTACGTTGCGATAATTCAGATCAGGCTGTTCGGCGGTAAACTGATGATAATAATATTGACCTCGTTCCGGATGCCAAGTCCATGCAGAACCGTAAAATACCGATTGCTGAAAACAAATTTTAATAATTTCATTTGAAACAATGTTTTTTGCTAAATAATTTATTGTCCTAAGAGATGGTAAAGAAAACATCAGATGGATACTATATCGTCAGGCCTTTGGTTGTCTGGTTAATTTGTTTTTGGAATTTAAAATCTTCACATCGGATTACTTACCCAATTATTTGGCGGTTCCATTTCACCATCGTCGTTCATTTTACCATCTGCCCAAACATAGAAATCCTCATAGCCTTCTTCCCTAGCAGCAGATTTTATAAACCATTCACATTGATCCGAGGAATGGTTGGGCACAAAGTCCAAAATTATTTTTATATCCAGACGATTTGCTTCGGCAATTAATTCCTCAAAATCTTCCATGGTTCCATATTCCTCGTGAATGGCCTTAAAATCGGAGATGTCATAGCCAAAGTCGATCATTGGAGATTGAAATATGGGGCTTAACCAGGTTGCTGTTATGCCAGTTTCCGCCAAATAACTCAATTTCGACAAGACACCTTAGAACAAAACACACACACGCACACAACTCTATTAGCATTTCACCAAAAATATAAATCATTCGCCACAAAATACCTCTCAGGTCTCCGATGCCATCATCGTTACTATCCATAAATGATCTTGGATAGATTTGATAAAACACTGCCGTCTTCCACCACTCATTGTCGATGTCCGCAATAACATTGCTGGCTTCTTCACTGCTCTCAGATGCTTTCGCCGCCATCGTTTGAAGAGCTACTAAGGCGACGAACAGAAAAGAGAAATATTTAAATGAAAACATTTCCACCGAATACCCGCACGATTTTCTACAAACGAACGACGTTGTTTTCTCTCGATTCTCTTTGTTTGTACTTTTTATGTTTTGCTTTGGCATATTCGCGGGTCACAACTGAACCTTACAGCAATTTGCATTGATGCTTAAATATCGAAAAAAGCCACCTCATTTCGTTGAGATTTTTCACTAATTATTCCATAGTTTTCCACACTTTTTTGCACAATTATTTAGTTGTTATTTTCATTAGCGGAATTATAGTGGCCCGCAATGAGATCGCCTATCGCCAATATTAGTTTAATTAATCGCCGTAATTGTATGTGACGATGTGTGAGATTGTGCGACTGACAACACTTTCCCAAACACGCCAGAAACTACTCAGAATATTTGTGATTGTCGCTCGCTCATTCAACAAAGTGTGGCGTGTTTGTCATGTAGCCAAATATAAAAACAAAATTCAGATTAAAAGGGAATGAATTCGTGTACAGGGTGAACAAAATGTTTGACGACAATTTGAACATTTGGTATGATTTGTTGAGTTCGTAAAAATATCAGTCATCATATGAATGAATCATTACTATCAATATTAGCATACAACATTACCCTATCTTATCGCAATATCGCTTAAAATGTCTTGAGTTACTCTATTTTACTATTTACTATTTAGTTTTAGGAGTTGGGTTCTAACATCAAAAGAAAATGATTTTTATGTTATAAGACCTTAAGAAAATTAAGTGTTTGTTCAAGAATTTTGTGAATTTGATTAAAAATACACTATGGGAACAAAAAAGTTATAGAAACCACTATGGGCAGAGATCCCACTTTTTTGGCCAGAACTAAAGCAGATCGTTTTTGAAATAAATAAATTTTACATTTAAGGGACGCTGATAGCGATTCTGCAAGATAAAGGTAAACGTTTAATAGGGTAAAATAATTTTTGAACACGTTTTGTGGAGTTTTTAATAATTAATAAAAAAATGGCGGATCAAACAAAGAAAAAATTAGATTAAGAAAGGAAATAAAAATATTTAAAGAATATGTGCTACATAATGCGAACCCCCCCAAAAAAAAAAAACATAAATTACCGCCAATTTCGTTGAAGGCTAATATCTTCCAATTCATCATCAGCATGCTGTGTTTTTTTATTAAATATTTGTATGTAATTTTCTAGGTCTATTTTTTATAGACCTAGAGGTTCGGATGCCACTAGGTTTTGAAACTATTTAGATGTTTTATATACTATATTTTTTGATGAGCATTTCCAAATTACTAATAATTCTTACTGTTTAATTCACGGTCATTTCATTTTAATGTTTTGACACTTGCCAATGTTATATTTTCAAACATAAATTGTATTCACAAAAATATGAAATTTTGACTTTAAAAAAATTATTTTCCTCGTTGCAGATTTTTACGAAAATATTATTTGTTTTAGATAATATAGCGCGAATATTTCAATATATCTAACTGTTGTTACTACCAACGATTTGTTCAATCAATTCAAAAAATACAAGACTTTTGAGAAGAAAACGTAAAAAACAGTAGTCAGAAATACCAACTTCTGTTGATTTTTAACGTTTGTAGTCTTGTTGTTGTACTGCATACTGAACTTAAACGCAGATATTACAACTGTCTGAGCCTAATAATTGCACAAGTAAATATACAACGTGGAGGAGAATGTGTCATAATACTCTATTCAGTTAACCCTAAACATGTAGGGCTATGAATTTATAGTGTTAAGGATATTTAATTTTTTTATCTCTCTACATTTTGTAGAGGTCACCTGTCTCTCAAATTCCATTGATGTACGTGTTACAATGAAATTGCATTAAGTTTGGCAAACGAAAATGGCTATCATTCAACTCTAGTACACAGTGGACAGACCGAGTCACAAAACATTTTCTAGGAAATAAAAACATTTGGCAGCATGCAATTTGTTATCAAGCATTGTAACAATTTAATAATTGTTAGAACGATAATTCTTCGATTAATTTCAATTCAGAGATAACAATGCCTTCCTGGCCTTAATTTGTGTTGTCCAGTTAGATAAAACATATTCTGCTTCCATCATAGTGTATCTTATAATAAAAACTGATAATAAAGCAAACACGACAGATCATGAAACTGTTTGATTTGGTTGGTCGGGCAAACTTCGTTTATATTTTGATGGGTATATTCACGTGGTTATGATGTCTAAGTAATTGATGCTTCCCTGTATGTTAACGAACATGTTAAATGCATTACATCCATTAAACTTTAAGTGGAATGCCTAAAAGTATACTTCAAAAATAACTATAAACGTTGATATACATTTATCATGACATATACGTATTATTCCGTTTATGTTACGAGTTGTAGTCCAGGCACACTTCACATAATAATAAATAAAACAATATGGGATATATAAATGAGCGATTCATTGTTCAACTAACAAGGATTGTAAATACCCTCCCTGTATTTAGAATTCTTGCCATTCTGGATATTCACAATTTTATTTCCATTAATTAACAATGAAGCCTCGCTATAAACAACAACCAGAGATGCTATTAAAATCATAGAACATCAGAAACATCTAGTAACTCCTCTCTTTAATCTGTACCCTGGAAAAAAATACATTCTTGCTGAAGTTGCTAAAATGCTCAGAAAACGGAGTCTTAAACAAAAATTATGTGAAACAGAGATATAAAAGAAAATCCCCATCGAACAGCAACAAAAAATCACAAATGAATATTCTGGGGTGAAAGTAAAAGTCAGTCAGGGGTAACTCCTCTTGCGCACATGTATACTCACATACACATCGAACTATATCTGTACATACACACATAGTATTTACTTTAGATTGTGTACGACCTTGTAGGTCATGTTACAAACCCATCCTGATGTTGATGTCCCAACCACAGACAAAAATAGAAATCCCGTCGTCGTTGCCATCGTCGATGTTTGTTAGTTAGCTGCTGTTTGGTTTGTTCTCTTTTTTTTTCATTTTCAACAATGAAAATGCATCTAAGCGAGAAAGGAGAAAAGGGCGTTTTATGGCACCACCAGATAATAAAACTGCAACAGAGTTGTTTTAAAACAACAACAAAAAATATATATGTGTGTCGTAAAAACGAATTGAGAATTGAGGTTGTAAACTATAACACCTTTGCAACACCCACTCGCACAACATACACACGTCCACCAATAAAGTTAACAATGTTTGCAAATCCAATACTTTAACGGTCGGTGCTAACGGAAGTAAGGATTACAGCTTAAAAGGTTTTGCATAAAACATTTCATTTATTAAGATACAAATACACTCAGTATTTCTGTTTCAACATTACAAATATTTATTTAAAAACAAAATATTTTTTAGATATATAAATTAGATTGATATCCTCAAATTTGATTTGCATACGAATAGAAAATTTTGAATATTTCGTCATTAACAAAAATATACAATATCCACGAGAAGAATTTTTACAACATCAATTGTCTCACATACATGTTGGTTCTGCCTTTTGTATTGTGAACGTTCCCTCCGAAAATCCCTTAAAAGATATGTCCTTCAATTGTTTGCTATCTAGTGAGCAAAAATACTTCGCTGACGGCTACAGTTGTCCGCTATGACAATGACAAAAATTCGTGGCTTTGTTCAAATTTGCTGAACAAAATCCTTTTCATCCTTGAGGAATGACTGCTTTAATCGAATTTGTAGTTATTCCATGCCTGGAATGGCAACGGCATCGAATGTGAGTGAATGTGAAATAAATAAATTCTTGGAATGTTTACACGTTTTGTCAAATAGAAATAAATGAAATTTACTGAAGGCTTTTAGACGTTCGTTATGGGTCATGAGCTGGCATATCCTCTCGTTGGAATCTTAAGGCAACAACACCTACAAAACCTATACATGTGTACGAGGATTGTTAAATAAATATTGTGAATTTCATACTTCTTAAGAAAGTGTTTATTATTCAAAAATAAATATAAACTTATGACACGCCATGATCTGGCAGAGCAGAGCAATGCTTGTTAGTCTAATCTTTGCAGCAGTACCGCAATAATCAATTGAATTATTTGATCTTTATTGTAAAAAACCGTCACGTGTTCCGACACTGTCCATAAATATCAACAATATTGTTATGCCTTTCAGTGTTCAAAAACCAATTCTAAATTTAAATTCCCAGCCTCCATATTATGTTGGGAATTTATAACACAAATTCTATCGTTATTACTTTTTCCGAAACGTCTTAGACTTTAAAGAGATTCATAAAAGAACTTAATTTGCATATTTGGTAACCAGGGCAAATGGATGGGTGGTAGTAACGTTGCTAAAAGGATGTTACCAACCATTCTTATAAATCTATTTCATACATTATAATTCTTCTTCTATGACCCTTTTTGGCATCGGTAGGAAATAAATACAACGTTTGTGGCTACATTGAAGAAATAATAAAAGGTGTATTATATTGGTTTCACAACTCAAAAAAAAGAAAAACGTAGGTGGAACACCACATAAAAACAACAAGAAAAAAAGGTTGCCATGGATTTCTATCCTCCACACAAGAAACGAGTTGATTTCCTTTCATAAAAACCATTTTCAATGAAAAATCAGGTCTGCATAATAAATTCGCAGACTAATTTTGTGAGCAGCTTCCTTGTACTGTTCGCACGAACGCCTACCAAACAACCCTTCGAACTTTTCCAGCCTACATACTGCTGTAGATAGATTAATTTATATTTTAATAGAATTGTTTATTGCCCGCTTGAGATAATGAACATTATTTCAAAGAGGAAATATCACTAATTAGTAAAATCTGCTTTGCATTTCATCTGCTACGTTGCGATGTCTGTCCATCACTTTTGAGAAGCACAACAATAACAACAACAACATAGAGAAATAACAAAAGCAGTGCAATATATATTCATTTTCACGGGCTCTGAAATGAAAACGTAATATTCCATTCAATAGAATTTGTATCATTTGTTTGAAACCGCAATTTTAATTGCGTCGTGACGATTTATAATGACATAACGGACTCGGCACAAGTAGTTCGAGTTATAGTCATGTTTTTCGACATGTTTAGAATTAGTTGAATTGTAATGCATAGAACACAGACTCTAACATGAATGTTAGACGTTAATAAATCTACATTTTCCCGGTAAAAATTACTCACTAACATCCTTCAAGAGAGTGTTTGCTCTCTCAAGGACTGACTTCCAGTAAAGAAACCAGTTGATATACCCTGGAGTTCAAAACTGAAGCAGCTGCAGAAGCAGAATTGCAAACAGAATAAATGACCTGTTACTTTTTTTAAAAATAAACTTATAGTGCCTGTTTTGCAGAAATAAATAGATAATTAATTCACTTAAAAACAACAAAAAATATAAACGCAAAATTTATTTTTGCAACAAAAATTAAATTTATTTTGAAAAACCATACACATAGGTATACAATTTCTAGCATCCTGAACCACTGGGAAAAATTTATTTATTTATTTTTTGTGAATCTCTTTTAAAGTTGTATCTATGATACTCCAAAGATTTTTCTATAGGTTGAAGATTTGATAATTTTGCTGGTCATTATAAAACCCCTTACTTTTGACCACCACAACCTATCTTTGACAAGTTTCGATTTAAGTTTGAGGTTATTGTGATGCGAAGGGAACTATAGCGTTTTCCAACACATTTGTATAAAAAATCGAATCCATTACTTAACAATTCTCGTAAAACAGATCGATCTTCATAAAAAGGAAAACATACCAATACCATTATTGCTAATATTGCAATACAATGTCTTTCGACTTAAATTTTTGACTTTCTCATGGTATTTTTTTCGTGTCTGAGCCTTTAATGTTAAAATTTAAATCATCAGAGGACATAACATTTCTCCGGTGAGTCGGATTACAATTAATATGAGCTTTTGCGAAAGTCATCCTGGCATTCCGATTCTATTCTATTTTTCAGATATTCAGCTTCATAGCTCCTCCACTGAGGTTGTACCCAACCATAACCCTCTCACCAATTTCATTGCACTCTTAAATGGGTATTTTTTACTGATCAAAGTACGAACTAATATTTTTTGCGGCCTCCCTCTGTGATTGCATAAAGTAACCTTTTTTTCGAGAAATCATTGATTTATTTATGGAATATTTCTCCAAAATAACTTTCTGTAGTAAATTATTTTCGCAAATTGTCAGTTGCAACAATTTTGGCCACCAGTGTACAAAATATATATTTCCATTATAATATTTGTCGTACATTTCCAAGCCAAATGGATAAATGTTTTTAGTCGATTGATTTTTCAATGTGTGATACTGAAAATATTCAAAAAATATAATAACCAAATTCTTGCTCGGATTTTTTAAATTTATTCACATCTGTAAATGTAATCGATAACTACAAATTTTATATTGCTTAAAATTTCTTAATTAACGAAATTGGTAAGTTAACTACCAAAATACAGATAAAACAAGTTAACATAAATCTTAATTATTACATTGAAAATATGTGTTTTAATTATTATTATAACATAAAAATTATATATAAAAAAAAACATAATAACGATTTTTATAGTTTATTAAAAAAATAACAAGAAATCTAATTACCACCATTGCGTTTATAAAAATCGTTTCTTCTAACAGAAAAATATCATTATGTATTTAAATGCATCCGTTTACAAATCTTTAAATTTATGGAAAGTATTGTAAAAAATAATGGACAAAGGGTGCAGATTTTGCAGTAGTATTACTGAAAATATACGAATTGTTAATGGAAAAAATGACTCTAGTTTTCAAGTACCATCATCTGTTTTTTGATTATATATCACAGCTATACAAAATTCTGATCTAATTTTTAGAATATTCATACCACATCAAAACAATTGAGAAGAAAGCATTATCCTTCAATATTACATTTGTCTTAAAAGGGAAACATACATTTTTGTACACCAGCTGTTTTCCTTAGTATTTTGTTTGTTTTTCATTGTCGATTATTTTACTGGAAATGTAAATAAGTGTTAACATTGTACTAATAAAAAACAGCCTTTCAATTAATAATCTAATATCTAATATGATCTATTGGTTTTGCTAGTATTAATATTATAATATTAAGGTATTCATTTGAATTCATATTGAAAATTAGAGATTAACCTGTGATGTCATATTCTGCATAATTAAGTACTGGTTCATAACTTTTTAATAATGAGATATTAAAACATGAATTTTGCATTTGGCGGAATAGCACATTATCTCATTGCCCTACTCCGTTCTCGATATTTCTCTACCGTCTTCACCCACGAAATTAAATTACTCGTCACCAAAATCGGAAGCTGTTGGACTCCTCTCTTGTACAAACAATTTAAACGTCTAGAATATAAAAGCAAACCGATAAAAATATTTATCTAAACAATTTGTTTATATTGTGAATCACAGCAGCTCGAGCCATTAAAAAGGGTAAATTATTGTATATATATATATATTTCTTATTTTTATCGCTCTCATATTTTAAAGAAAAACAAATATAAATTTTATTACAAAACTATTTCATACAATTTTTGCAATTCACATAATTTCTTTAATGATGATTTAGCACCCAGAACAATCGATCGAGGTCATCCAGTTATCAAAAATATTGGTGGACAAAAAAAAAACTCTCTTAACGATTTCGAAAAAAAATTGTATTTATTTTGCATTTAACCAATAGAATAGAATCTCATTGAAGAATGTGTATGCTGCAAACTATTTGAATTTGGTAAATATATTCCGGTCACAGTACTCAATATCTAGCAGGGCGCATCTTTAACGCTGTTTAGGACACGTCCCAATTTTCTGTATTCACGCTGGGTGCACTCGAATTCACAACGGTTGACATAGGTAATTCCGTTTGAACCACAGACAGGCTTTTTATTTTTCAAATCACAGGGACAATAAATGGCCTGAGTGACGCTCATCAGAGCACTCAAGCTTAGGATGACGAACAGCAGAACGCTGAGGTACTTCATGTTCACAAACGCGTAACGTAGATCTTCGCTCGTAGTTAGACGGAATAACACTGAAATAAGTGTGCTCGTTGTCCGGTGGGTAAACGTGCAATGCTGATGTTTAACACAACTAAAACAGAGCTTGCAAAACAAGTGGTTTAAATGGTTTTTATTTTATTTGTTGTTTATTAACTCTGAGTATTTTCGTCTTCGCTCATATAAGTACTACTGCCAGCGATAGAGTGTCAGTTTCAATGTTGCCAATGTGTGGCATACAAGATCAACATTAGTGCTGAAAAAAATTACTAAACATGTGTGGAATTATATTAAGTGGTATAATTTTTTACCTGACAAACCCTTCAATGAACGTTATTTCTATATTTTCACAATATATAAAAACGTAAACATTCGAATATAAACTGGTAAGGAACATGCCAAAGTCGGTTGAGGCCGACTTAGGTATATATTCAGAATGATTTCTTGCGATTTTTATTGGAACCGATTTGAACCAAACTTCTCGCCTCTTCTTATACATTAAGGTTAATAATATGTCGAACATTTTGTGTCTGTTAGTTCGGCTCAATTCGGTCACCTTGTACAAATTGCATGTGGTTTGGGCAAGTTCATTGCCATTTATGCTACTTTCCAATGCATATCGGAATCGTCACAAATAAACTCAGAAAGTGATTCCCATCATATTCTCAAAATGAATGGATTATTTTACACGCTACAAGAAATGGACAATACCATAGTGTGTTGTATGACATAAAAACGCAACATTAACATCATTCAATTTGTATGTCTTAAATGCGTACTTGTTGAAAAAGAGATAAATAAATAAAATAAAAATAAGTAGTATACTCACCATTTCTCTCATTTTTTGTTTGTTTTGTTTTGTGTTCTGACTAAGGTTAATTCATTGCCTTACTTGCCAAACTAAGTAAACAATTATTAATTAAACTAAATAATTAATGAAATGCAAATTATTCAAATTTTGAATATCCCAATATATATACTACATATACAATAACATACATAATTGTAAATATCTGTCTGACGTGAATCAGCGAAACACTATAAAAAGTAATATTGAAAACAGTAACTTCACTTATTCATCTGAATAATCAAATTTTCGCCAATAATTACGATTTTATAAAAAAAGGCATTGAACTGCCGTAAATATGATTGAAGCCAATCATATTGGCAGACACGGTCTCACGTTATTACCATACAACGTTTCGAAGCGAACATGTTTGCATTTAAATTAGACAAATAACCATATTTTGCACGTTTAAGAGAATACGGCTATGAAAAGAGTCAATGTTCGGAATTGATTGAGTGAAATTGAAATTTAAAGCGTTTTTTGTTAATTTTTTTTTTTTTTTTTTTTGTTGTCTCAAACGTTATCTTAGGCATTGTCAGGGACGTATCACTGAGGGGGTTTTTTTAATTTGATTCTGCTTTTATACTTTATTTAAAAAATTGTAATTAAAATTGATAATATAATAAAATAACATATTTCCTAGTTAATGAAGATTGATGCCCAGGGATGGCCTGTCAGAAACAGTCGGGTAAAAGACATACATTTCCGGCGTATAATACATACGTCAGAAACGTCGGAAACAAACACCCAAAACCATTAGGTTTTCGAAAAAATAGCTATTTCCATTTATCGATTTGGAAATAACGTAAGCTTTTTTATCGATTACTGACTGTCCAACAACCATAAATATTTTTGTGGTTGCCTGATGAATGACAAACATGTGAGGCCACACTATCAAACAAGCAAAATTTGGGCAAGAGTGCCATTCAAAAATGCTAGTGTGTACACCGCATTACCCAAATCCATATAAAATTTCAAAGTTTTATTCTCAAAAAAGTTTAGAATTTTTTATCAGTTCTAGTACAGAATAGCCAGATATATGTAAAAATAATATATGTTCTTGAAAATAACTTTATATGGTGATAATATTCAAATAAATCACGTTAACTACATTTATTACATTTTATACAGGTATATGACGTTTTGTCATACGGACCATCCCTGTTGATGCCCTTATACATTCTACATTGTAAAGTTGAACATACAACATACATTCAGTTTCTCAACTTTTCGTTGTGGGGAGTACGATCAGAATAAAATTACTATATATATCGCAATATTGCAGGTATTTCTATGAAGTTTGGTATTGCAAATGGAATTTATCGGTAATTTTATCAGTTATTTTGCATTTTGATATCGAATATTAACATCTCGATATTATTCAAGTAAAAACCAAAAAAAAAATGTACAGACGCCATATAGTTTGTAACCACAGTGACATTTCACCTATTTACTCTAACTCTCCGGATCGAGCACCTAGGTACGGAGAATATTGGAGCAAAACACTTCAAAGTCACTCATTTGAAAACTAAAAATAGAACAAAAGCGTTAACTGCACTCAACTGCAAACTTCTTATCAATAGCCCACATGCCTGATAATACCAACAACTCATTCGTTCCGACTACCGCGCTCTCGTAATTATTCAAAGTCGCTAACAATAATACGGCTCTATTATCATTTCAAATGAATTTTGTGGGCACTTTTCACACGTTATCGGCTACAATATGGAATTGACACTTTCATTAAAAATCAAGCGCGATTCGTACATAAATACATACCCAGCAAAAGTCCCGATGAAAAGCAAAATACTAAAACGATTAGGGGATAGGTGGAGGACAGTGACAAAGACAACAAAAATCCCGATTAAAAACTCAATACTAGAAATTTCCCATCCCCTGCGCATGTAATAAGTGTCGATTCTTCGGAAACCAAACCAAAGCCAATCCAAATAATACAACACATCAAAATGCGGGAAATAAAAACTAAAACCTCTTCGTTCTATGACGGATCACATACCTACATACCTATGTAGGTATGTTTCAAAATATACCAAAAGATAAGATAGACACGTCAATACGCTCTGCGGCGCAGTTCAATTCCAACCGACAGATATCATTTATCAAGACAAGCAATCACCTACTGTTTGGGTCTACACTTTTGTGACTAACGATTTAGTTAGCTCTCATATTCGAAACGCTAAGGATATTCAGAAAGAAAATAATTGCAGTTAATCGCTACCAAATAAAAATGAAGTTTTTGCAACTATTCTTTGCATTGGTGTTGGTGATCTTCGCCTTTAGCACACAATCCACTGATGCTGCATTGTGCCCATGCCCACGCAATTACGATCCCGTATGTGGCTCCAATTCGGTAACCTATTCGAATCGCTGTGAATTCGAGTGCTCCAGACGTGAAGTGGAACGTAGTGGTCGCAGTTTGGGTTTGGCTCGTTCCGGTCCATGCTAAGCAGATGAGCAAATGCCAGTGGAGGATGAAGGAAGTGATCTTTAAAAATTGATTATTCAAAAAAGATGGGAAATAATAAAGTGATTTTTGTGCAAAAATAAAATGTTAATGCAAATCAATATTGTGTTTCTGTGTGGTGGTTTCTAAGAATATCATTTATACTAGATTAGATAGAATAGCACGAATTCCGTAATTCATGACCATACCTATTTGTGCCGAATGTCCATAGCTCTTTCAGACCCAGCTTAATCAATTGTGAGATCTGACAATTAATATTTAAGAGATGCTAGTATAAACATGTGCATGGGTCTCTTAGTATTGCTTTGTAACCACATTAGAACATAGAAAATAAAAACAAATTGGGAACGAACTCCAGTTTCAATGTCTCCACAAATTAGTAATCTATTTGGGTGTGAAAGGTATATACGTTATTCCTTCTTGAAATCGAAAGGGAGTGCTTAAGGGGATATTTGAATCATTGTTGTACAACATAAATACAAAAATATATAGTTGGTTAGAATTAGAATTGGTTATTTTATTTATAAAATTTATTTAAGTTTATATGTTATGTGTGTTTATAAAACCACAACAAACATATATGGTTTCTGAATTGTCGACTAATTCAACAAATTCGCATTAAAAATAGATTTTAGTTATTTGCATATTGTATTAGGCACCCAATAATAATAATAATAATAAATTGCCACAATTAAAAATTTAACGTTTTTAATTTCAACGAGTTTAAAGTAGGAAATTAATTGAATGAACACAATTTTAACGAAAATACATTATTTTGACGCATATTAGCAGTCTGATGTCCTGACATGAAGACCCAAGTAATCATATACTAATATTGGATACAAAGTCATCCCCGAGAAGTCAGGAGTGAAAAAGAGCCCCAGTCAAATGGATGTCTATAGACATAAATTTGCACTTTTAAAAACCGATATTGAGCTACATGTTTGGAACAAATCTTCCATAGCTCTTCCATATACTACCTTAAATTTTAGTTTCAGGGGTTTGCAAATACCAACCCCTGTTGCAAATACAAATTGGACTATTTTGAAAACATGATTATAAGGACCATTTGTTCGGTACATAGACCACATGTCTTTATAAATATCAATTGGCATTTATGAACCCCAGTTTTCTCTATACAGACGAATTGGCCTTTATACAGAACTATGATCTCTCAGCAGACCTATGGTATCTTTAGAATTTCAATAGGTCTGTTTACAGACCAATTGGTATTTGTAAAGGCCTGTGGTCTCTATACCAATAAATTCGAATATATAAACCCCTGTGTTCTCTATACAGACCAACTGGTCTGTATACACACCTATGGTTACTGTGCTGACCTGTGGTCACTATACACAATTGAACATGCGTGGTCTGTAATGAAAAGGCGGTTAAGAAATGAACCCCAGAAACTGTAGGAAAAATTAGTGAAATATCGAATTCTACCACACCAAATGAGTGCAAAACTTGAATAATAAATTAAATGTCATAAGTAATGGAATAAATGATAATAAATAAAAGAATAAATATCATTAAATGTTAAATTAATTCCTTTTAATTTTATTAAAAATATAGATAAAGAATTTTCAAAATAAGCGATTTTATAAGTTTTTACAAGCAATAAAAAAATCTTTCAAATAAAAGTCGTTTGGTTAAATTTGTTCCACTTGTATGGGAGTTTGAGAGATTTTAATATTTTAACATGGAGTACGAACTTTTAGTGGTTAGGGTTGTATTTATGGATTTTTCATAGAAGGACAATTTTGTATTCCCCGTATTCAAATTTCTAGCATTAATTTTTAATTGGAATTTTTTATTATGGAGCATAACAAATTCGGATCAATATTTGGACATTTAATATCCAACATCAATTATAAACGAAGTTATGATTGGTTCAACCGACGTGATCCACAGTTGTTACAAAATAATGAATTGAAAGTTATTTGTTTCTTGATGCACAATGCCGATTCAGAAACCAGATTTAATATAAGGTCGTAAAATATTCTGCATTGTATTGTAGTTGCACTCAAAAACAGATTCCTGTTATTTGTACAATACATGCAATTACCATTCATACATGGTAAAATCATCGTTCCGTTCGATCACGCCTCAGAACTTTAAATATCGAATTTCGCCAACTGTTTGTATTGCTCCTAAATAAATGAATGCCAAAACCAAGAGTGCTAAAATGACACATGCATATAGCTGGAATATCTAATGCTTGTTTCGTGGGAAAGCAAAAACATATTAACAATGCGGTGAACTATACATACATATATCTGTATAGATTAACATTAGATATAAACAACGTCGGTCTGGTACAGCACATACTACATAAAATAATAATATAGGGCAAACATTTTGCAAATCCACACTTCTATATATATACGTATGTTTTGCTAACTTATCTTTAAAATAGAAATTCTCGCACTTTACCAGAATATTCTACTACTTCAGTGGCATATCATTTTTCATCGACCATAGACACAAATCTTATTATTTTTTGAAAGACCTTCGTATAAAAAATTGAAACACTTATGATAATCACTTCAGATATTTTGTTATTTTTATTAAAAAATATAAAATTTGATAAATATAGGGTTGCCAATTTAAATTCGTTGTCTCGAAATTCCCGTGAGTCAATTTTAACACTGTCCAGCATGAGCCAAGCCAATACTTCTTCCACGACGAGCTAGTTTCTTTTGGGCGCACATAAATTCACAGGGATTTGGATAGGTTTGCGAATCAGTAGCGCAAACAGGATCCAAAATACGTGCACACTTGCAAACTTCACCATCTGCCTCGGTTTCGCTGCCAAGACCGGCCACACGATAATCGGCCGAAACGAAGGCCAGCAAGGCCATTAAAACAAATGCAAAAACTGCGAATAATTTCATTTTCCTTGATAGGTTCTCTGTAATTGGGAGTGTTTACAACACCGACTACTTGAATAAACTGAATGGCCAAGGGCGAAAATTTCCTGGTTATAAACAACTCCTCTACAGTTTACGTTAAAATTCTGTGGGTTTTTTGGCTGTCGAGCGTGAACGTGATAAGGAAAATTTTACGAAACCCAAACAATAACAACACGGCAATATATTTTATTCAAAAAAAAATAGCATTGCTGACTTATAATGGTTAGAAATGATTAAGGCCATTGAATTATAAACAACAGTGCACGAGGTAACCCAGCAAACAATGTCACATTGATAAGGAAAATGCATAGTGTTGTAGGAGCGGGGTGGGACTGCATTTCACACCACCAAAGGCAAAAGACAAATATATGTATATTATAACTAATAGTTAATAATAATATGTTTCATATGGACGGACAAATGCTAAAATGTTGTTTACATTATGTATGTGTGTTATCTGTATAATATGTTCTGATATCGCTAGCAAAGAAATCTTGCATGCTATCACTGATGGAATATAAACACGTAGCCTGTTTACTGTGGTAACTCCAAATCAATATCGACATTAAGTACCTAGATTAGAAATTAGCACAATAATATTGAAAATATATATACACGTTTGATACTCCTGCATGAATCATTCTGTTTGGTGCACACATCATATTATGAATCATTGTAATCGATTTGAAGTCCATACATTGCAATATTGGCCATTAACAAACCATCTCCGACGACCCCATTCAAATATTTTGGGGCTCAAATATGTACAAGAAAACCTAAATGCGATTTTCGTTAAAGGATCAAAATACAGAAAAAACACTCCAACATTCCCCAGAATAATCCCTTCTACCGTGAAATTGATTTCATCTCAATATGGTAGTCAAGTACAAAAGATTCATTATTTTCCCCTTATTTTCATCCTTTAAATAAATTCCGGATTTTATTGTACCACAGATGTCCTCCGCATTCTATTCTCTCTTATATTCATTTCAATTTTTCCCAAACACAATGCTTCAAAGTCATAAATGAACCCCTTTTGTTATAACGCACAACAGGTGCATCGAATCTATGAAAACCTATTTTCGTGTAATTTCCCATTACAATCGCTTTTGGAATTCTCCCCAGCTTCAACTGGGATTCGGTTACCCATACCTTGTCTTTTTTTCTAAGCGACTTAAAAATGACTTTTTGTTATTAATTTTCAATGACGCACAACCTCTGGCTTTTTGTCCTTTGAGGAAATGAAAATGTTGCCAACCTTTTGTGGACAAAAGCTGGTGGTGCAGAATGGTTTCTATTTTTAATTGAAAGTACTTTACTTGAGGCAACATATGTTAGACACTCAAATGGGAAAATTATATTAAAGGCAAAATAACAAAACGATAAATCTTTTTACAATGTAATTTTAGAAAACCCTAATAATTCCTATGTTATTCTTTCTATTTGCAGTTGCCAGCACACCAGAAAATATTCCAAAACGAGAAGATTCATCTTGTGCGACCGGTGTTGGAAGTGGCAATAGTAATAGCGGTGGCATTGGTTGTTCCCTACAGAGTGCTAGTGCGCAGAGTAATCAATCAGAGTGTGGTGGTTCCAGTACACAAGCAATTCCAGGGGCTTCTGGAGGTGGCAATACAACTTGTGGCAATAATAATACTCAAGATTTTTCCAAGATCAATAGTCCTTCCGGTGCTGATGGCCAATCGGAAAGTGTGAATTTCTCAATTACAAACAACAGCATTGTCTCGTCTATCAATGGTCAAGTTGCACGTAAGTAGATAACACATGTATCTGACAAAGAAACAAAATTAAAGCCTCATAAACTAATCTATACACTAAGCATTAATAACATACATTTGCCATCACATAACATATAATTCTAATTGGAAATACTTACATGAATACAGATTTGTGATGAAGTTGTTCTCTTTAAATTGTGGAATACACAAATTCATCAAAATGTTTCAATTTAAAACGATAAGTATTTGCTTTTCGTCATCGATTACTTGTTATGTTACATTTCCGATCCGAGTTACTCAAATGAAATGAAGAGAAAACCAATACAAGACAACGGTTTTTGGTTAAATCATTTCATTGTTATAGAAATCTGTCAGTTCCATATTTGTTTAATAAAACGTAAAAAAATGTCTGCCCTTATCAATTCAGGCTTTGCCATCATTAACTCGTAATTCTAGAGCTACCATGACTCACGGATACGGATACTTATACACGCAATGTACATACACAAACATGTATGTATGTGTAGGTAAATATCTTCCACCATACACCGCTTCGTTTACTTCATACACATCTTCGTTAGTAAATGGACCTTTTGGGATACCCAGAAGCGACTTAAGGCAATGTTAGAATGTATAACTCCCTAACCAACCTGGTGTATCAGATTGATCCCGGCCCCAGGCTTTAATTACATGGATACAGTTGAATCTGCACTCAAATTGAGTGCCTATCGTATGGCAAAAAATATACTTATAGCAAAAATATTACAATTTATTTGTATTATATGGTTGAATTTGATATTCGGGATTAAGACGTTGTGAAATAAACTATTTGAAACAAATAAACATATTCGATAATTTAATTTGAAATTGTCATTCATTAATTATGATTTGAATTGCACTTATTATGGGATATTATGGGACCGACCATACGATACCCTACACAACTACAACAGAACCTGGGTAATATTTCGTGATAGTTGCACTCTCTTGCCCGATTAAAGGTCAACATCACCTCTTCCTTATACTGACATATTTTCCGAATATTACCAATATTCAGTACAGCTCTTCTAATAACTTGTCCAAACTCCCTTCACCGTGGGTTGTTTTGTGATGTTCGGCTTATAATTGCAGCCTATATATCGAATCGAAAAAAAGTTTTCGGTCCACTTCATCCCAAAATTATTATATGATCATCACCGAATTATAGACGTTGTCCTTGACCATAACTGGAACCTCATGGAACATTTCAAAGCGATCAGCGCTATATTTCCGCCCTCTAGTGTGGTAATGGGTTACTAAACAATATCTGAATAGGTAAGCACCTGTAAATATTTACTTGTAACTCCCTCATCCGAGTACATACGACAATATAATTGGTATCAATTTAAAGGCCAACCACTCCTCTTGGATATACTATCAACTTCTCGGGTCTGTGTCCTTCAGGAGTAAATATATAAGCTATATAATACATATTTTGTAATTTTTCACACAAAAGTCGGGGTCTATTTGACCCTCTAAATATTGACCGATCTTTATCCAAACAGGCATGCTTATTCTTTGGCCCAATCCCCTTCTACATGTAAAAATTCGATAGGTTTGGGCCAGAATTGCGGCCTCTGGAGCGACCAGAAAAACCGACAAAAGTTAAGTATTTGGTCAATTTCATCCCCTAAATGTTACCCGATCTTTACCAAAGATTGGTCCATAACTATGGCCTGTATCGTGTTTACAAATTATAATGGACAGACGGACGGACGGACGGACACACATGTCTAGATCAATTCAGCTAGTCGAGATATGACGATCGGTATACTTAAATGTGGGTCTAGGACCAATATTTCGCGGCGATACAAACATTTGGGGCTGCACAAAGCTATAATACCCTGACAACATAGTTGTGTAGGGTATAATTAGTAGATTCTTGCAGTAAGGAAACAGATTAAATGTAAGACATTTCATTTTTTTAATTATATCGGAAAAGGTGGACTTTAACGATAATTTCTCAAAATTTAAATTTCAAATCGTTATATGAAAATATTATTTTCTTCGTTTCAGGACACGGTGCTCTTACCATAGTTCGTCGTTCGAATAGCCGCAAAAGTTTTACACAACTTGAAACACAGCATTTATATCAACAACTATCATCTACTCCAACTCCGTCGTCTACCAGAGGCTCGTTTCTTACAGATGAATCTGTAGGAAAGCATCCCGCCAATACACCAACTGCACTACAACACGACAATCGTCTCAACGAATCATCGTCGTCTAGCTTCAACCAACAACAATCCTATTCAACAGCACCATCCTCATTAACACACAACGCTCAACTATTCCAAACTACCACACAACAATCATCTCCCACAGCAAAAATGTTGCCCACATCGCCGAATACAAGCAATACAGCACCAATACCACCTACAGCCACCGACACTACTCAGGATGAAAATATTTCCGAATCGAATATGTCCACGGATGAAAGTGCGTCGGCACTCGGGTCGGCCAAGGCCAATCTCGATTTGGCTACGGAAAATCTACCAGCTGTCGATACACCAGATGCCTGCGACAAAGCTGCGTTGAGGTAAGCAAATAATGAGTACACTATAAATTTGTTATTGGAATTTTGTGCAGCAAGTGGAATACGTTGAAAAAAATGAAATCGTTGTTGGGACTTAGCCACGACAATGTCCTAACTTTGAAATCGTTTGTTCTGTATCAGAGTTTAATTTTCTAAAATAAAATAAATTATTAATAGAAAAAGAGATACTTAAAGTCTTTTTTAAAATATCGAAAATTCCACTCGCAAATATATGTATTCCTATTGCATACAGAAGACAATTTGTGATCATTTATTATTTTTTTGCACAGATTGCGGTATCTCTTGCGCATGCTAAGTACTGGCGAAATATCCGCTGACGTTCTTCAAAAGAACTTACACTATGCAGCACGGGTATTGGAAGCCGTTTTCATCGACGAGTCCAAGTAAGTATTGTTTCGCTAAAACATTGCAACTGAAGTTTTTGTGCGGCTGATTCGGCTGCCGACAAGCCTATGTACGCTAACCTCCAGTTTGTAGAAAATAATCTATGGCCGGTACCGGCGATCATGAGTTAAACAGCAGCAGCCAATGCTAAATAGCCAGCAACTAATTTACTAGTTTCTTAGAACATTAGTCCTTGTGATAACTGTCACTACTAAAAAGCCAGTGATGCATTAACCAAATACGAATTGGAAATTGAATGGTGAGGTAACGCTTTTATGGGTAGATAGAATCATGGTTTGCAACATCAAAATACATAACACCATCATCTGGATCATGAAACATAACAAAGTTTTTTATCTCTCTCTCCCATTTCTTCATGACTTTGAGACCCGTACGTAGATTCGTACATACTCTTAGCATCTATCAATATCTACATATACATCGTTACTGTTTGTATTTGAGTGTTAGCCTAATCATCATTGTTCAGAGTGAGAAACAAAAGATAGAACTAATCATTGTTTGCCTCCGAACATTCAAACATCATTTTGTACATAAAGCTTTTTTCTCATCATCGGTGTCTGTGGTATAAAAAAGTCATTGCGAGAGTTATTGAATCTACCCTTGATGTACTCCTATGCTAATAATTCCCATTTGGTTTGTTTGTGTTTGGCCTCCTGCGGGCCATTAGACAAACATTCCAAGGTTTATGCCATCCACGTTATGGCCTGACCCGCCAATTCGATGTCTGCCAATGTTGCTTTCAGTGTTTCATGTACAACATTGTGTTGTTGTTCTTTTTAGTTTAGACATTGTTTTTATTTTGATTTAATTTTTATTTTTGTTTTCTCTCCACATCGCCCACGAATCAAAATCAAAACACAAACAATCTGAACAGAAGTCCCACGTCAGGTAAATCAAAACTGAGGCAAAATTCCAGTTCATCGATTGAATGCGAAGAGTAAGTTTTAGAGTGGTGTGGTATTGGCCACATCCAAATGATGATTTGTTTAAATTGTCCCTTTATGTTAAATCATTTGTGTGACTTTTAGCTCATCTCACTTGCTATCTCCATACATACAAACATTTCCCCAAGTCCTAGTCCGCCGTCAAGAAAAATACAAAACAAAAAAAAAATAGTTGTGCGTATATTCTGTGACCGCACAAAACTCATTCCAATGTAACTTCTCTCGGGGCATGTTTTAAATATGTGTTACATCAGACATACCATTCAAATATCTTCATCAGCATATCAGCATCCATCCATTCATTCCTGTTTTCCATTTCCACTATCTTATTTCAAATTTCTAATCGTAAATGCTAAAATGCCTTTCTTTTTGCCTAAGTGCCCACAAATCCCGTATTCCCCCTTTCCATGTGGATAGATAATGATGGATTGGTATTAGTTCTTCCACATACCACACACTCAATTTCCTTCAACTGCTCCATGCGAAGCTTGTATTCCCAAATTTACTTATGAATTTTTAGCTGCGTGTTATCAAAGGAATTGTTATTCCTTCTACTCGTTTCGCCTCTCTCTTTCTATATCTCAATATATATATAAATATATATTAAGTTTCGTGTATTCACATCAGTTTATTATATGCATATACGAACATATATACATACAATATATAATATGTATTATGTCCGTATAGATATGCTCGTGTGTATTGCGTGTCGATTTAGTTTTATATATGTACATCTAAATGTAATGCTAGTTGTAGTGTCATAAGTTTTGATTTGGTTGAATCAAGAAGAAAAGAGGGAGAGAGAAACAAATTTGTACTCGTACGTAAGTAGTGTTTTAGTTTAGTGAAGCACCAGATATCTCGGTGGTTGTCATTTAAAACAATGTGAAATACCATATTTCGACTAATATCAGCAACTAAATAATTAATGTATTTTTTTCTCCATATTGGGTGTATTTTATGCACATTATTCTAAATATATAAGTACAGACTTTGTTTAACTTTTCATACTTGAATAATTTCCATTTCACAGTTTCCGACTATCATCTATATATTTATATAAGTATATTATTTAATAAAACTTTACAAATGTAAAATGACCTTTAATAATTTCAAATCTTATTAATTACATAAATTTGCATATGAAATTCGAAGTACTTAGAACATTAGTGGAGAGTTGAGAAATAACACAAATAATATAATTCTCTCTAAAGAGCTCTTTACTTAAAGATCATTTTAAAATCTCTTAATCGTCAAAGATAATATTCACAGTAATAGCTAATTATTCAACTCTTATTAAATTCATAAAATTGCATATTAAATTTCAAATAATTAGGAATTTAACGAAGAGTTGGGAAATAATAAAAAAATGTTTGTTTAATTCATTTCTCTGTTAAGAGATTCTTCTTGAAGACCCTTTTTAACCATCAATTCACCAAACATAATATTACCAATTTATTATATATTAACTGATCCACGTGACACCTGTTCCTGCATACCCTAAGGTTTAGTATCAATGTAGGTATTTCCAAAAGTTGGCATAGTCGAGTGCCGAATACATACATCAAATGACAAACATGCATATGTATATGGGCATTTCCGCGGTCACTTACACGACTCTTGGAGCCTAAAATATTTTATATGTTACATAAACAATTCGCCCCTAATAAATTTTGGTAGTATTTCAAGAGTACAATCAATCCGCTTAATTGAAAGTTGCGAAATGCAGTGTGCTTGTCCCAAATATCCCAGTTTTACAATAATGCGAAGTCCGGATAATTGATAAATGTTTAATTTCACCAAAGTTTAATAAAATCGGTGTTGAAATACACGGAATAAATTGTTTCCCTTCACCCCACTGTGGTACTGGGTATTACGTCTTTGAGCATGTGTTTGTAATATGTAAAAGGAAACGAGAATAGGCATAGAATCACTTTCCAATTATGCATGTCCATCCGTCCGTCGGTTGATGTTAAATTGTAAAAAGGTCGAATATATAATTCAATTAAAAAGAAATTTGTTACAGCTCGAGGACGAATCCTATTGAAATTGGTGAAAATCGGTTCAGATTTAAATATATCTCCCATATATATTATCGACCGACTTTAGACTTCATTGCTAGTATTGAGAAAACTGTACGAATTATTTGAAATTTTAAACTACAAAAATCTTTGCCATTAATAAGAAATATTAAGCATTATTATTGCAGTTTTATAACATTTATAGTCATTCTTAGCATAAAACAAGAAGAAGAAAATGACAAATGCAGCACAATTTCCCGAAAATGTCCATATACATATTTGCATTTCGTAAAGTACTTTGTTTTGCATTCCATGCATATATTATTCATTCTAAATATTGTTCAGTAATAGACAGTATGTTATGCTATTTTTCCCGCGCTCTTTATACATACATAAATAAATAAATAAAGAATATGAGTATTAAAATTCGTATTTGAATACATGAAATTAATTCTATAACATGAAGCGAAAACCCGAAATGAACAATAAGTTTCGTTTATATCGAATGTTATGTTTACATGGCTGGTATTTTTTCACGAATTTCGGAATAGAAGAAAAAATGGGATAGGATTTGGCAACGCTCCGTAATCATCTGCAAGCCTTTTTAATTGCTACGATACTTGCGTCAATTATCCAATACTAATGCAACAATGTGTGCAAACATGGATTCCATGATGTTACAGTCTCCAATCTTCACCCTAATCGAATAACAATTTAAGGTTCACACCACAAAGAAGTTCAAAAAAAAACTAATTTTAATTGCTAATTTCCTTTATTTTATCTTTGTCTTATACTTTTTATTGCCGCCTCTTTTTCTCAACCGATAATGTGATTGCCTTTCAAATGAAAATTCTTTCGTTCCTTATATTGCGGTTGCTCCTTACTCCTCTGCTAAATGCTGAATCTACTGTTATTTTCTTAACGTCTGTTATGTTAAACCACAAAACAGAGATGAACAGAAAACCGGGCGATGTAATGGAAATTGTAAAAATGTCCAATGTCGAGAGCATCAGCATTCACACAATCAAACACACACATCGTCAATGACAACGGAAGGTGAAACGCCGGCAGTCGGATCAAGTGATAACAACAATACAGATCAGAGCCAATGCTCTCTGAGAACAGAAGAGACGGACAAAATGCCTGCGCCCGGTGACGATGCGTCCAACAATCAAATTAGCATAGACAGTCGCACCAAGGGAGCTTGCTTAGCGCCACAAACACATAGTGGGCCCACAGGTCCACCGGCCGCAGATGCTGAACATCAGAAAGATGCCGACGGGAACAAAACCTCAACCACCGCCGCCCCAACAACTAGTCCGCAGAATAACAGTACAGTTAGCAGTAGCAGTTGTAGTAACAAAGCAACCATTCAAAGGCAAAAACGTCTGAGAACACCGGTCTGGGCGAGATCCATGTCGACGAACAAAACGTACATAAATTTATACCTATAAATAAGTTATTTTGGTTAAATGAGTATTTGGTCTATTACCTTATGTTTTGTTCTCTTTGTTATTATTATTTTTGTTTGTTTTTTCTCCTTCTCCAGCTACACTTTTACCAGAAACCACAAAGTACAACACCGAACTATAGCGCAACAAATAAACTCTTCCGACTTGTTCTTGTCTGACAAATTCTTCTCTCTCTTGTACTGACTGATTTCGTTTTGTCTGATAACTATCTGTCCCTTGTCTCTCTTACCAACTAAATGTTCTTATTTTGTAAATAATATATTTCACCTTTGAGAGCAACGTGCATGCTTTAAGCGAATTAAGCGTTTGAACTATCCTCCTTCCTATGTGTATATGTATGTAAATATATTTATTATAAATTAGAACGTAAACGGCATGAATCTCTATTGATTTGACTATTAGTAATTGAAATAATATTTATAAAATTATATCCATGGCATAATTATGGAAGGTAGTCTCATTTGAGAAATTTATAATATGAAAATTATATTTATATTTTCAAACGATTTTATTCGGGACTCGTGAAAATATCTTAATTTTTTGGCACACATTTTTCTCAAGATATAGCCATTGGTATTACAACTTATATTTATAGATTATAGAGGCAGGGAACTTCATAATATTAAACAATATTAAAAAATTTGTAATTTTGGCAACTGAACACATGTTCTGCATAGATTTCGATATTGATATTCTCATTTCAATTTTGAAAGCTGAATGTTGTCGCTATAATTATGGCATGAATTATATGATATATTAAAATATTTTTGTTTTCAATGCAATCTGTACTCATTAACGTCAGAATAAATCTACTTTTTGTTTTGGTACACTCATGTAAATTCGTTCCTTTGATTGGCTTCTTTTATATATTTGTGGTTGCCTCATGAATGACAAACTTGAGAGGCTACACTGTCAAGGGCTAAGCAGAATGCTCGCGTTAAGCGTTTTTTGTTATCGCGTTAACGCACGCAAAAAGTTAAAATATATTTAACTCCGAAGCGCAGCGCACATCAACTTCGAGCGTTTGTGTTATCGTTTCCTTGTGGTTGTTGTATTTTCGATTTATAGGCCATGGTAAGGGCTGTCAAATGTTATTTTCTATATATCGATTTCTAAACCCCTTCATTTGATTTGTTCATCGCCGGCAATATTAAAAGTGTGACTCAGTTGTCTTTTCGATAACAAAGGAAATTTTGGCGCGTAATTTACTGTCAATTTTTGTTTATGTTTTGATTGTGCTGTTTTTAGATTGTTGTGCAAAAAACTAATTCATTTTAAATTGAGAGTTGTGTGTATAAAATTGTTGGTGTAACGTGTCTGCCAAACGACATGTCAAAAGTTAAGGTAGATAAACAATCGCCAAAAGAGAACGCTAAAACAGAAAACAGTGATAATGAGTCAGTAGTAAGTATTTAGCTTTTGCCAAGTTTTGCAGAAAATTCGAATTACATTCCATTTTTCTTTAGGACGATACAGCCAGTATTGCTACCAGCACTACCTCCCGCAGCAAATCTCCTGGTTCGCGGGGTCGAAGACAGAGTCGCGGACATAGTAAATCCAAAGTGAAGAGGCCGGCTTATAAATACGAGTAGGTTTCATGCAGAAAGCTAATTTTGGAAATGCTAACAGTTTGTTTTTACTTAGCTGCCATTTAAAAGAAGATCATGGACAGGCAATATTCGGTGTATCTTTCAACCACTTGTTGGGTAAAGAACAGCCAATGGTATTCGCCACAGCGGGCAGTAATCGATGCAACATATATGAGTGTCCACGCAAGGGTGGCTTAAAACTAATTATGTGCTACGCTGATCCAGATGTATGCTTGTTGAATTTTAGTGGTATTATGTCTTATACAAATTTTTAATTTTCAGCCGGACGAAGTATTTTATACATGCAGTTGGTCGTATGATTTGAAAACTTCAGCCCCTCTTTTGGCCACGGCTGGATATCGTGGCGTTATTCGAGTCATTGACATACACAGAAATGAATCGGTTGGAAATTATGTGGGCCATGGGCAGGCTATAAATGAATTGAAATTTCATCCAAGGCAAGCGAATCTCCTACTCTCTGGCAGCAAAGATCATGCCATTCGGTTGTGGAATACACAGACGCATGTGTGCATAGCAATTTTTGGTGGAGTAGAGGGCCATCGTGATGAAGTTCTTTCCATAGATTTTGACTTACGTGGAGAACGTATTATGTCAAGTGGTATGGATCACTCATTGAAACTGTGGCGCATTGACACACCCGAGTTTAAGGAGAAAATTGATATGTCGCGCACTTTTAACCCAAATAAATCACAGTTGCCTTTTCCCACAATTATGCAACACTTTCCCGAATTTTCCACCAGAGACATCCATCGCAACTATGTTGATTGTGTTCAGTGGTTTGGAGATTTTGTTCTCTCAAAGTCATGTGAAAATTCAATTGTGTGTTGGAAACCGGGACAACTACATCAAACCCTGTCTCAGCTAAAGCCCAATGACCCTTCGTGCACAATCATTAGCGAATTCAATTATGATGAGTGTGAAATATGGTTTGTTCGATTTGGTTTTAATCCATGGCACAAAATTGTAGCCCTGGGGAACCAATATGGCAAGGTATACGTTTGGGAATTGGATCCTTCTGATCCGAGACATACACATTCCAGTACATTGAATAACATTCGATGCACATCAATTGTGCGGCAGACTGCATTTTCTCGTGATGCTACTGTGCTTGTGTGGGTTTGTGATGATGGCACAGTATGGCGTTGGAATCGGCGAAATGCAGAAGTACACACACCATGAAGATGGTTTCAGAACATAGCACATAATTTATATCAGTTTTGTTTTTAAATATAAAGTGCTTTAACGAAAATAAAAAAAAAATGTTTGTGTATAACTCGGGATTTTTTTATAGTCATATTATTAAAGTTTTGGAATGATCCAAGTCCTATTAAATGATTGGAATAGAAATGTAGGAGAAAATAAAAATGAAGCTGATGTAACTTAAAAAAGCCCCTTCCACAAAAGTGAGAAACAAATTACAAGGAACTAAAAAAAAACTTTTGAAGGGCACGATTAGTATGACATCACTATAAATAACAATATTGAGATTATTGAAACTTCTATGACACCATATAATTTAGGTACTCGTTTTTTAACTTGTAAAATTGTCTTTCTAATGTTGCATATTACTGAATACCTATAAATATAACATAGGTAGCTAGAAAAATCTTCTTGCCATTATTTTTGTAACCATCTTAATGTATTTTTATTTAGATCACATAATGAGCTTTTTTAAATCAACAGGTGCCACACAAATTGTATTTTCATATTTTAATTAAATTACGTATTTTTTGAACTAAATTTTACATTTACTCTATAGTTATTTGTGTGTGTGTACCTACATCATTATATATGTAGTTTTCTTATGGCAGCATATACGTCTATATTGTATGTTTGTATTTGTACTTGTTCCCTTTAATATTCTAGTAGATGTTCTTCAGCTTCCTCTACTTCGTTATCCTACTCCAGTGCCTCCCTGAGTGTTACCATGGCGAATAGACGTAACAGGCACCACGTATCTGTACAACACCAACAACACGAGTCCAATAACAACAACAATAACGACAGAAACAACTTTAACAATAATAATTATCCTTTGGGGTTGGTTACTTTTAAAGTATTCTCCTTGTTTGGTCTTCCATCCAATACCTGTGAGATGTGTGTATACATAGTCATTTATATAGATGTAGTGTATTAGTGTTTTCATTGTTGTATATTTATAATAGTAAAAAAAAACAAATCAAGATATTTCATCCGATTGCTGTGTACACCCAAGATATGTTTAAAATTATGTTCGAAATCGATATTCACTTTGGAAATGGCAAGATTATGATTTTGTCTGGTTGCGTGATACAACAATAAAATGAAAATTATACGAGATGGCATTTAAAATTTTAAAAGATTTTATAAGTCAAAAAAACCCTGTCAAGTCTGTTTAGATTAGAAATGTATTACATCCCAAAGTTTTAGAACACATTGAAATTATAGATATGTCAACAGTGGACATTATGTTTAACATATATAAATTGTATCAATACCAACAAATTAAGTTATTCTAAAAACATGCCGCTACTCATAAGAAATATCTTTGGTTTCTCATTTTTAGTTTTGAAAAAATTCCAAATCAATTTCTTTCCACAAGTAGAGATATAGGGTATATTTATTCAATTGCTTAGATTCGCGTGTTGTGAGAGTAGCCGATTGAATATATATGGTTTATACTGTATCAATAATTTCTATGAACACCGAAATTTTTATGAATAAACTCAATTAAATTCTTAATTCTTCAATTCATTTTAAAGACTTGGTAACTTTATCGGACTGATAAAATTTCGTAGACAGGCGTCATTTGTAGAAAAGTGTGTAAACGACCATTGCAGCAATCAATTATTAAAAAATAAACAAAAAATATACAGGCCACATACCTAAATTTGTATGTATTTGTTAAAACCCAATTCACATTGTTTCTTTTTTAAACTCCAACAATATATGTTGTATTGGGGGAAAACACTATATGATGTAAAATTATTAAAGCAGAACATGACATGCCTCCCGAAACCCTGATAATGTCAATTGTATTGACTTTATCGAACAATACACATGTTTGTTTTAGGAAAACAAAAACATTTTAACTTAAAAAATTAGATATAAGGCTATGCAGCGAAACAAAAAAGGTATTCAGAAATGCTCATAACTGTTATGGCGAAAATCGAAACTAGTAACTTTTGAATCACTGACTGTGATTGCACACGTGAACGACACCACAATCGAATAAAAAATGTTTTATTTTTTCATTATTAAAATTAGTGTTTAATTTCAATACTACTGCTACAAATGCCGACATCGTCCTTGTCATACGAAAAAAGTAAAATGTACGTATGATACCGTTCACAGCTGGATTAGTTGGCGAGTTAAAACGTCGATGTTATATGTTATAGAGATATATTATTTTCAACAACTGAATATAAAACATGCAAAAAGTGTCAGTCGGTGTTGCCGAGAGATATATACCCTCAGCCGTGGTTTAATGTCGTTTTATATTAGGCATATGCCTATATATAAAAGTGGTTTGCCCATCGTAAAATATTATGATGGGCAAACAATGAATTAAATCGATTATTCAATTCGCTTGGAATTAAATTTACTGGTTTTCAACATGTTGACCATTTTGGGGAAGGTACGGAACGGGAGGACCGACGGGTCCCGGCTTCAAACTTGATCTATGTGCGAAATTTCGATGGAAATGAATATTCTGTTCGATTCATATAAGATTTACAAGTTTTCAAAATGTTGACCCTTTGTGAGGGAGGTTCTATAAGGTATACGTCTTCCGTCTTCCTACAATATACAGGTTTGGTAAGTGGTTTATATTTTCCAAATATCAGTGAACGCTAAACAGATTGTTTTCTTTTGCTTTGAAAACTTAAACAATAAAATTGTGATTCGATAAAAGTATCGTCCTCTGCGGATAGATGAAATCCAATTGTTTAAAACAGATAAAAAATTCTGGACAAGTTCGCAATATTATAGTGTTGAAAAAATTATTATTTATTTAATAATATTTAAAAACTTTTTTGTCGATTTGAAGGTCATACTACTATTTATTCGTAGTTTTGTACGAATTTGTTCTACACCCTTACTGACGAATCGCATATTCATTTTATGTCTGTCTCCTTCGCGTAGTTATTGTTTTTTCTTTTAATTTGTCAAATTTGTCCATTAATTTTTGGCGTTGTAATCAATCATCAATTTGTTTCCCCACTTACTCCCCCATTAGTCCTTGAGTTAGTACAAAACAAACAAAAAATAATAAAATACAAATTCGTCCAGAATTTGCCAAAGTTTTCATGTCGAATTCGCGCCATGAATAGTTTTTCACTCACCACTTGTCTCTTTCATAGCCACATCATTACATTAGAACACACAAATACACAAACACTTCCTTAATACCAACTGATATCCATAACTAGCCACCTTAACTCCCCGTAACGACCACAGTTAGTGATAACATGATTTTGTCTATTGCCAAATTGACCTAAAAACGGCATTATGAATCGTTAGAGCGATTGAAGGAAGGGAGGTAGATTCATAGCAACCAAATGGAATTTCACATTTTATTATCATTTTAGTTGATACTCATTCACATTACACCACCAAAACTGTGTTTATTCGGGGGGTATAACCTAATTCGCAAAGTCCTGTCATTGTGGGTGGGGGTTACTACGCAATCCACAATAAAACATCTTACTATGTATATAGTGTGAATAATGTTAATAATGAGTACACCATACATATTTTATATTGAAACTAATAGAAAAGTAAATTTCCCGAATGGATAGGTTATATGATATCTTTTGTTACCGAACAATCATCATATTTGCTCTTAATTTATATTTATCAACATAAATGTTGATAAAAAAGGCAGACATTAATATGTTTGTTTGCAAATGTGTATTATAATTTAACATATCTCAAGTGACATTCAGTAGCAAAAGCAAACCAGCAATCCGAATTTTTATAATTTTTAAAAATTTGAATCATAAAACCAGTTTCAGTTTCAATAATAATTAAATTTCCGACATCGCAAGTATTATAAATCAAATGTTCCTACACGTGACACTTTTTTGTCGTTCAGCATCGTTTAGAAATAAGGATTCATTGGCATGTCGGTCATTGTTGTTTCACCAACGACCATATCAAAAGAAATATGTATGGATTTTAATAATGTTTGTATTCATGTTTTAATATTAATATTTTATGTGTTAGAATTCAAATATTTTATGTGTAAGAGTCAAAGATATATATACGAGAGTTTGGGGAGCACTCTTATGGCATATGTGAATTAAGGGGGTTTTGTTTTCGAATGTTCCAGTGATCGGTAAGAAGGGCTTTTCTTTATTCCCAAAAAATACAAGACCAACAATACGAGGCAAATTCACTTATACTTCAAGTTTCCTAACACTAACATGCGCAAATATTCAAAATAACGCACGGCTGAAAATCGTCAAAATTTGTAATCGAGAATGGGGTGTCCTCTATACACAAATTGGAATGGAATTATTCGAGACATGCAAATCATAGAAATGGAAGTTTAACCCCAACCAGCCGTTTGTCCTTCGAGTGTTCCGTGTTTTGTTTGCATGTGTTATCTTAAAGATACAAGTCTTTGGATCCTCCAGACATTTTCAGGCCATTTCTATCTTTCCGTCAGATTATCGTTCATTGTTGTTGTACAGTGGCTAGAACTCGCAGTCAATTAAAGAAAAAGCCATTGGATAGTAGCCACAGCTATAATAACTACAACGATAGCAACACAAGCTAAGTAACAATAAAAATTTATTTGGTTTTAGGATTTCGGATGACATTTCATGACTCGATAGCATTTCTTTTATTTGTTGATGTTGTTGGTTAGTTGGTGTTTATGGCCCAAAAATGCCAAACCAGCCGAGCAGAGAAATTTAGCCATACTTCCAATTGGATGATACCGTCCTATGAGTGTATGTGTGTGTGTGTGCACTAAATTCTGTTCGCGTCGTGGCAGCATAATTGATATCATTTTCTTATAGAATCTTTATAGCCACAAATTTATAACGTTAATCGTAATAGCGTGTGGTAGCCCAAGTATTGCAACAATAACAAACGAAATTTTGCGCCATCGAAAGGGTAACAGACAATAACTGACGTAGAGAAAATGTTGTATTTAATGACGGGGAGGGGGAATGTTTTTCTTTAATTACAATCCAAAAGAAATAAACTAAACAGAAGGACAGTTAGACAGATAGATGGTTCATAAAGCTAATTTTTGCCAGCATTTAGTTTAAATTCTAACTTCGGCCAATTAAGTCACAAATAATTCGACCAACGGTAGTGCGGATAATCAAGAAATCGTTGTAGCCTTCATAAATACATACGCAAATACGAGAACACACATAAGAACAAAATGAATTTGCAAATATTGGCATTTAGTGGACCGAATGTGCCTGAATCTGTGGAAAAGTAGTGACATGTTAAATCGCCTATAGTGACTTGCTAAGTCGCCAGATTCATTTCTAATGTAGATACTTGAAATCCAACATCAGAAGACGATTATAATAAAAATACCGTGTGTGTGTACCCCAAGTGCAGATGCGACATGAGTCGCTTAAGACGCGAAAATAGCCGCAACAGTGTAATTACCGTAGAATTAATTCAGTTCATAATTCAATATCGAGCCAAGGAGTCGAAAAAAAGGTGTGCAATCCTTCAGATTTTCAATTCTTTTTCAATTTGGATTTACGTTTCCAGTGAATCGTTTATTGAATTCTGTTTTTGTGTGTTTGCGCTTGCTTCAGGACTACGTTCAAATAACTAATATCCTAAATGTTGTATTTCGATGGCAGAAGGAAAGTGTATAAAAATGATTTACGAATTTTTAGAAAGATCCGCACAAGTTGTTCTTGTATTGTGTATTCATCATCTTAACACCGTAGCTCAATGACAATGCAATTACAAAAGTATTTTGTATAAAATTGTATTAACAAAAAACATGATTCCTAATGTAGTTAAAATTTTCATTATAAGACTGAAAGACCTGCTTCTAAAAAAGAAATTGGCTAAATCGAATTCTATATGATGATAGTTGAAAAATATCTTGAAAATATGCATACACGTGGACGCATAACATACCAATAAGGGTTTTTTGTGAGGTATTTTTTTTAAACTCTAAACTATGCCACTGAGAATCAAAGAATGCAAAATGTCGAACCATTCGATAAGACGTTTCGAGGTTATGATTTAAATGTAATTAGGATATAAAATAGTAAAACAAATGACAATTTTATTACCTCTCGGCAATTTCAACAGACAACAGAATATTGTATTACAGTTTAACAATCGCCAAATGACGCTAAAAACAAAAATATTATCTGCCGATTTAAATGGAAAATCTTTTACTGTTGATTTGTCTTTTGTACATTTCAAAATGTTTTCCAGTTTCTGTGTACGGAAAATCATACAGGTTAATTGTTCAATATACAAAAACACTATTAAACATTTATTAGCATAATAATGAAAACAGAAAGTTTGAGATTGGAATTACATAAAAATCTGTAAGAGTTTGGGGTTTTACCCAAAATGAACAGAACATGCTCTTCTATGCTGAATGAGGTTGTATACTGCAGCTAAGACAAAATATGAGCCGATTTTATCAAGACTGAACTTTGTTATATGTTTCTATGCTCATTCAAATTTAAATCAAACACTTGTAGTCAACGCCATCTATTGAAAGAGTAGATCCAAAAATCGAATTTGCAAGATGTAAACCTCATTTGTTTTTCCTACAACTTTTGACCTGTAGATATTTAAAAGAAATTCGTGTCATGTGAAAGGTGTATTTGTGTACTTGTTGAGAACTAAGAAAAACCATATTTATTTTAATTCTTTAATATGAAATGTGTTAAAGTTTTCTTTAATTTCTCGGTAGTATTTTTGTTATAGGAATTATTTGCAGGTCAGGTAATAATGTGATGGTCTAGTACAGTAAAAATGCGATAATCTGTTCAAATGCTATACGCTCCGAAAGTTGGGCTTGGAAAGACTGATATGCACGATTAGAATCATGTCCATCAATAGATGGCGCTGACGTTCCAAAGTTTTGAAGAAGCCCAGAAAACTGTAATTTTCTGTTAACATGACTCTGTCAAACAATCTTTGATACTGTAAGATAGTGTATATTCTTAATTATAAATCATTATTACGATTTAAGATGTTATGAAGAATCTAAAATACCGATATTTTTTCTAAATTTGGCAGCACTGTGTAGATTAAAAAATCGATTATGCAAAATTTAAATCACATTTGTTTTTCCTATAACTATTGACCCCTATTTGCTAATCAATGTAAAGAAATTTATTTACGCTTTCATATGATACCATTATTGTTGAAATGCGTTTATCTGTACTCTTGGAAGGTCGAATTCCAATAATGCAAATCAGTTTTTTTTTAGATGTGCATTATTTGAATCATGCCTAACAATAGATTGCGCTGACGACGGGTTCATAAAAATGGTATACAAATTTTCTTTGCTATAATTTTTTCGTATTGCTGGTATTCAAATAAAAAGTGTAAGTAAAAAAAATGATAAATACGTTGTGTCAAAGTTGAAAATTTTCAACTTGAAATTTTGTACGTTCGACGTATTTCGGTAACATTCACATAAGTACATGTGTTCTACTTTTGTGTTGAAAAACGTCGAACGAGCTAGTTGAATTTTAGGTAAGGCTGTAATCGTATACTTTCTTCGGAAATAAATAAAATTTCCAAATTAGTTGAATATTAATATGAAATTGAAGTTTCCAAGTTTATAAACCACATGTTTCTTTGTGCCAAATCCCTTTCAGTCAATTTGGAGGCCATTTACAAATGTCCGTCCGCCTGTATGTATGTCTGACTGGCTGGTGCGCACATAAGTACATGTGTTCTACTTTTGTGTTGAAAAACGTCGAACGAGCTAGTTGAATTTTAGGTAAGGCTGTAATCGTATACTTTCTTCGGAAATAAATAAAATTTCCAAATTAGTTGAATATTAATATGAAATTGAAGTTTCCAAGTTTATAAACCACATGTTTCTTTGTGCCAAATCCCTTTCAGTCAATTTGGAGGCCATTTACAAATGTCCGTCCGCCTGTATGTATGTCTGACTGGCTGGTGCGCACGATAACTCTCAAAGGGAGTCAACGAATTCTTCCATACTTAAATCAACTTCAAAGATGGGGAATATCGGTCCACTTCCTTCCACAAAATTTCAAAATTTTGCTGAAAATTAGTTTTGTAATATGCCACTACGCTACGTCATAACAACACAAAAACTACAACCAATATTGGAGGGAAATAAAATTCAATTTTGTTGTTTAACTATTTTGATCATAATATATTTTCATGATTACATCCTAGACAACAATGCTTTGGTGGTATTATATGGTCCTAGATCCACCTTTTGATATATCGTCAAATTTGGACTAGAGGAATCGATGTGTCCGTATGTTTGTCCATAATAATTTGTAATCAAAGCACAAGTCGCAGATATGGACCAATTGTAATGTTGGTTCGGTCCTGGCCAATGGCGGTATCTACAATTTTTTGCCCACGAATAAGCATGCTTTGAAGATGTTCGTCCAATATTTATAGGATCAAAGAGACCAAGACTTTTGTGTGATAAATTACAAAATGTTCATATTATGGCGTACATACATATTCCGGGAAGAGATGATACAGAAAAGTGTATGAAATAGGGATGGTTGAACTTGTCAATCCCGATGTAAGAGGACGGATATAGGAGACAAACTAACATTTGGCAAGGGTTATATGGTTTATAGTCTATTATAATATATATAATGTAGTCTTATATGTGATTTGCATGAAATTCTTAGAATGTATACGATAATGTATAAACAGTTTAACATTATAATAAACTAATTGTTTGTTAATATGAAGTAAAAATAGTATATTTTATATAAATACGAGGATTGTTCGAATTTTAGGTTACTTACTATATTCGCATGAATTGTAGAATACATTAATACATATATTTATATTAAAATATCTTGGATGAAAACAGTGAAACACTTTTATTTCTCTAGAATTCGATTTAACACAAATATACTGTAAATACTAATGGACAGCAAGGAATACCAATTTGAAAAATTCATGATCCTATTAAAGTTATTGAAACCAAAGTAAATTAATTATAACTGATACTCTGCGTAGTTCCGCTTTCCGCACACAAACTACAAATACACAGCTCTGCACAATTACAAGCACTTCACATCCATTTATACACATTGCCCAAAATATATTTACACGTAAATACAATGCCTTTTACCGAATCACCACACAACGCACAAAATACCCAACACCACTAACTTGCCTGTGTTCTGCAAAATCTAACAGCTAAAAACGCACTCGTAAAACATAACCAATTTTTTTTAGTTATTGAATACTTTCTTTTGATTCAGATTCTCAGTTAAATCAACCCTTAAATTTGAGTAAGGCTTTTTGCTTTTCTAAACTATTTCCTAGAATTTTAATTTGTCATATTTATTTCTAAGTTTGTTGGTGAACTTTTATATTTTTGTTAAATTTTTTGTTGTTGATTTTCCACCACAATATATCTTGCAATCACATACTAATAATCATATTATTGGCTTCTTTCCCCACCCCGAAAATCCCCAACACCCCATCACTTTTCCTTGAAATCCTTTAGACGCCTTGCCGATGAAGATGATGAACTATCCGAGGTGCAACCTGATGCTGTGCCGCCAGAGGTCCGGGAATGGTTGGCATCTACATTTACTCGACAGCTGGCCACTACGCGCAAAAAAACAGATGAGAAGCCCAAATTCCGTTCTGTGGCTCATGCTATACGGGCTGGTATTTTTGTGGACCGTATTTATCGACGAGTTTCTAGTACTGCGCTGATGACATTTCCCCCGGAAGTGGTCAAAGTACTAAAGGTACGTGCACACTGTTGAGATTTATAATTTATAACTGCAATCCATATGAACTGTTCTTTATCATCCGCTTTAGACTTTGGACGACTGGTGTTTCGATGTGTTTGCATTGGCAGAGGCTGCCAATGGTCAGCCAGTCAAATACCTTGGTTATGATTTGCTCAACCGCTACGGCATAATTCACAAATTCAAAATTGCACCTGCTACGTTGGAAACTTTTTTGAATCGTATTGAGGAGGGCTACTGTCGCTATAGGAATCCATATCACAATAACTTGCACGCTGCAGATGTCACCCAAACGGTCCACCATATGTTGTGCCAAACGGGCCTAATGAACTGGCTAACAGATCTCGAAATATTCGCAACTTTGTTGGCGGCACTCATCCATGACTATGAACACACGGGTACCACCAACAATTTCCACGTGATGTCTGGCTCTGAGACGGCCTTGTTGTACAACGACCGAGCGGTCTTGGAAAATCATCATATAAGCGCCGCGTTTCGTTTGCTCAAAGATGATGACTGCAATGTGCTCTCGAATCTATCGAGGGAGGAGTACCGTGAACTGCGCACACTCGTCATTGATATGGTGCTCTCGACCGATATGTCCTTCCACTTCCAGCAACTGAAAAACATGAAGAACCTACTGACTCTCAATGAGGCTACTGTCGACAAGTCCAAGGCATTGGCCTTGGTGATTCATTGTTGTGACATTTCGCATCCTGCCAAACGATGGAGTCTCCATCATCGCTGGACGATGTTGTTATTGGAAGAATTCTTCCGCCAGGGTGATCTCGAAAGGGAATTAGGTCTGCCATTCAGTCCATTGTGTGACCGCAATAACACTTTGGTGGCAGAATCGCAGATTGGTTTTATCGATTTTATTGTGGATCCTAGTATGTCTGTCATGGCGGATATGTTGGAACATGTATTGGCGCCTATAGCTCCGATGTGCAAGAATGTCAACGCTAGTATAGATGCTGGAGACGTGCCCGTTGACGGAGCACCATCAACGGGTAGCACAAGTCGAAATAATTTGAAAAATCGTCCAACCTGCGAAGCAATAACCGAAGACAATGAGAACAAATTATCCGAAGATGCTAACAATTCCACACAGCCAGTGTCATCCCAAAGTAAGGGAGCAGTTGGCGCTGGCGGAACCAGTTCAACGGCAGCAACTGCATTTAAACATAAATTTACCATTCGTAAACCTTGGGTTGCGTGTCTTACTGACAATAAGAAAATATGGAAGGAGCAGGCCATCAAAGGTACGTAAAATCAATTAATTCGAATTTATAATTGTTGTGGCAAGTAGAACAAATTTGACTCAAAACAGTACGTGGAATTAAAAAAAATTGCTGAATCCAATTTTCAAGTGGTATAACATCTTTATATATAACTAGAATATAGCATTGATATAAACGCCGAAATAATAGTTTAGTAGGATTTATCGTTTGAAACTTGGAACATGTTCTTTATAACCAGAAATATGTTCTGTATAACCGTATCCAAAAATTTGTCAATTTTCAGAAAATATGTTGCTTAAAATTTAAAACTAACGACTGATTCAAATATGTACATCAAATTGTGATGGATACTGGAAGAAATTAGGCCAGTAACATTTAGAAAGTTTTTAGTGTAGAACAGTCAAACTAGCTCTCCCTTTTCGCCCTCTTTTACTGAACAGACAAATTCTACAATATTTTACTTTTTGCAATATTCTCTCTTGAGAACGAAAAAATCGTATTTATTCTTACTGAGTAAATGTTACTGGCAAAGTAAACAAACTATTTTACTGAACCTCTGGGTGGAAAACCAACATTGATATCTGGCAACGCTGTCGTGATGTGTCAGTAAATATTTTTTGCTCCCGAAAATATTTAAAAATAAATAAACAAATTGTATAAAGCAGTATAAAAAATCCCGAATTTCAATCAATGCAGTATTAAGGTCAAGCCTTATTGGAGGAGTGTTGTTTGGCTTGTTATTTGTTTATTTATTGCAAACAAAAACTATAAGTGCTGTAGAAGCGGAGTAAGAAGAAGAAGAAAATTTGCTAAATTGCCGCGCAATCATACTGCTGCTAATGTTATATGCTTACTGATGTATGTATGGTGAAGAAAATTTAATTGTGCTGTATACTCTCTGCCTTAGCATATATTGTCGTTGAATTCATTGGTTCAACTTTTAAATTTGGAAGCAGCTGCTGTGCGGTGTGTATTTGGTGTCTCTCAAACTTTGTACTGCTGTGTTGTTGTAACATCTCTAATATTTTTTTTGGTTATAACACAATTGTTGTTGTTGCGATTCTTTTGTTTATTGATTATTTGTTGCTGCTTACTGATCAATCTTGTATCTGGATTTGGATGTTTATGTTTATATTACCAACAAAAAATGCCCTCTACAACAAAAACATATACTTGCCCTACGTGTGATACCACTGTCAAAAGTAATCAAAACAGTGTTGGATGCTGTATATGTGGATTATTTTATCACATAAATTGTGCTAATGTTACGAAGGAGCAGCACAATTTCCTATATAAGAATAGGAAAAATATGATGTTTTTGTTTAAATGTCCATCATGTGTTAAGAGGCAAACTGATAGTGATAATCGTGACAGTGCTGCTACTGAAAGTAGTCCTATCGATAATGAGGATGTAAATAATGCTGACATTGGTACGCAGGCCATTGAGTCGATACAAAAGGATTTTGAATCCTACAAATTATGTTTAACACAGCAGTTTGAGAGTTTTATGTTGAAAATCAAAGATGTTGTTAAAACAATAACAACAACAACAATTGTTGTGCGGCGGTTAAGAAGTTTGAGAGAGAAATGCAGGAAGCTGAAATTGAAAATGACATACTTAGAAGACGTCTAAACCGATCCAATATAATAATCAGTGGATTACCTGATGGAATTAAGAACTTGAGAGATCCTATTATGAAAATTTCTGTTTTATGTGGTATTGAAATACATCCTAGGGATATACACCATTGTTGCTATGTATCAAGAGGAAAGTCGGTGTTAGTGAAATTTAAGTCCGTTTATGTCAGAGACTGCATAATGGCAAATTATCAAAGGCGGCGGGATCCATTGATGCTTTGTGATGTTACTGGTGTGAATGTTCGAAGTCGTATATACTCGAACGATCATCACAATCGAGCAGCATGAAAATTAATGTATATATGCCGCAAACTTTGGAGATGCAAACAAATCAGTTTTGATAATGTTTCCCGATGGAACCGAAAATGAATGTGATATTAATGCTTGTACTAATATGTTGAAGGATGCTGAGAATGAAGTTTCTAACTCGCCGCATAATAGTGCTGATGTCATTGAGAGCATGCTGAATATTTCTGAGTAGTTGATAGTTTATTAGTTTTTAATATTTCGGGAATTATTATTTGCAATTTATTTATTTAAATGTTTTCTACTATGTTAGGTGATATTGTCAGTGATAATTCTTTTTTGTCAACCCAGTTATGTAACTTTAAAAATAATCTTAATATTGGTCACATTAATGTGAGAAGTTTTAAATTGCAAAATAATACCTTTAAGATTCATGAGATTAGGAGTATGTTAGAAGGTAATCATTTGGATGTCTTTGGCGTCACTGAAACTTGGTTAAATTCTTCGGTGCATTCTAATGCAGTCCAAATTCCAGGATATGTATGTTACAGGAGTGATCGCCCTGATGTAAGAGGAGGTGGTGTTGCATTGTTTATCTCCCAATCTATTAAACACAAGGTTATGTGTAGAGGTACTTCGTATGGTGTTGCGGAATATCTGTTTTGCGAGTTAACATTTAATAATTGTACGCTTTTAGTTGGTGTTGTTTATCTTCCACATGGTGATATATATGTTATGGAGAATGAAGTTTCTGATAGTGTTGTTAGATATGACAATGTCGTTATCATGGGAGATTTTAACAACAATTTGTTTGATGTATCTAAAAGTTTTATTGTTAGGAATGTATGTAATAGGATGAATCTTGATGTAGTTCATAATTGTATTCCTACGCACTATGATGTTGCTCATGCTTCTACGTCATTGTTAGACTACTTTCTCAGTTCTTGTTCAAATTTGCTAAAATTGAGCAACCAATTTTCTTGTCCTGACGTGTCTGATCATGCTTTTATTTTTATGTCTCTTGGTGTTTACGTTCCTCGTGAAAAAAATGTATTATGAATATATTGACTATAATGCACTTGACACTGCTGCTTTAGAAGATATAATTTCGCAGTGCAATTTTAATGAGATTTTAAGTACGTCTGATGTTGATGTACAATTGAGCTTGCTGAATACACATCTTCATTTCATTAATTCCGCTTTTCCAGTTAGAAGAAATATGGTCAGAATAAAAAGCGATGACTGGTACAAATCTCGTGAGATTCGGTATAGTTTATCTGTAAGAGATATTGCATATAAAGTATATTTGAGTGATAGAAGTGAAGAGAGTTGGAAAATATTCTGCAGATTACGTAATAAGGCAAAAAATGTTGTGAGGAAATTTAAGAGACTGGCCCATAAAGATCTTTTTTCAGTAAAACTTCGAAGCAAATTTGGTCTGTCTTAAAAGCGAATGGAGTTTCTTATGATACTAAGGATGTAGCAGATAGTGATGACGTTGAGAGTCTTAATTGTACCTGAAGGTGTTATGGAAGGGTTTAGTTTCCGCTCTGTATGTGGTGAGGAGGTTATGGAAGCTTTCCAGTTAATTAAGTCAAATGCCGTTGGTTGTGACGGATTTCAATTAAAATTTTTAAGACTAGTGTTTCCTTATATTTGTGATTATGTTGTCCATACTGTTAATACCATTGTCACTACGTCTGTATTCCCTGCAGAATGGAAGATAGCACGAGTTGTACCGATTTCAAAGAGTAATGGTTCTAATGATCTGAGACCAATTTCTATAATGCCTATTCTGTCTAAGTTGGTGGAACATTTAATGAAGAGGCAAATGATTACATACTTGGATGAGTCTTCTCTTTTACATGAAAGCCAGTATGGATTCCGGTGTCATCGTAGCACAACATCGCTGCTTATTGGTCTGACCGACAACGTAAGGCAGAAAGTCAGTGATGGGGGTTGTTGCGTACTCTTGTCGATTGATCTTGAGAAAGCATTCGATAGGATTAATCACGCAAAATTAATTGAAAAGCTTTTTCAGTTTTTTAAATTTTCATCATCTGCCTGCAAGATTTTGTATTCGTACTTATGTGATAGGAAGCAGTATGTTAGCAGCAATAATCTTATGTCTAGTGTCTTGTCTGTGAGTAGTGGGGTACCGCAGGGTTCTGTATTGGGCCCAATGCTATTTATAATGTATATTAATGACTTGTTTAGTATGGTTAGCTGTCGGAATAGTTTATCTTTTGCGTTTGCTGATGACCTACAGATTTTGTTTTTGGGTGATATTGTGTTTTTAGATGTTCTTCAAAATACAATCGATTTTATTACGAATATATTGGTAGGATGGATGAGTGAAAATGGCCTAAGTATTAATGCAAGAAAAACTAAAGTTATGTATTTTGGTAATTTACCCGTCAATGCAATTTCTGTTTCCATCTGTAATGAAGTTATAGATGTTGTAAGCAAGGTAAATTGTTTGGGGGTAATAATTGATAATAAATTGACGTATGAAGACCATGTGAATTCTATTGTGTCTAAGGTTAACTTTACATTAAGAAAGTTATACACATTAGACATTGTTTTGCCACGTTTTATTAAGATACGTCTCGTGCATGCTCTTATAATGCCAAAATTTTTGTATGGCCTTGAAGTCTTCAGTGGTAGTTGTGGTTTTGTGATGCGTAGATTGCGTTTATTGTTTAACAGGGTTATGCGGTATGTGTTTTCTGTAGGTTGGCATCAGCATATTTCCTTTCATGTAGAAAATTTTCTTGGTACTAGTTTTAAGAATTATGTCAATATACGTAATTTGTATTGTTTTTATAAGATGTTTAAACTTCAACTCCCGTCTACTGTCATTGAACTGTTTTCCTTTGGGCGATCAACACGCAACGCACAAATTATTTTGCCGAAATTAACCTCTATTTTGGAAAGGTAATTTTTGGTAAGAATTGCTCGAATTTTTAATAATCTTCCACCATATCTTAAGGCGTTCAATTTTTCTCCGTGTACGTTTAAAAAGAAACTTCTATTATATGTTCAATCTCATGATATCTAAGCTTTAGTTAATTTGGTTTGTTTGTTTATTTCTGTTTTTACATAACTGCGGTTACATTAATCGTTTTTTAGCTTTATGTTAAATTGTTATTAAGGATAAATAATTGAATTTTTATATGTTATTTTATTATAGGTATAAGTTTTTCGAGTAGTATAAGTTATGTTGTTTTGTGTAACTTAAATGGCCTATTTGGCTTTGTTACTATGCTTAATAAATGAAATTAAATTAAATTAAATTTTGTACATAACCTAATATGTACATATTAGGTTATGTACAAAATGTTGGTTTTCCACCCAGAGGTTCAGTAAAATAGTATGAACTGTATGAGCCGTTTTGACCATAGAAGTACTGAGCATTTGGAAATATTTACTCTAAACTATTTAGGCAATACGATTTATTACAACTATATAAGAGGAAAAGCTATTCAACTCATGTCATTTTTAACAAACATGTAAATGTACTTTTAAAATTTTATACACTTTTTTCCGTGGTTAGAATCTCTCCCACTCCCACATATTTTAGAACTTTCATTGAGTACGATATTTGTTTATAAATTGCTACCTAACTATTTGCAAATATGACCATTAATTTTGTAATTCTCTTTTATAGATGCTGAAGCCAGAGCAGCTGCAACGGCATTAGAAGAATCTGACAAAAAGCCTGAGGATTAAATTAACCAATCATCACCATATACGAACCTATAGGAAATATATAACTAAACGTCCTTCGTTTGAACTTTGAATATTTAAATGAAATAACAATTGGATGCAAGCTCAAATATATTTAACAAATACAAATTAAATAATATTATTAAATATTAAAAGGACCCTGAAAACAAAGCCATAAAAAGAGAATGTTATTGAACATAATTTTACATAATTACTATACTAACTTACAAAATAATGAAAAAATATACACATATATATTTTAAAAAGATATTATTATTATTTACAAAAATAACAAGACAAACAAAAACACCACATGAATACGCTTGAATTAAAAAAAAGTAATAATAAAACCCCTAAACATGTGTATGTATATTACCATTTAAAATAAATATATATATATATATATATATCTATATTGTAAATATATGACTTAAATAAATACAGTGTACATTAAAAAGTAATATACACATATTTGAATGTACGGAAAAGGAGTCCTATGCAATTGTATGGAATTTTGCTCTAGGGTGAAATAAAAATTGTTTGGTAATATTTAAATAATCTAAAAAGCGTTTCAAATATACACGGGCATATGGAATCAAAGTTATTTGTACGATTTGTTGTGGAATTCTTAACATATTATAGTAGCATAAATCAAGAATCAATAACTGCAATAACAGATTAAAGTTATATGTATATTGTAATGTCTTGATTTCCTTGCCCACATTCGTTTTTTAGAACTATTTAAATTAAAAGTAGGTCAATTCTTCAATATCCGTTAATAGGTTTTCTCAAAACATGTGACAATGCCTGAATTTAATGACTCAAGTAAACATAATTCCTTGTTCGTTTACATTTCTAGTCACAATATAATTTTTTACTGATAAATTTCACTCGTCAATTCTCTCTGTAGCACAACTGTCGATTCTTATTGTAATTTTGTAATCAAACACAATCCAATAAAATGAATAGAAATTTATTATCGGTTTACGAATTTTGTGTGAATCTTGTCATAGATAATATGTTCGTAATTTATATTTTTCTTTGGATATAAATATCTTTGCTATCAAATGCAATATAGTGTTTATATTTGCAGATAAAACAATTGACAATTTGTGCCTGAAAAAGGGGCGTTTTCCCATTTTTCCTCAAGCTAAACATAACCATTTCGCAAACATTATTCTATTTGGTACATTTGGCATGTTACGTAAATTCGTAGTACCACAAAACATCATGTAAAACTTCGAATTGCATAATACCCCTTTCCTGCGTATAATATGTGTACAATATTTTAATTTTGGCACAATTGAATAACAACAACATAATGCATACATAGATAGTAAAGCAGATACAGAACGTGATTTCCACAATGAAAATGTACCTAAAACTGTTATCGATTTTATTTTATTCTGAAATTGTAAATAAGTTTGAATGTCTTAATACTATTTGCCACTATCTATGCTAAACTTTGAATACCTTTTTGTTTGTTTTTATTTTGAATAAAGAAAAATTTTACTTGTTACTGTAACTTTCTCCTTACTCGAAACTGAATAGAACACAAATACAATACAATACTATTTGCTAAGACAAATACATATTTATTATAATTAGCCTATAACTCTATTTACTATTAAACAATGGAATGAATGGAAGAATGAACGAACGCAGGTATGAGGATTGTTATTTATTTTTATACAGCTTTTGAAATAGATTTTGGTTAGTCAAATGAATGAATGTGTTGAAGAATGTCTTTTTGGTTTAAAACAGGTTATGTTGATCCTTTGGTTTTTACGGTTATCAACTCAATTGAGAATACACACAAAGTGTTTAGAAAATTATAATAAAATCGTTTTTTAAAATGTCTGATAGCGGGACCAGTCTTTTAAGGTTTACCATTGCTCTGAACAAGCTAGCCTGTCTGTTATTTTGAATTTTATTTGTACATATTTTCTGTTTACCTGAAGTAGGGAAGTGTTTCGCGGGACGAAAACGCCAATAACGTTTATTTTATCAGCATTAAAAACAATAGCGCTGTCAAATAGAAAGATTATGACGAGCAAATCTGCAATTAAAATCAATTTCGTTTCAGTTTTAATCAGAGCAATGGTAAATATACTTAGCAGTAAGGTACCATAATATCAGCTGAAATTGGGATCATAGCTTTATTAAGGTAGTAAAACAACAAAAGAAATACACACTCGATTTAAACTATACTTAAAATATACTACATATATATGTATTGCATAACATTAGCAATAACACTGTTAAAATGAGCAACAAATAATAATAATCATCATAATAATATATAAGAAATATAATAATTTATTAGTAAACAAGAAAACAACAACAACACTGCACGTAACAACCAACTAAATCTGAATGGTTTTTAGCCATGATCTATTGGGCTAATTGAATTATTCATACAATAATAATTCCATTAAAAATAACCTTAATTTATGGGACACAGGACGTAAGACTTGCAAATTGTTAAATATGATTAAATGTAGGGGATACATACATCTTGCTAAGAGTATTTCGAAAAGATATATCAGTGACAAAAAGTTTCTAATATTATTTTGGAAATTGTTTTCTAATTCTTATATTCATGATACAATTCCAAAATCATGAGAATACTTTTTCAGATATTTTTTAATTTTTCAAATTAGCTGCGGAATAACACAAGCAGCACACACTTAATCTATAATACTTTACATATTCTGATACAGACGTCATATTTGAACATAGATTTGATAACAGGTGTTCTTTAATTAGAGGTCTCGACATTGGCATAAATTAACTTAGGCGACAACGCGTGGCAATACGCAGCAGTGTTGAGTTCATTGTCCTATTACACTTTTTTTTAATTTTCTGCACCCAGTGCCTCTATGACTGTGAAAATACATAATAAATGAAACAAAATACTGTTGAACACATATTTCATGTTATACAATAATACAACTGCTGTTTTCATATTTTTATATCGTTTAAAACTTACACCTTCAAATAAATGTTGATTTTTTAAATTTATAGATGTTTATTTACAGACATGCTCTAAAATCTACTAATTTATTTCTTGTTCTATTGACGCATATCGTTAATTTAGATTTGAATCAAAAATAGATTTACATGGAAGGCATAATGGAACTTGTTGCAATAAAGAATATTTATTATTAAAATTACCTGTAGCATACACAAAAATTAAAATAAAAAAATGAAATGTGTAGTTTTAGTAGAAGAATATTAGTTGAACTTAAGCTTAATTTAAATTATAATGCGCTGCTGCGACAACCAGCAAATAGTATAAAAAGTGAAAATATATAAAATATATACATTGAAAAGGAAGCAATCATTTAAAATTAGTTGGTTTATGAATAACAGCAACCACAAAGAAACATATACAAATTATATTGAAGTAAATATATAACAGAGGAAATACCTTAACTATATATACACTTGACAATGTAGAAACAAAAATAACGACACAAAATAGTATACATGTATTACAAACATAGAAACCAAACCTTAAGTCAACGCACCTAATACAACAACAAAATTCCTTAATATGTATAAATTCTCAGAAGCGTACACCAGAACTTTTCTCAAGTTTCATTTTTTAAAGAAAATTATATGATATCTTATTTTCAACAACATGACATCAACCAACAACCAAAATTTATTTTAAGAATTTATTAACGTATAAATATACATTTATTTAACACTCACCATGACAATGTGAAACGTTCTACAAATTGCTAATGTAAACCATTATTAACAATTGAAATCTCATAAATGAACAAAAAGACATTTATTATATATTCATATACTTATATATTTAATATACATACCTAATAATAAAAAACATTAAGAAATAAAAATAATAAATCTACTTACTTATAAAATAACAGCAAACCTGAAGAGACTTTTATTTATGGTTTAGTCCATGATATCATCAAGGTGTATTTAATAGGGTGTATCCATGTAAAACTTTACAATTGTTATTGAAATTAAATTGTCATTATGACAATCAGTTTTTGACATACAAATGGTACTTTGGTTAAATGTTTGATATCCTCAGCCTTATGGCTAATCAGGGTATACACATGATACGGCAAAAATGTGCTTCATCGAAGTATTGGTTATAGACCCTATGTTTCTTTAGACCAAATACAATTTGGAGTCGATTTACAATTTTCCGTCCGTATGTCTGGCCGATTGGAGCGCGCGATAACACCCGAAGGGAGTAACCGATTTCTTTCAAATATTGAAGAGCATAATATTTCTTCCAAACTTAGTCCAAGTTCAAATATGTCCACTACTTCTGGTACCTCCCCCACAAAATGGTCAATATTTTGCAGAAAATTTATTTTTATCATTCGAACGGACTTTTCGATTTGAACCAAACCTTGCAAAACCTATTATCTTTACGAAGCCTTTATCAAGCTCGAAGATGGCGCCCATTGGTCCACTCCTTCAGGTATATCCCCCAAAAAATTGTCAACATTTTAAAAACATGTAAAAATCAAGGTTTATTCATAAGTGGTCTGTTCCCGTACTGCAAGAATCTACTATTATTTACAATTTATTTCGATATCATAAAGGAAAAAATGGTTATCGTAGTAAATAATAGTATTTGTTTATTTATTTCAAGGCCTATATAAGGTCGGCCAGTAACCGAATTCATAGAAAAAACTAAGTTTAACGTCATTTGTTTTGCCGATGCGAAAACTAATTACTTCGCCTTTAAATAAAAAAAAAACCAACATAATTTATAATTGTTTAAGATAATTTTTTTGAATGTGTTCTTTAGAACCTTGAAATAGTCCAAATATGCTTGACAAAGACAATTAAAATTAAAATTGAATGTTCACAAAATATTTATATTTTCGTTTTGACGTCTAAAACAATTTTGTACGAATATGATCAAAATATGATTTGACAGCAAACATAATAATCAGCTGTGCTTACTGTCCGACCCAAGGTATATTTAATAAGGTAGCCGCATCGGCCCAGCTGTTGGTGCAAATAAATGTCTAAAATGTTGTTGTAAAGTTGAACCAAAAAATTAAAAAAAAAAAAAAACAAAATTATAAATGAAAATCTCCTAATTTCGAAGAGCTTTTTTGGCAATACTTTTATTAACATTTTCTACAAGAATTTGTGTAAAAAAATATTGTCAATCTGTTTGTTTTGGCAAAATATTTTTGACATATCAAAATACAACAACCGATGTTTGTTATAGAAATTCGCCGATGCAGCTACCTTGTATATCTACCTTGGTCCGACCTTATATAGGCCTTGATTTATTCTTCAAACAATAAATTTGACAGTGAATTAAGACTTCGAATTCACCTCCCAAATTTTTGACAGTTTATTAATGGACCATGGCAATGTCTTCTAGTACCTCTCCACAGATGGTCAACCTTTGATAAAAAAATTTGTTTGTTTACGTTTTCATACGATTGTGTCAAAATTGCGCCATGTGTCAAAATAAACAATTTGACAGTATGGGAGATTTTCATCCAAAGCTGCAGATAATAGGTCTGTCTGTTTACTCGATATTTTGTAACAATTGTTACCAAATGTTACTAAATGTTGTCTGTTTACCCAAAAATCCAGTAAAAGAGAGTCAAGTGAGAGAGCAAGTTTGACAGTTGAACAACAACAAACTTACTGGAGTTTACTGAAAGAATTTTATGCAGTAAGATTTTGCAAACTCAGCCATTTTTCGATCAGCTGTTTTATGACCAAACACAAAAGTTATTCCAAGCATTTTTTTTTAATTTACAAAAGTTCAATTTGAAGTTAAGTTGCATAAAAATTACAGAAAATAGAAGAAAATTCCTAAGTAAGGCAAAGTTTCATTAAATTAGAAACTAATTCCTTATATATTTTTAGGCAAGTTCCAGATAGAGGGCAATATATTGATGCAGGAAGCTTAAATGTTCCCGGGTAACATACCAGATCAATTTTTCTTTTATTATTCATTTTATTTTTAATATTAAATGCAATACAAATAATTGTGTTCGTCCTTTGTTTGTCGATTATTTTGGCGCAAATCAAATGTTTTCTTGAATCAGCTGTTTATCAGCTGTTTACTTGCTTAGAGAGTAAAAAAGGCTTACTCTCTGAACTAGAACTTACTGAATAAATGTTACTGGAAAAGTAACCAGCGAAAGTCAGCTGTTAATTCCCAATACATTAAATTGTTCTGAATAAATATTCCTAGAACAAATTTACACAACATTCTGTAAGTTCTCAGCGTAAAACTGTCATACTAGCTTTCTCTTTTTCCTCTCTTGAACCATACAATTGTCATATTGTTCGTTTACTCAATAATTTGTATAAATTGTTACTAGACAGGGATGGAAAAAAAATGTGAAAAGGTACCAAAAAAGTACTTTTTAATAAAAGAGTACTTTTTCAAGAAAATACAAAAAAAAAACATTTTATTCAGTTTTATAAAGATCGATTTTCAAGATATCACTTTGTGTATCTTTCTGATGTGAGAATTTTTGCATCTTTCGATTCCATTTGAATATGTATGATATTGACTAATTTTAATTTCACTACCCCAAACTAACATGAATTTAAGCCCCAAAGTGCTCTTGAAATTATTGAAGTAATCACGACGACTAGGAATGTCATCAATTTGCCTACCTCAGGAGATAGCCAGAGTATGCCAAATTGAGTATCTGACAAACATATCCATTTAAAAAAAGGAACTCATTATATTATTTTAATGTTTTAATTTTAATCATAACTGAACAGTTATCAGTCGTAAACCTGTTCATTTTTTTTAATAAAAAAAAATATATATATATATTTAATGAAGGATTGGAATGGTACTGAAATGGTCACGGGGGTACTACGGTACTTTTTTTGGGTAAAAAGGTACCGAAAAAAGTACTATTGTACTGAATTTTCCATCCCTGTTACTGGAAGATGTTCGTTTACGCAAAAATCCAGTAAAAGAGAGCGAATTGAGAGAGAACATTCAACAGTTGTATTACTGAGTATTAGCAAACTCTTATTTGGAAAATTCACCCAGTATAGGTTTTTCAATAACATCAACTAATATTTTATCAGCTGTTTTGTTATAAATTGTAAAAAAACGCAAAACAATTTGTTTAATAAAAAATAAGGTAACCACAACTGCATTTTTAAATAAAGAATAATGGTAGGATTTAGAAAAACACGACGGATGACGCAACGTATTCATTTTGCTTACATTTTAAGAGGGCAGAATCAAAATCAGTCAGTTGTTCAAATGTCGGCCAGAATATGGCATAAACGTATCCGTTTGAAATCAGACGATATATGTGGCACTCAGGAAAAAGCTAAAAACAGACTGTAATAACGTTTATAAATAGACGTTGTTTAAATGCTCGTCAGAACATGGCATTACACAGTTCATATGTGGTGAATTCACTAACGTAAGGTTGGCCACGCCATCTGAAATAAAGTATCGAATGTTATCGAAATTGTAATCGCTACTGTGTCATCACCAGAATTAAGGAAAAAATACCAAAGACAAAATATAAGTGAAGAACACAATTTCAACGAAAATTTACAATAAAATCAGCATTGATGTGTAAAACACCATGAAATATCTATAAAATCGACTGCAAACATTATGGCTAGATACAAAGTTGTGTAGACACGAAATAAACGAATTCACATCAATCAGCTGGGTGTCGCGTCGAGGAGATTGAAGTGCTGCAACTTCGAAAAAACACAAACTGTAATTGTAAATATAATCTGTAAATCCGCAAACGTATCCAGAAGTGCATAATTCTTTCACTATTTCGCTTTGAAATTGTTAAATATTTCATTATTTGCTCGGCAAAGCAGTTTAACTTTACTGCCGTTCCGACGGTCGCCCCACCCCCACCCAAATCATACATGTACATAGCGACGGCGACGTCGGTTTGGTTATGCCTACCAGCGATGACAAAAATTGGTGACTGGTGAGTTTCACATGCTATTTTTCATTCGGATTACTGTTCCCCTGCTTTCCTTAAATGGGAATGTGTTCAAGTTATCTTCTGAATACGGTACATTTGTAAATATTTATTTAATTCGATTGTTTAATTATGAAATTATTATCGTCGTTGTCACTGTCATTTGTTGATCTTATGTCTGAACGATTATCAGAGAGAGGTACACAATTGCACAAATGTTTGTTCATAAGTTATATGTTGGCTTTATAATGAATCGCCAGCCCTAGTATCTTAAACAAGGACAAAGAAAATAATCTTATAGGAGGTTATATCGACGGATCCATTCTCAGTTATAAATGTTCTTGTCGGTATCCCTATCTCCATTGGCAATGCTTTACATTTTGTGCAGGGACAAATAAGTAAATAAATGTGTATAGAAAAGACCGCTATTTGTGTTGGCACAACTGTTTTGTAGCTTTTCACGTACTGTTGGTGTAAGTGTGCGATATTGACCTAAACTTTACCAAAAGTCTTTTTCTTTACTGGTTCATTGTTTCTCAGTTCTTTCTCTTTGTGTGTCTGCATTCTGCATCTTAAGACATCTGATCACAAGTGGGTGAACCGTCAGAGTAGATTATATTTTTGTAGAATAAGTGTTGTTGTCTCAAGCACATATAGCACAAATGCCATACTGGAGTAGTCGGCAAATCTTTTAAAACGAAATGAGCTGTGTGCCTGCACTCTATTTGTTCGCAAATATGTGTACGTAACTGCTGTTGTTTTATTGGCGACGGTATTTGAAATAAAGCAAACCCAATAGTATTAAAAAGTTATCGCAATAATTATATGTGTACATTGTCTATGACGCCAGTATGTCAGCAGCAATGTCGTTAAGCCCACTATATATTTTAAAATATAAATATTTTGCATCAATATCAAATTAACTGATAATTGGATCGACTCAATGGTAACAATTTAAAAATAGCCCTTCTAATATATTGATAACAGCGATCTTTTCACTAGTAAACGAAGAGAAGTCATTGCAATCGAGTTGACCTGCACATCCTCCTTAAACATTTAGAGAATGATTATTTAAAAATGGAGTATTGCAGATTGGACGATGACGTTATGTACAACGCATTGTTTTATTTCCATTTAATGCAGTTTTATACAGTACTAAAGTAAATAAAATAGGAAATAAAAATAAATAGAATTTACCGGCGAATTAAATAACATTTAAAGCTTGTCTAAAATTGTAACAAAACCTTCTTTACTTTTCAGAAATACTAGTCATACAAATATTTAAAAGGGAACCCCCACGAATACGTAAATGGTTATTCCTTGACAAAAAGGAAACTGGAAAGACATTGTTTGCATTTATTAGTCCAGAATAGTTATATTTTAGATATTAAAGTTTTTAAATACAAATTAAATCCCCAAGTACTACCAGCGCGCCAGAAAAATTACCACAACAAAAATACAAACATTTTAAAATTGCAAAGCAGATTTCATAAAAATGGGTAATAAGAATTCATGTTGTGCCTACTCGAGTCCACAATCGGACCGAAAGTCCAAAGATATACCGCCTGTCTATGAGGAACGACATCACATACATCAACACACCTCGCAACATCATCTAACAACAGATGGCGTAGTACACACATCATCCACAGCTGCCATACACCACAATCCTGAAATGGTGGACAATACACAAACTCTGCAACATATATCAGAACGGGAAGCAACAGAAGGTGAAGAAGATCCTTCGGTTGATCCTACGGCAGCCACTATGTTCCTCGAACGATCCAAAGTTGAAAATGGCGGTATTACACGTAAACGATCTCAGCACCAAATAGCACAGCACAATTCTTCCGGTGGATTGAAAAAGTCTTCTTCGTGTTCCACAATATACTTGGACGATAGTACGGTATCTCAACCGAATTTAAAAAACACCGTCAAATGTGTTTCTCTGGCCATTTATTATCACATCAAAAATCGTCAATTTGACAGACGTCTAGATATTTTTGACGAAAAACTACATCCACTAACACACGATCCCGTGCCCAGTGATTATGATTCGCACAATCCTGAGCACAGACAGATCTATAAATTTGTGCGTACCCTCTTCAATGCGGCCCAATTGACGGCTGAGTGTGCCATTATAACGCTAGTCTATTTGGAACGTCTGCTAACGTATGCCGAACTCGATATAGCTCCATGCAATTGGAAGCGCATGGTTTTGGGTATATTGGTTCTTTAATATACAATTTTGTATCTAATTTAAATTATACATTTGTTTTGTTGCAGGTGCCATTCTACTGGCATCCAAAGTGTGGGACGATCAAGCCGTATGGAATGTCGACTATTGTCAAATTCTTAAAGATATCACGGTTGAGGATATGAACGAGCTGGAGAGGCAATTTTTAGAACTACTTCAATTTAACATCAACGTCCCATCATCAGTGTATGCCAAGTACTACTTTGATTTACGTACACTAGCTGAAGCAAATGAATTGTCATTCCCCACGGAGCCGCTGTCAAAAGAGAGAGCACAGAAACTAGAGGCAATGTCACGTGTAATGCAAGATAAGGTTACGGCTGAAGCTTTAAAGAATGGCATAAAGAAATGGTCGTCAATGGACAATATCAGTCAAGGTGGACCCAGGCGTAGTGTAGCTATTTTATCGTGATTTTTATTAGTCTATTAAAAAGGTCAGTAACACTTATCATCTTTGAATTGCATTCTGCGTTTATTTGATAGTTTAAGGGAAACCCCATTCTCGATTTCAAAACTTTATGATTTTCAACCGAACGTCCGATTCCAAAAATTCCAACAGCTCTGGCTCTGGTGTGAACTAGGATTATTTGAAGAAATTCCCTATTTTTGACCAGAAATCGAGTAAGAAAATAGGGTAGATTTTGACCAATTACATTTATCCTAGTTCATAATCCGATTGGGATATCGTGAGTTATCGTGCCCGCCATTTGTAAAAACCACTGTATCGAGAAAAAGGCGTTTCAGGTTTGAGAATCACTTCTCAAGAGTTGTTGAGATTTTCACTTGAAATTTTAAAGAGACATCACTTAATTAATATAGGTTTAAATTAATATTTAACTAACATTCTATAAAACAACATATAGAATACAGCGCTTTCGCATTTCTTAGTATCGTCGGAAATCCTAATCGTATTGATGTAATTTACCGTTACCATATGATACATTTGTAAACCAGCAGACTTATTATTCGGATATTCGGATAAAAATTTATTTTATACAAAATTACTGCAAATTCTTTATGGAATTTCCTGGAATCTAATTATAGAAAATGTTGGCGATTTATCTAAATTGGCTTATGTGCTACTGATTACAATAGATAGCCGTGCATATCTATATTGACTAATATTTATAATTTTACTCTGGCGAAAAATTAATATGCTTCATTCGGACTGCAAAAACTTAATGTAAAACAGCAGGAGAAAAAATTGTCTTTATACAAAATTACATATTTTTCACGTTATATCTCTCATTTGCTGTAAAACCGACATAAATAAAAATATTAACAACAATTTAGCAGGACACGAGTTTTATGTTTTCAATATACTTACACCTTACAAGGAACAAAAGAACTACTACAGTTTCTCATTCAGAGTGTGTAGGAGATATTCGTCCGATTTTTCTACACATACTCAAATTTGATATAGCGCAAAATTCTACATCATTAACTCAAAAATTTTGATTTTTGATTTATACCGGTCTTGCAGCAAATAAGTGAAGATTTTTAAATTCGAAACCATTACTAATACTATCTTTCTTTTTATAGGTTCGACTATGGTTTTGATGCAACATACGTTGTTTGCAAACTATTTAAAAATAATGAAACGGAAACCAATTGCCAAAATTTAATATTCTTCATTTTGTGTGCACACCAACATTTCTTTCGATATTAAGGCGTTTGCTTAGCAAAATGCTGCTGAACACAAAACCGAATATTATTAAAACATATTTAAATAAATAGCGAAACGTTTTAAAGTAGTGAAGTAAACACGAAATTACAATCCCATACAAAGTACTCCACTCTTCTCAGCTACTGCAACTAAATAACAAATGCAATTTTGAAACTAGATTTTAATACTAAAAAGAAACGAAACCAATTCGTTTGAACATATTTTCTGTTCATTCATTTAATTTGGCTGCTATAAGAAATTAATTTAATTTTATACATATTTCTATATTTGTTTTTTTCTTTTTTTGTATGTTATATCGTGTAATTGTACATTGAACCGATAATCCAAAAGAAATCTTTTGTAATGAATTTATGTGATGTTTAATTTATGTTTAATTAAAACCCGAAACTTCCTTTTGTTTATAAATATGTAAGTTTATTGTATTAGTATTTTAGAATATAAGCAAATGACTTCCAAAAACAAATGGAACATAAAACATGGGAACTTATGAAAATACAGCGGTGAAACGTGTGAAGGAAAAACAAACATTTTAACCAACTAAAATCGGAATTAAACTTTATTAATTCAAACCCTGCGAAATAAAACAGACCAACGTTTCAAGACGAGTATAATAAAGTAATTTTATTTTAAACTGCTTTAAAGTTGCGAATTTAAAAACGGACTCAAACTTTATAATACCAAAATATATAATGCCAGATATAATAATACGGAACATTATATGATATACGTAGAAGCATGTTTGTAGTCTTAGTTTTTAAACTTATTAAACTATTGTGAAGAGAGAAAAAAATTGGGAATAGCAAATAACTTGAAGAAGTATCAGTAATATTAATCTTACTTTCACAACTATGTAATTTTATATGTTTTTATACACAATCCAACAAACAACATACATGGAACTGTATGGCGAGACATGATAATACATTAGTGATGATTTCTTAATTCAATATTATCTTTCTTTTATTGATTTTCTAAGCACCGAAGGCATATTTACATAATTCATATGTATGTCGACAGCAATAAATCATTTTTGCACAATGCAAAAAATCAACGTAATTTACGTTTTCATAAAATTTTAAACATTTACAAAAAAAAAAAAAAACATAAAAATAGTAAATAACATAAAACAGAAAAAATAAATTTCGAATATCAAGAAAAATATATTTAATGAAGATTTTTTATTTAATGATTTGAAAAAAAATAAGAAAGTATATTTGGCTGAATTTGAACATGAACGGTAAGTAAATTAATTACAGTACTTACAAAACATGTATATTATTGAAAGATACGACTTATTTTTATATTTTTTTTTAATATGAAATGCGGTATTAATGTAATATGTGTATTTTGTTTTCTGACCATTGTAAAGTAGACTACGCTTTCATTTGACACCAGTTTCGTTGAAATGCGATAATCTACTCCAAAGTTATACGCTTCGAAATTTGGACTCGAAAAACGTATGAGCCATATTTGAACATGTCCAACTAAAAATGGCGCAGACATTTCAACAACTCTGCCAAACAGTCTTTAATACTGTCGGAGAGTGTCTGTTCTAAACTTTTATATTCGAATTATTTATTTACCATCACACATTCAAAAGTTATGAGGAATCTAAAATATTTTTGATTTTCTGTAAATTTGGCAGCACTGGCAAACACGTGTCGATAACGCCATCTATTAATAGATATATTCCGGTCCAATATTTCTGGAAAAGACATAAAAGTATACAGATACGACAATTGATACGTCGTCAAATTCCAATAGATGGCTTTTTCATTGTTGTTCTGATATCACAACAAGAGATCGAACAATATTAAGGATTTTAAGCGCTCTATCGCAAGCTTATAAAATGGAAACATATTTTGAGTGCAGATCCCTGATTTTATTTACATTTTACACACACATTTTCGCTTATTGGCGTTCCCCCTACATTTGTTCATAAACTCTTTTGTCAAAGTGCATTTTGTCGAGTCCTTACGGTTTCTATGTTTTTGTCACTCCTTCTAGTACCTCCCTCAAAAAGGGTCAACACCTGGTACCTCCAACAACCAAATCGAATCGATTTAGAAGGCATCGTCTAAACACGCAATATGGCGTTAGTTATAGCATACTTTCAGGATGGACATCATTTTTAATTTTCTTTAGTTCCTTCATTTCCTATGTTTTCTCAATTGGCAATGTTTCGTATTCCTCCATTTTCTTCATTTGGCAACACTCGCTTTCATTTTTGAATTCGACTTGTGTATCCCTAATGTAATATTGTCATATTTTTAGTATTTATTTATTTTGGCGAATGTTTTATACATTTGGAAACGATTTCCTTAAAACGGTTAGTATTTTTTTTACCATGGCTAAAAATCGTTTTCTTCTCACGTGATCTTTACAATACATTGAGTTGTAGAGAAAGCCAATACAACCACATTTCATTGTTACACGTCATGTCTACATTTACATGTATGCCGAATAAAGTAACCAATCGCATCTAAACAAATTGTCAAAACAAAACAGAGTTTCCAAGGTTCAAACTATACAACCGGTGCCGTCGTAATGTCCGGAAGTATACGAAATAAGACTACAAATTAATTCGATCATTTCGTTTTATATACATTTTGTGATTTAATTGTGTTTTGCATCGCCGCAAGTAACAACAAAACATATGTTCTAAATTTAATTGAGGAAAAACCATTAACAGCTGATTTCTATATTGTTGCTTGTTCTATAATCTGTATTTTTTGTAAATTGTCTAATTTGGAAACACTGACGAAAAATACTTTATTTATATATGCCAACCTGAGGATAACATTGTGTAACGTTCAACTGAGATGAGTTAAATATATCGCGTGTTGTAAAATCGCAGAAAATATTAGAAAAAAAATAACCATTATTGTCTTTTTCGTAAACTGAAGTAAATAATAAAGTAAATAAATACCAAAGTCCAATTAAAAATACATTGGCAACACTAACATCTACTGAAAATATCAGAAATAAAGAAACGTCAAGTGAGAGAGGAAGCAAGTGACGGAATTTCTTCATTTTCGCATTGAAACTAAATTTTCTTGTGTGTATGTATAAGGAAAATCGAATAAAAAAGAATTTAATTAAATCGGTCGTAAAGTGAGAAAAAAACGAATCAAACGAAAACATTGGAAAATCAAAAATATCCAATTAAAATTATCAATACATACTAGAATTGAAAACAAGAAATTTGACAGCTATCAGTGGAAGAGACACATACAGACGCATATACACAGTATCAATTTATTTTGAGACATAACAAGTGATTTAATCAACAACAATAAGGAGTGTGTGTGTGAGAGAGAGAGAGAGTGGGAACGAGTGGAAAGTCATAAAAAACAATAAAATATACTAAAATCGGATTTATTCGACGGAAAAACTACGTCTTTTCAACTACGCTAATTACTTTCTAACGAGTAGGCGAGCCGCTTTGGTGGAATACAATTCAGAGGATAATAAAAAAATACATTTTCCACGTTATGGATGATACCAACAATTCATCCTCGGCTGCATTTCAAGTAGCAGGGTAAATAAACATAAATTATTCAATATGCATTCATATATACCCTATAATATAAACATTGAACCTTTTAGCTTTTGGAAGTTGATGTGTTAAACATTGAGAAACTGAAATCGATAGTTCCACAAAGAAAAATTTTATAATATTGTTAGGTAACACAAAGATTGCTCCCAAATGAAGCTGTCCGTCGTATCGTTTTGCTATGTAAATGCTTTGTGTTTTACATATGACAGCAAAGTGAACACAAACATGGAAGTATTTTTTTAGCGGCTATGGACATTGTTTGGGTTAAAGGTTAAAAGTCGATCTATGTATAAAGTTTTGTTGTGACAAATAATTGTTTTTATTAGTTAGGGGGGGTTAGCGGAGTCATAATGTACGAAAACAGTTTTAGTGCTCAAAATGTTTAATAAATGTACAAATAAGTATAATAATGCAATACTTGATTGCAATGCTGCATTATTATTTCTTATTTAATTATCCTGCTATTTCAAACACAATTAAACATTTATTTGTTTATTTAATTTAGAAAATAATATCGTTAGGTTATCTACCTAACATTCGAGATTTAATTATTATTTAAATAAATATATAAATTTGTTAGCGAACTTAATGCATGCTTGGAATAAATATCGTATTTTTATTAACATCAATATATAGAATGCACAACTTACACTATTTTCCCCACTTTATTTTGCAGAAGCAAACAAGTAATGGATGTCGCGCCTACCAACAAGTCACCATCTTATGTTAAGCTTTTAATTAAAGCATCCAATCAGCAATATGATGATCAAATCATAGAAAGTGATCTATCATGGACGGTGAAGAGATTAAAGTCCCATTTGGCTTTGGTGTATCCTAGTAAACCGGTAAGTAATGGATAAATACATATATATTATAGAAGTATATGTATATATAGTCATAGCTATCACAATATATTGTAAAATATTGTCACATTAGATGTCAGAAAAATATATGGATATTTATATTGAATACTTTAAACAAGTAGACTCGGTTCGGTTTGTTTTCGTTACCAAAGTATATTCAACCAGTTTTAATCATAATTGCCTAAAACAAGATTTTCCTATTTTTTGTTTGTTTAATTTTTTTATAAACAGCTGTTGTGGTTGTCATTGTTTTTCACGTTTCATTTCTAGAAGATTTTTTACTAATCATAACACATAAACTGTTGCGCTCTCGTGAATATTAATATGCATATTATGTTCCAAAATAACATGGATGGATAACAAACACAGCATATGCTAATACAACTATTCATTTTAATAATAAATTAAATACAATTTTTATTTACACAAAACAGTGCTCCCATACAAACAAAATTGTCGTTCGTAATAACAAATATTGTGTGTGTGTTTATTCAAGTGTATTTTGTTTCTTTTGCGTTCTTATCAAAAAGCTTTCTTATCAGTTTTTACACCAGCCGAGAGATCGACAAGTGGCTGTTTGCTATTTGCTAGAATTTCTACATTTCAAATTTGTATCTCCCCGCCGCACCAGACATTTCGTTGTTTTGTTTTTGATAGAAATACATTTCCAGACGTAATTGCAGGGCTTGAATATCAAATGAGTCTTATTAGTCAATAACTTGACGTATGCTCGCATGCAAACAAATCTCTGACATTGTGAACGTTTTCAAAGTATACCATAAACTTTGTTTTCGCACTGCACTTTTCACTACGGATTTAACAATATATTTTTCTACTTTCTTCTTTTCAGCCTGCCGCCGATCAAAAATTAATATACTCTGGTCAATTGTTGAACGATAATCTGCAATTGAAAGATGTTATACGCAGCTACAAAGACGTTTATACTCACAATCATATAATTCACTTGGTTTACACTCCTAAAAATTTACCTCCTGTCTCTTCGTCAGCAGCTAAAGCAAAATCAAAATCAACGTCATCAATTTCAGCAGGCGCTAGCAGCATGTCATCAGATGATGGTCTACGTCAAAGGCATGCGACCGCAAGTGCCGTTAACGCATCCACGGCAGTAAATAATCAAAATGGGGGCCCAAATGCTGGTAATCCCATGGGTTATTATTCTCAATATTTGCCGCAAACAGCAGTTTCAAGTGGTGGAGCTGACCCTCCATTAACAGTTCCTGGTTACAGCCAGTTCAACATGCAAGCATTAGCAATGCAACAAGCTGCAATGTACACCTGGATGCAACAGGTCTATTCCCAATACATGGAACAGTGTTTAAGAGTGTAAGTTTTGTATTAAACTATATTATAAATATGACAACATTGTGGTGTTGTTGAAATAAAAAAAACCTTCACAGAAATAGGATTCGATACATTCGAAAAGTTTAACATCCGTATTGATTCCAGTCCTACAAAAATTAATATGTTTCGCGTTCTCATTTTAAGTTTAATCTTTAAAAATTGCCCTACATTGCAGGTCCCATAATTTGAATGGAACAACAGATGATACTAATAGTACAGGAGCTGCGGGAACATTACTGCAGCCTTTTTCAACATTCCCACAAAACCCTTTTCTGCCCCAATTCCCACAAACTGTGATATCAAATGTGGCTCTACCCGCCACACCGACAGCAAATACTGCTACGGAGCACCAACAACCAGCACAGGAGCCAGAACAGCAACCAGCGCAGGCGCAAGTTGCAGCACCCCGTTTTCCAAATATGCCTCAAGAAGAAGCCGATAACAGAGATTGGTTGGACAATATATTTTCAATAACTCGGTTGGCCTTATTTTTGACAATATTGTATTTTAATTCCTCGCCACTACGTTGTTTGGCTGTGGTGATCATAGCAGGTGGCATATACCTGTAAGTACAATTATATCATGCATATGACCACGCAGTGTTTAATAATGTAAACTCTCCTTGTTTTAGGTACCACATTGGTGTTTTCCGTTTACGTCATGAACGGAATAATAACAATTTAAACCGTAACAACAATGCTGTTCAAAATGCTGCAGTCGATCAAATTAGACAAGGGGTTAATCAACAGCAACCCCAAGCAGAACAGCCAAATGATGCACCTGAAAATAATGTCGCTGCTCCAGCCCCAGCAGGCAATAACAATGAGCCACCAACCAATGCTGCTAATTCAAATGCCGCTGTTGGAAGTGAAAATGTTGCTAACGAAAACAATGAATCGATGATTTCCACACTACGCACATTTGTTGTGACATTTTTCACTTCCTTGCTGCCTGAAACACCAGCCATATAAGTGTAAATGTCAAACAACCGCGCACGTTACGTATGCTTTAATCCTCAGCAATATTTTCCTTCACATAAGATGATCGTCCTCATTTCCACATTAGCCATAAATGATAAACACATTTGGTACTACCCCTTTATCCTATCTATTTATTGCACATATGTTAATAAGGCTTTTTGTTTACGTGCGAAACGTCTCTCAGCACAATGGAGATCGTTATCGTTCATGTGGATATACATAATCAGTTTGTTTTTCATTATTTTGGTTTACATCCATTTCGAGAAAAAAAATGAAATTTTATATTAATACTGTGTATAGCCAATTATTGAGAAGTAATATGATATATGAATGTTATTATTTACTGTTTCCCCCCTTTCGTTTAGTGTATACGTGTTTATAATTATATATTTTTCCTTAGCTTAGTTTTAAATATAAATATATTGAAAGAAAAAAACAAAATCAATGTAAAAATAATAAAAAATGAATGTAACAACAAGTCCAATTTATTTTATATCATTTGAACATATTTTCGTTCTTCATAAGCCACTTAACACATATATACGGTGTTACGTTGTATAGCTTATATAACGATGTCGATCAGAAGAGTAGTATCCAATATAGCGATACCACTCTAAAAATCGTGACAACTCAAGCATTTTTACTTTTTTATGGAGTTCTTTCAAATAAAATCAATTGCCATTCTATGTATGTTAAAGACCAATGCTCGCATAATATGGGTGGACCAGAAAAAAGGCTTAATCCAATAACTATTGAATGCCCGATTTGATCAAACTCCGCACTTCTTCGTATTTTTACCATCGGTCATCGACTTTTCAAGTATGTGGGGTATTGCACATACCGTTTACGCGGCAACTCTGTCTAAAATATTGTGCACTATAAAATATAGGATGGACTGGATGATATACATTTGCATTATTTCTGCATCGTTACGCATTCAAAAGTCAAAAAAGGCACTGTCAAACATTAGTCGTATGCTCCATCTATTGAATCGGTAGATTTAAACCTCATTTGATTCTCCTATAACTTTCGACCTAAAGTAGATATTTAAATAAACTTGGTCTCATGTAAATGGCGTAATTGTACACTTTTTGTGAACTAAGAAAAAATAACTATTTCAAAATTTCTGTCGGTAGTATTATTTGCTGGTAAAGTATACTATTTACGATTTCATATGACGCTCGTTTCTCTGAAATGCGATAAAGTTATACCACTCGAAAGCTGAACTCGAAAAACTAAGTGTCTGATTTTATTCATATCCATAAACTTTTTTCATAAATTTTTTCGAAGCGCAGATATTAACATAAAAGTGGTGTCATATGAACGGTACAATCGTATATTTTTTGTGAAATAATCAATATCTCAAAATTAGTTGTATATTAAAATTTTCTCTATAATATTATTTGCATATTACATTTTTTCTCTATAATATTGCATTTTTAATGTCTATTATATATTCGTAACAATGTAGAATGTGTCCGTTTTTTAAAATATGATAAAGTTATACGCTTTGTAAGTTGGGCTTAAAAGACTGTTTTTTCTATCATCATAAAATACAAATACCTTATTTCTGTTCGTCATAAGTATTTTTCAATGGCACAATTATACAAGGTAGTCTCATGCAGTCACGTGGCATTACAGAAGGTAGTATAATTTGAGAATTTGATGATGGTAACCTTTTTTAATTTGAAACTCATCTATCAATCATGGCATAATTACAGAAGGTAGTCTCATTTGAGAATTTGATGATGGAAACCCTTTTTAATTTGGAACTCATCTATCAAATTTAAATAATATGAAAAATAAATTCCATAAAATTTTATGTATGTCGATTGGCATATTTTCAATAAATTAAACAAAATATATTTTCTAAAGCTGAACATTGCTCTCAAAACCATGGTTGCTAAAACTTATATTTATAACTTATATTTTTAGAGGCGGGGAACTTGAAAATATCTATAAATATAAAAGATATATCAATTTTAGGCACTGAACACATGATATGCGTACATTTCGAAGGAAGACATTTTTATTTAAATTTTGAAAGCTGAATACTGTAAAAGTCAAATTTATGAAAAAATTGGAAACCTATGACCAAGGTTTATTCATAAAGGGCCCCATACACTATACATCATGCCGTACAGCATTTGTCATAGTATGTGTTATTTTTTGAAAGTTTATTTATGTATGTGTGACACACACAATGCATGAAGAAAATCAAAATGGTTTTGATTTTGAAAAGGAACCCCTATCAATCTGGTGAATAATATTCATTTTGAAAGTTGTCAGTAAATAATTTTGTGTACAAAAATAATAGAATTGTGACGAATAAAAAAACAACTGAATTTAGGACTCAAAATGCATTTTTTGGGACAAAAATCGTGGAATAGTGATTGAAGAGGTTGCCATACACTAGTCAATCTCACATATACAAAAAGGGGTACATCGGCATGACGGCATTATTTATAGTGTATGGGGCCCTTAAGGTTAACAGGGAGGCGAATTCATGTCTTAGTCTTATCTTGCTGTCAACATTTTAATCGCTACATACAAACAGGATAAAAATTCAAAATATCTTTCAAAAAACGTAATGATATTAATGTGCACGTATATTTTGGTTCGAATAAAAATATTTGTTTGTTTAATTATTCTTCAAACAATAAATTTGACAATCAATGAAGTCTTTGAATTCGCCTCACTGTTAACCTTATGAATAAATCTTACCTCACTGTTAATCTTATGAATAAATCTTATGCCATGATGCAGTCATATGTTTTAAATTTTTTTAATAAATTTGCCTTTGACAGTATTCAGCTTTCAAATTGAAGTTTCAATGTTAGTTTTATAAAGTATGGAATATTATATTATTACATGTGGGGGAAGTATTAGAAGGAATGCGATGGTAAGTCCCATCTTTCAACAATACACAGGCTTGGTAAACACACCAGGTTGTGAAAGTTTGGTTCAATTTGGAATATCCGTTCGTATGATATTAGGAAACTAATTTCCAGCACCATTTTGGCAATTTTGTGCGGGAGGTACTAGAAGGAGTGGACCGACATTTCTCATCTTCGAATTTAAGTTTGGAACAAATTTTACGACGTAAAAAGTTTAGATGAAATCGGTTACTGCCTCCGAGAGTTATCGTACGCACCAGACATCCAGACAGACGGACATTAAGTTGCCAGTGTTTGAGTTAACTTTTGTGAGGATTGTAATTTTTAAGAATTGTGCATATTTGTAGCAAGTTCGTTGTAACCAAATTAAAATAAATGAAAACCAAAGTTGGGGCCGAAAAAATAGTTCGTTATAAAAAAAAAGTTCCCCATATCAGTAGTTCGCTTTAGGAGTAAAAATCTCGATGACAAAACCCGTATTCGTACAGAGGAACAAAAACAAAAAATAAAATGAAAATGTAGTATGTTTATATACTACACATCCTAATAATTTGTTAGATATCCTTTTTTGTTTAATACCGCACCTGGGCGACTAGGCATGGATTCGACTAGTTTGGAAGTTAACTCTGTTAATAGTTTATGCCATTCCAAAACTTTTCTTTCAAAATTTACCACAAATTCTCAAACTGTGTGTAGGAGAGTTATACTGGATCCAATGTTCAAAGACAAAATAAAGCGTGATCCCCAAATTGACTGCACTTTGTTTCAAGTTTTTCTTTAAAATGTGTATATAGTCCTCTGCTGTCATTATGCTATCAACAAAATGCAGGTTTCCAACTCCAGCTGCATAAAAAACCCCGAGATAAGCTCTTATGGTTCTCTAGTCAAATCCGATATTTTTATATTGAATTTCTATCCTATGGTCCGGGATGGTCCGTGTGACGAATTTTTAGGTTTTCGACTGTCAAAAAGGTGTAAACGTCGAAAACGTCATATACATGTATAAAATGTAATAAATGTAGTAAACGTCATTTATTTCAATATTATTACCATATACAGTTATGTTCAAGAATATATATTATTTTTACATATATCTGACTATTCCTTACTAGAACTGATAAAAATGTCTAAACTTTTTTGAGAAGAATATTTTGAAATTTTATATGGATTTGAGTAAAGCATGCGTAATTTCCAAATTAATTAATGGAAATAGCTATTTCGTCAAAAACCTAATGGTTTTGAGTAGGTTTCCGACGTTTCTGACATATGTATTATACGTCGGAAATGTATGTCATTTACGTCACTGTTTCTGGCAGGCCATCTCTGGTTATAATCCTTACTTTGGTACTTTTTGGAAAACGCAATCCGTTTTTGCTTATTAACGCCGTTAGTAAATGGTTTTCGGACAGCATACCGGATTTAAAATTTTTTGAATTTTTGCATAACATATCTTCAATTACTATTTATTTGGTAGGTTTTTTTATGGGTGTAGGAATATGCATTTTGCATACGGTATATATTATCTCTAATGCGATTATTAAAACCTTGACTAACATCAGAGGTAAAGGATGAACATAAACTGAAGAAGGAAAAGCATTTTGTCAGATGACAAGTTAGCTCTAACTTACAGTGAACAGGTGAGAAATTTATTATCCAATGGACCGAGTAATTTAGCAGAAAAGTCATTTTAATTACAATTTAGATAGTAATGCATATTTTTATTTTTTAAATATACCTTAACATACGACTGTCACTGTAGCTTATATTATTTCTATTAATAATGTATGTTAGACATTTAGTAAATACTTACGTTAAAAAAATCTGAAGCATTTTTAGCACTTTTGATATCTGTTTCAAATCGAAATTAATTCAAAACAAGATAAGGAGGTTTTGAACCATAAAACTTAGACGGTTGGTGACAACGTTACTAAAACACTATCGTGCGTATGTGTGCGTGCGCTTTTTACTGATAATCTTTATCCGACTAGGTATAATCAAAGTGCACAACAACAGTTCTAAATACACATCATGGGATAAATACACATCCACGCCATGAGGGAATGTAAGGAGTTCAGCATGTGTGTGTGTGCGCGTTGTGTGTTTACATAGGAATATCAGAATTGTAATCGCGCTCATTATCAGAATTCGTTGGTCAGGCACATGGTATAACGTCTGGACATTATCAGTGGAACTAAACAACAACTCACATGCAGTTTCAACATCGCGGGAAGTCCAAAATAATTTTGCACCATCTTTCATTCAAAAAATAACGTCCTACCAACACATACTTCGCCGGCACCAACACATACACAGTGCTGCAGGCACTGCCACTTGAGAACAAGAAACTCAAATCTGATAGGGGCTCGGCTACTCGACGATTTTGGTCAGAAACGTTTCAACCGTCGAATAAAACGGATCTCCAGCAGACGCATACAATTTCTAAGCGATCAGTGACATCGGGCATATCAGTATTTTTATTCCAGTGAAATCGAAACTATAGCCGTGACTTCAACACGTATGCGAACAAAATGATGCGATTATTGCAGTCTCGTGCAGCAGCATGCTGTACAAAAGAATCAATTACAAAGACGTTCAGTAGATGGCGTCACGTAAGTACTATCACGCACCTCTCTCACTCACGCAGAAACTCGAGAGTTATTGACATTTTCCTTCAATTTAGCATGGACGCGTAATTGCTATACGCCGTGAAGATCAATCAGTATGGGAGCGCAGAGCTGCATTAGGTCCTTCTCATGTCCAGAAGCTCGTTAAGCAAGGTGTGAAGGTTATAGTGCAACCATCAAATCGCCGTGCATACCCAATGCAGGTAAGAACGGGGCAGTTTTGCCAAACTAAATCGAATTCGGTAAAGTACTGAAACAAATAATTAGAAGACAATGAATGACCTTGGAATGATTTCGAAAACACTCACACACACATGCAAACGCATTAATTGTTACTGGGTGATATTCGTATATGCGACTGCCCCATAATGCTTATCATCTTCAAATATTTGCAACAACAAATTATGATACAACATTGCAAATATGACAAGCAATCAGAAGACGTAGCGTCACTGCCAATTGTATTCTCTGCAATGTAAATGCGATCTGTGTATAAGAGTGGACCGCCATATATATGTGTAGATGTATATGCAGAACGGAATAACAATGCTTTTTTTAGTTACCTAAAGTGGGCACACATTTAAAAGGACCTGCCATTCTCGGTTTAAAAAAGAACGATTTTTTATTTTTATTTAATTTTAATCTAAATCCTAGTTCATACCATTTATCAATTTATTTTCTTATTTTTGTTTTCATCTTCGTCGAAATTTGAATCGAGATTGGGTGTTCCCTTAATGAGTGTTGTTTATGAGGTATAAAATTTACTTTTAATATTCACACCTGTTACTGTTACTAATACACACGACAATTTGTTGACATATTTTTTATTAGAGTATTAACAGAAACGATTTATGTTTTTGTCAGCGTCAATATAATTGGAGATTTCTGATAGAATATAGCGGTAACTGTTTTACTATGTTTCAAATTACTTTTTTGTCGAGTTCACTGAACTTGTTTTACACATTTACATTCTGCATTTATCCTGCGAAAAAGTCAAAGATGTACAAATCAAAAAAAAAGTTGCTTTACTGTCTTTATAAAAAAAAACATCATGGAAATTTCCACTCGATGCTTTGTGCACTTCTTTTTTATTTTATCATATCGCACAATCCTCGCCGAACAATACCGAAACGTTTAACAAAAAGTTTTTATGTTCATATGTCGAACAGTTATCTAGCTCTCCAAACAACAATCACACAGCAAGTAAAAAAATAATAATAGCGCGCAAGTTTTATGCGAATACAATTACGCTCAGCGATAATTCCAATTTCACGAATTTAGAAGAATAACATGCCAGATATTAGAATGAAGAAAATAAAAACGTCTAACCAACCAATCAACAAATCAAATGTATATAGAACAAGCTTTGATTAACGGATTTATCAGCTATACGAAGCACAGAGATACACACCAGTGATAATGTATCGTGCGATAATGAATTTCACTTCATTTTCACATGTGACTAAATTTAACAACAACTTCAAGTACAATCGTATCGCTTCAATTGGGGGTGTGTACATACAACTGCTGGCATTTGCCATATTCTAATCGTACATTGTTGATGGTGTTCTTTATAGGCTTATCTGCAGGCTGGTGCAATTATTCAAGAGGACATTAGCGAGGCTTCTGTTATTTTCGGTGTTAAACAAGTTCCCATCGATGCTCTTATACCGGGCAAGACCTACTGCTTCTTCTCGCACACCATCAAGGCGCAGGAATCGAACATGCCTTTGTTGGATGCCATTTTGGAGAAGAAGATTCGTTTAATCGATTACGAACGCATCATCGACGAACGTGGCGCCCGACAAGTGGCCTTTGGCAAATATGCCGGTGTAGCAGGCATGGTCAATATTTTGCATGGCTTGGGTTTGCGTTTATTGGCATTGGGCCACCATACGCCCTTTATGCACATTGGACCGGCACATAATTATCGCAATTCTTCGATGGCCCGACAAGCAATTCGGGATTGCGGTTACGAAATCGCTTTGGGCATGATGCCAAAATCAATCGGACCCCTAACATTTGTCTTTACTGGTTCGGGAAATGTGTCTCAGGGTGCTCAAGAAGTATTCCAGGAATTGCCAATTGAATATGTGCCCCCAGAGATGTTAAGGAAAGTTGCCGAGCATGGAAGTAAGTGCAGTAACAGTGCAAAAAGTGTACGAATTTCAAATCTAACTCATTTATTTTTAGGTCAAAATAAACTGTATGGCTGTGAGGTTAGTCGATCTGATCACTTGGAACGCCGCGAGGGTGGTGGATTCGATGCCAAAGAGTATGACGAATTCCCGGAACGTTATATTTCCACATTCAGCCAAAAGATTGCACCCTATGCCTCGGTTATTGTGAACGGCATTTATTGGGCCGTGGGTAGTCCAAAATTAATCAGCATTCCGGATGCCAAGAATTTGTTGCGACCAGCTAATACACCTTGGTTGCCAACCAGTAAGGGTAGTCCCTCCTTACCTCATCGCATGTTGGCCATCTGTGATATTTCTGCCGATCCTGGCGGTTCAATTGAATTTATGAACGAATGTACCACAATAGACACACCGTTCTGTCTGTACGACGCCGATCGCAACAAGGACACGAAGAGTTTCAAGGGTCCTGGTGTTTTGGTCTGTTCCATTGACAACATGCCAACACAGATACCACGAGAATCTACCGACATGTTTGGTGAATTGTTGGCACCGTTCGTTAATGATATCATAAAGAGTGATGCCAAGAAACCCCTTGAAGAGGAAAACTTCCCCTATCCTATTAAATCTGTAAGTCCAAGTGTTAGAGATTATTCGTCTTCTTTTCTAAATATGTTCTGTTTTGGTTTGCAGGCCATCATTGCCAGTAATGGAAAGTTAACGGAAAACTATCAGTATATTCAGGAACTACGTGAATCCAACAAGTAAGTATCGAACGAATAAGTGGATCAAAAGTCTCCCAAAAACAGGCAAGTTATAAAAAAATAACGAATTCTCTTCTGATTTGCAGCTATCGTTCACGCCACAAAATTGAAGGACGTTCGGATGCCGACAAAAAGGTGTTAGTCTTAGGAGCCGGTATGGTCTCGGCGCCATTGGTTGAGTGGCTACATCGCGAAAAAGATGTGTCCATCACTGTTTGTTCACAGGTCAAGGAAGAAGCTGATCGCTTAGCTAACCAATACGCTGGCGTAGATAGTGTCTACCTTAATGTTACCGAGGGTACTGATCATCTGCAAGAGCTTTGCGGCAAGGCAGATGTGGTGGTCTCATTACTGCCATACAGTTTACATGGAATGGTGGCAAAATACTGCGTCGATGAGAAGACCCATATGGTGACTGCCAGTTACTTGAATGATGAAATTAGTGCTCTTCATGAAGAGGCACGTCGCAATGGCGTAACTATCATGAACGAAGTCGGTTTGGATCCTGGTATTGATCATCTGTTGGCATTGGAATGTATCCACGAAGTTCAAGAAAAGGGAGGTGTGGTTGAGTCATTTGTGAGTTTCTGTGGCGGATTGCCCGCTCCTGAACACTCAGACAATGCTCTGCGTTACAAGTTCTCTTGGTCCCCACGCGGCGTCCTGTTGAACACTCTGTCAGCTGCCAAATACTTAAGCAAGGGACAGATTGTTGAAATTTCTGGAGGTGGTGACCTTATGTCAAATCCAAAGAGCTTAGACTTTTTGCCCGGTTTTGCTCTGGAAGGTTTTCCAAATCGTGATTCTACTAAGTATGCCGAGCTTTATGGCTTGGGTCGCGATATTCACACCTGTTTGAGGGGCACAATTCGTTACAAGGGCTTTTCAGAATCTATTCAACCCATGCAACTTTTGGGTTTAATTGACCCTGAACCTCATTCGTTGCTGCATCCCAGTGGTCCCGATCTAACATGGCGTCAACTTGTTATCCATATGTTGGGCTTGGTGGATACCAGTATCTTCTATGAAAATTTGAAACAGAAATTAGTTGAACGCATTGGCGATGCTGACTGTTTAGAAAGTTTGGGCTTGTTGGATGAAACGCCGGTTGTGAAGCTGAATACTCCATTGGACACCCTGAGCCATTATCTCGCTAATCGCTTGGCCTTTGGTAAATATTTGGAATATGGATTTTCGCAAATTGGTGGGTTATTTCAAGTGTGTGTTTTTCTTTCCAGAACGTCATGAACGCGATTTGGTTATTTTGCGTCACGAGGTAGGCATTCGCTGGCAAGATGGTCGCCGTGAGGAACGCGGCATTAACTTTGTCGTATACGGCCAACCACACGGTCACTCTGCCATGGCTATGACCGTTGGCAAACCTGCTGCCATTGCCACCAAAATGATTTTGGATGGAGAGATCCAGGAACGTGGTGTTGTACTCCCCTTCACGCCAGATATCTACCGACCAATGCTTCAACGCCTACGTGCCGAAGGCTTGACGGCAACCGAAACATCAAAATGGATTCAGTAAGCGGCTATATCGGAGTCGTGTAATTATGTTTTGTTTTTGTAATTGTATATATTTAGATTAAGAAATCCTAAACAAATGAGCATTTAATAAAACTAATTGTGTCAACTTTATTTCGCATCATTTGAATTTTTAAATGGGCAACTCGTCTATTATGTACTATGTTCGGCCACCTCTTAAATCATATACAGTAAAATCTCTATGATCCAAACCTCGCTAATCCGGATTATCAGGACTGCATTTCACAACTCATTATATATTCTATAATCCGGATCCGAAAATACATTATTTTTCATCAGTAAGAATCGTAGCATGGCACGAACATACATTTAGAATTATGACCAGTGAATGCTTTGTTTATCAGTGTAGTATTTTTTCAGGACGCCGTCAGGAAAGGGGTCATGTAAAAGTTTACCTATTTTAGTAAAAATTGTAGCCTTTTATATTTAAACCTCATGCTTATTTTCTAACAAAAACATAAAACTATTTACATGGTCACTAAATTAATAAAAAAATAAACCAATTTAAAAACCTCGGTAATCCGGAAAAATTGGTAATCCAGATTGGGGTCTGCAATCAATTATCCGGATCTGTGAGATTTTACTGTATACCATATCTTCAATAATCTCGAGTGTTGTAATAATCTATGCAAATAATACGTACTTTCTATGGTAAAATGTCACATGTTATGGTCATTAAATTCATTATAAATAGATATATATGATCATGATATTATATTCCACGTATAATTAGTACCAACTCGTGCGAAAAATATTGTTTGTATTTGAAAAACTCGTACAAATGATCACAATTTAAAAGAGTTTTTTTAAATGGACGATGACATCATTCTTTTAATGTTTTCTTACCTTTAGTTCCCATTGTCCCTTTTTCGGCATACCTTGGAAATAATGTAAAAGGGTTATTCAACATTCTCAAATCAGGATGGGAAAAACACAAAGGTAATATGAAACCAAACGAACCCAAACAAAAAAACCTTCAATTAAACATACAATAGGACACAACACAAGTGATGCCATAAGTGTATGTATATGTGTAATAGGATCTATTTTATTAGATATGTATTTTTTGTATCCTTCCACTAAATGGGGAAATGATGAAGGTATTAAGGTGTACTTAAGAAAGTGTTCATTTATTTATATTAAAATGGTTAAACGTTTTGCTTACCGTTTTTGGGTTGTCTCCATATAAACGATTTTCCATTTCCGTTCGTCTACACATCTGTTGTAACTATACTACCTTCGAGGGTATCAAGATACAAATCTTCATTGCAAATATATGTTGGAAAAGTTGACTGCAATTTAGTATTTCCGGTGTCACAAACCAATGCTCTAATCAACAATACCGCTTAGTTGTCTATAGGGTGACACAAGAAGCACACAAACACATATGCACACTTATTCATTGCTCTGCACTCACGATGTTTTGCATTCTCAGTTAACAGTCAAGAATCGACCGGAACAGACGTGCTGAAAGTGTTTTTCACAACCGGAGAAACCAAGATTGTGTCGAAGTTCATACTTCTTGTTTTGTCGAAAAAAAAAATAAATCGTGGAAAATTAATTCTCAACGTCCGAAAACATTCGAAATCGGAGCCTTTAACCGTTATAATATTGTGATAATAAACGTGATTCTGCTGTCGCAAAATATTGATATTGACAATAGTTTATTATCTTATATTAGTTTTTACAAAAAAAAAAAAAAAAATACAATAAACGATTTATTTAAACAAATTTCCCGATAAATATACATTTTAGGCAATTCCTTAGTTTGTGGAAGAGAGTAATGGAAAATATTGAAGGACATGGTATTTTGAAATGGAATTTATAAAAATATCAGCGGTTGATTCGAAAAAATCCGTTGAAAGAGTTGTTGCCCATTAACCTGGGAAAATACAGAAATAAGGTTGTATTAAAGCCGACCAACACAAAATTGGTTGTATCAGCCTATTTTTATTCGATATGGATTTAAAAAATTCAAATTTCATTGAACTTATACCCAGTGCCCGTATTTTTTACAATCCTTATGAATGTATATACAAATACGTATGTGTACATGTGTACGTATGTTTTCCAGAAGATTATTGATGCATAACGCCGCAAAACATCAGTTCTTCTGTAATCAACAAAACTTCGTATACCATTGGTGTCATTAAAAAGTGCCTCACGTTTATGTAAAAAAAAAATAGACCTTGTTATTAAAACCCACTTGAATGAAAGAAAAGGAGTTTAGTTGTACGTCACTCGAAATCCTACGATTCGAATTTTACACCACTTAATAAGCGTATTAGAGCAAAATTTATACTTTCGTTTATACATTGGAATACGTTCATAACTAATACCGGTTATAACGAACTTTTCTTGTAGCGAACACATTTTCTGGTCGAATTTGTATATAAGGAATGTTTTTTTTTCGGTCCCAATTTTCAATTTTCTTATATTTAAATTTGGTTATAATGAACTTGATATAAATATGCATCAAATTTAACGACGACAAGTCTCACAAAAGTTAATTATTCTGTTAGGGCTGGCAAATTTTTCGAAAAAAAATATAAGCTTTTATAAAATTTTTTCATGACTTCTCACATGTAATGTAATTAAGAACCTTTATTAAATACATTTATATGTTTAAATTTTAATATAAATGAATGTATTTTTCCTGCTAAGCCTTTGTTTTGTCTTACCTTGGATATAACGAACTCCCTCTATAACGAACTAATTTGCCGCTTTACCATATTTTGCATTACAAATTTAAGATATTAAGGAAAATTTGTTCCAAGATGTCAATCGACAGTATATATTTATTTTTCTATGCAAATTTGTATTTTCAGTCTCCCATGTCTGTCACAAAGTTTAGGTGTAGTCTCGTTTTTAATTCTCTCTGTAGCTTAACGTATAGAATAACATAACCAGGTACTTACCTACATTTGTATGACATATTCATTGAAGTACACGATGTTATGCTACAAATAAAAATAACTAAAGAATTTTAAAGGAAGTAGGAATAGCTGTTCGCACTCTCCACGTTTGTACGATTGTGCACAGTGGAAGATTTTGTATATTGGTCCAGGCAAATATGGAGACCGCAAAATAAATATGAAATATAATTATTTTATGAAAATGGATTTAACTATCATGGATAATCTATATAGTAGCAAGTTTTTGACTCTTGCGTATGTGGAACGTTGGATATGCCTCAAAAGAGAAGTCTCTCTGCAACACATTTTGTATTAAAAATCGTTCACTGTGCCGCGTTTGTATTTCCATAATCAGTTCCCCACTAATTCGGAATCTTGCGATAGCCATGAAACAATTTTCAACTGATTAAAGTCAAATGCGGTTGATAACGCCTATTCTGTCGCTTTTTTGCGTGTACAATGACGAGTATTTGGAATGCCATACATATTTTGCGACAGTCGGTCGATAGTCTGCCGCGCGAACAGATGTAATAAAAACGTGAAAAAAATAAAATTTAATTTCTCTAATTAAACAGCAAGTGAAAAGCAACAAAAATAAAAGAACCACCTACAATAGACTGTTTTTGAGCCTCTAAAATCCAAATTATTTCCCCAGAGAAGAGCAGAGAAGAAAGACATCATAAAAAGTGACAACATGTTGGGCGTCAAATATTTAACAGAAGCCCATTTGAAGGGCTTCGAAAAATACAAGGTAAGAACAGTGAAATGCCCAAAAGAGAGCAGTAATTAAATTAATACTGACGACACCGGCAAACATGGCCTGGACGCACAATAGACTGGAAAAAAATCAATTTTGCCGCAACATTTGCAGGCATATACATTGTTTTTACAAAATGGCATCGGATATTTACTTGTCAAAAAATTATATTTTTTTGCAATAATTATTACTGAGAGTCAATGAGTCCACTTGGATTCAAAGAATAAATTAATTGTTGACCTTAGATTACAATTTAATTGTTTTGAATATGTTACAGTTAATCGTTGCCTACAACTTTAATGCACCCCTCGACACGTTGCGGGTAATTGGAATAATTTATTTATTCCATTAACTTTTTTTAATGTCTTTACATCGTTACAGAAATATGCTGGAATCTCTCCTGTGTACAAAAAGTTACCGATAAGGTTTTACATATATTATAAATTTACCCTCTATAATATACCGAATACACATATTTTATAGAAGTCACTTCCACGGTATATTAATTTGCCATTCCTCCCCACAGCGAACCCCCGCACTGCATGGTAATTTCCCAAGATAGTCTTCAAACCGGATCAACATTATTAAGATGGCACAACAACAAGGCAGTGGCATATTTTGTGATTTATTTATTTAATATGATTTTTGTCGGTCAATTGTTGTTTTATAGCACCACCTTTCTGGGTTCGTCCATCCGTTCGCATTCCCCCTCTCATGAGGAGTCTTTCTTATCTCTTTCGTTTTTTTCAATTACTGTTACTGAGATTTTGTTTTGCTCGCTGCCGAGTGATCTTTCAGTTTCATTCTCCGTCTGTCTAATTCTGTTGATATTCCAAATGTGGGGGGCATTGACCAAGGAAACGATGATTCGCTCGCTCGCTGTCACACTCGGCACTGTCCAACTTTCTCAATGGAATTGTAAATAGTTTTCTTATATTGAAAATAAAACATCGTTTTTATTCAATCGGCTCCAGCAATTAAAATATCAGAGGTTTGTGCGTACCGAAGGCGATAAGAGGGCCATGTCAGGCTGCTGTGCTTATCATCTTCATGAAAGGGTGCCAGCTTAAATGTATGATTTGCGGTGTTAAGCGAGGTTAAGACTATGACATTAAATGGTTTCTTTTCGTGGAGAAGAGTTCTTTGTGATCTTAATCTCAATATTCACGTGCCAAATTAGGCAAATTTCTTCTTTCAAGATATGTTTTATGAGTGATTGCTAGAGAAAATGTACGCTCCAGAAAAATCAGATTATGCCCCTGTAAAGAGGTTATAATTTTATTACAGTAAAATGGTATTGTCGTACACACATGCTGTTAATAAATTATAATTTGTACATTAGGAATCATATATGTAATACAAATAAGTTAATTACAACAAAGGGGAACACCTTTAGAAATTATAATTGTTTAGATTTCTCTGAAATATATCAAAGCATAGACAGGGAAGTAAATAACTTGAGAACTGCAAAAATCAAAATCTCAGGGAAAGTGGACATACAGTATGCCAAGAATCAGTTTATACATTGAATAAATAACATCTTTTTTCAATTTAATAAATAATGAATATATTATTTTTTATTGTTTATTATTTTTTGATTTGTTTGTAATTGTATACATATGTACAGAGATAAATTGCAAAAGAAATAGCAACTTCAGTTTTAAATAAAAATATAACAACAAATAATTTATTTTAACATTTTCAAATAACTCTTTTCAAATGATGTAAATCTTTAGTTTAATAATGTTATTGAACATACAGTTTCATAAAATTAATATGTTGTATGGCCGTCTTTGGCATCTACCACACATTGTAGACGTTTTTCATCGAGTAGACCAACTTGCAAGACATAATTGGTCGGGATGTTGTGCCACTAACCCAATATTGCTGTTATTAATGCTTTTAGCCACTTTTAAATAAATTTTCGATAGGGTTAATATCGGGACTTTGTGCTGGCGTATCCAAAACTTTGCCACAGTCATAAAGAAGCCACATCCGCAATACATGTGATTTATGCTTATGATCATTATCCTGATAAAATTTAAAATGTGGCTTGTTCTCCCACGTTTAATAATTAATTATCCATGTGTAAACTGATTCTTGACATACTGTAAATATCTTATTTTTAGAATAATAATAAATATTTATGTACATATGCATACATACAAAATAACATTTTGAATACTTCTTATAAATAAATTATTGTAGAACTAAAAATGGCACAATTCCAACCTAAAGTGAAGGGTTTCCATTTCGTGGTTTCAAAAGTATGGGACAGGCAGAGGATGGAGGATTTCGGCATATGTCTTGCAATATAGTTTTAGTGCAAGAGTAATTTCTTTGTCCAATTCGGATGATATTACAAAATTAATTTTCTGCAAAACTTACATGAACTGGACCGATGGGTCTCATTTTCGGACTAGATTTGGAGTTGGTATAAATATGACGATGCACAGAGTGTACAGAGTTAAGGACAAATCGGACTTAATATTGATTACATAAATATTGGACATTTTGACATTTTGTGAGGGAGGTACCACAAGTAGTGGACCGATAAAACCCATATTCTGACTTGATCTAGAGTACTTAAACTATTACTATGTGTAAATGAAATTGGATGTTCCGTTCTCTTCAAATGAGATTTAAAAGTTTTCAAAATATCGACCATTTTCGAGGGGGAGATACTTGGAGAAGTGGATCGAAATATTAGCCTGCGGGAAGTTTGATTCAAATCGGTCTGTCCGTTCGCATGAATTCACAGGTATTTGTAAATCGAGTCCAAATTTTCTGAAACGGTATTAAAATGTGATATATCGGTCCACTTTTTAGGGTAGCTTCCATATAAGGGTAACCTTCAATATTCGGTATATTGGTGATTTTTGGCAAGTACGACTGTAATTTGGTAATATGAGTTTCTATAAGGTAGCAAATCTACCTACCAAAAATCAACTTGTTACGATAGCCACATTATTCGGTATTTTGGGTATTTGTTACCAGTCGTAACACCGCCCAATAGCTAAAAATAGACCATAAAACTGTTTTAAACCGGAAACGGCCAGAATTGGCCAACAGGAGATGTGTCGTGTTCCACCAGGACCTGTCACCAAGCGATTATTATCTTTCTTGCATTATGGGAGGCATTATGAAGTTACCTTTATAATGGCAATAAATCATACAACAAAACGGTGCATATTTGGCCCAAATCGGACATTCCGAAGCATGTTAAATAAAGTCCTACAGTTCATATACAAATAATGGATTTCTTTTTTCCCCAACCTAATGGTCATCCGACGATTAGTCAATACTATTTTTGACGATGGCCCTTTATTTCAATCATTATTCGCATTCACATTACACATAATATTTATAAGTAGTTTTTGTTGTTTAATTTTGAACTTAACGTATTACTCTAATCTTGTCTAACTGTTTCATTGTCTATAGCTTATCGGTCAATCGGTGTCCACATTATGTGTGTACATTGACCCGATAAACTATAAACACTAGTATTCAAGAAGTTTGATCGAAATTTTAGTGGTAATTTTGAAATTCAGTATATTAACATATTAACTGAAATCTGTAATGGTGACTATTTGTTATTCTTCCTAGTGTTAATTACACAGTATTAACACTTGTGCTAGTGTTAACACTGTTCATTTGAGACTTTACAATTTTCTATATAAACTGTAAAAATAACCGGAGGCTTTCTTTCTTTTAGTACAACAGTATTGACAAGGGATACCTGAGCGTTTATGTTATGCATCCGTTTTGGAATAAATGTGTAGAGGTAGGTGACAATGAAGAATACCAGCCTATGTTCAAATGTTTCAACTATCCAAAATCAATTTAGTTTCTTCCCATGTGGTTAGCTCCGAATATTTTAACATTTGTAGGCTTTCTAATGACTGTGGTCAATTTTCTGCTACTCTCCTATTACGATTGGGACTTTACGGCAGCAAATCCCGCAGAAAATACAGTACCCCGATGGGTGTGGTCTGTGGCGGCATTAAATATATTAATCTATTACAATTTAGGTAAGTGGATAGTGAGTAAACTTGTGGAATGAATTACAGAGTAATGATTTCTTTGTAGATGGCATGGATGGTAAACAGGCAAGACGCACCGGTACAAGTGGACCTCTGGGTGAATTATTTGACCATGGTTTGGATTCCTACTCAGCTGTATTGATACCAATCTATATGTTTTCTTTGTTCGGTTCGGATGATTTGCCACCGATACGTATGTTTTTTGTAATATGGAATGTGTTCTTGAACTTCTACTTAACCCATGTCGAGAAATACAATACGGGTGTAATGTTTTTACCATGGGGTTATGATTTTACAATGTGGGTAAGTATAAATGATCGGAGAATTTGGAAATCATTATATGTATTACAAATTAATTTATTTTCTCTAAGGGTGTAAGTATAACTCTGTTTTTGACCACAATAATTGGACCAGGCATTTGGCGTACCCGAACCATATTTAATCTGTCCATGGCTAATGTTTTTGAAATCATTTTAATTGGATCCGGTATTGTGACGAGTCATCCAATCATTATTAAAAATATTTATATGTAAGTAATAAAATATATCGATATGTTTGAATTGGGGAAATGTGTTTAGAAATAAGTCCGTCAAACGAAATTAAAAAATAATAATGTGTACAAAACTCCCACAAAGACATGTGAAGATCGAATCGTCCGTTTTCGAGCCACAGTGGGAACCGCTTTCAAAAATGGCATTTCACACAAAAACATGGGCCAATGTAAAATCTATAGTTTTAAATTCCACCTCATTCACGATTTAAAATATCCACGATATCCAAAGGGATTGCAAATTAACATAAACTATTTTAATAACTTTTTTATTTTGCACACAAGTCGTTAAAGAGAAGTAACCAGGTTTACATATGTTTTTATTTTCCTCCATGTTTGGCTCTGGTATAAATTAAGTGTTCTGGAGTCTGAAATATTCGAGTTAAATAAAGTACGCAGATTGAAGATTTCACACAAATTTATATTAATTTTGCAGATATTCCTTAAAGTGCTATTGAATCGCATTAATTTTCTTTTTTTTTTTTTGCAGGTCGTATAAAAATAAGACTGGCAAAATGAGACCATTTATGGAAGCAGTGCGTCCAATGTTCCCATTCTTATGGCTATTTGTCATCACCACAATTTGGGCCTTCTACTCGCGCAATAATGTTCTAGATCTGGAACCTCGAATTATGTTCATTTTATTTGGAACATTGTTCTCGAATATTGCGGTGTGTATAAAAGATTCCCATATTAATCAAATTTTGACTAACTTAACCAACCCCTTATTTACAGTGTCGTTTAATAGTAGCCCAAATGTCGGATACGCGTTGTGATGGTTTCAACATCCTCATGTGGCCCTTGGTAGCCACTGTAGTTGTCAGTTGTTTTCCGTGGTATAAACAGGTAATGGGCAGCGAAATTGAAGCCAATGTCGAAAGATGGATTGTACAGGGTCTAACAATATTTGTGACAATAGCCCATTTACACTATGGACATGGATTGGTATGCTGAGATTTTAACTGTGATGAATTGTTCCCAACTAATCGGGTTCTTATTTTTCAGGTTCGAGAAATGTGTAATCATTTCAAAATACGCTGCTTTAAAGTAAGAGATCGTTCCACAGTTCAAAAGGGATCAAAGCATGCCGAATAAAACATTCATGGACCGCCCAAATCATTTATGGGGTTATTTGAAAAACTAACATCCATTGGGGCCCAGCGAAATAAAAAGTGTGATTGTATTAACCATGGATATGCCGGGTATCCTCGTGTTATTTGTGTTGTCCAAAAAAGATGTTGGCAAATTGTGATTGTCTTACAATGTTGTTTATTAGTAATATGTTTGTGTGTGTGTAAGCAGAATGTGATCAACAATTGTATTGATATATTTATCAAATGTATTGTAGGATAAGATTATTATAGGTGCGCATGTATGCAACGTTGTGCATGTTTGTTGGGAACATATGTACATACGAGTACGTTGTAGTGAAACTATAATTTTATTTTTCATTAACTGCAAATGTTTTTGTATTATGCTGGTGAGAATTATTATCAAATTTTGATTTTTTTCAAGACTGCGTGTCCATCAGGCATATGTAAGTAAAGTATTTGGGCAATGTCGCTCATGAAATTCCACAAAATATGTAATTTCAATAATTTCACTATACCATGACATTTGCATCATCCATATTTGGGAAAATTACATATATATATATATATATATATATATATTTAATAATAACATGATATCCAATTTTAAATATATATATATATATATATATAGGAAGACCACCAATATCTCTTTTCAAGACCAAGTGTTATATTAATTTTACTGTGTATATATTGGGTTTAAGTGTAAAAATGAAGTACAAAAATATCATTAAATAATTATTTGATATGTATTTAATTTGTCTGTTATTTTTAATGATCTTGTCTGTTTAAATGCGTCGTCTCTTAGAAGATGTTTTTATAGATTATGTTTGAGTCTTTTAGTATTTCAATATTATGAGGAATATCGTCAACTAGGGACATTTTCATAGACTGAACAAAAAAGTCTGTAATCATTTTTAGCAGAAACGAATAGCTTGCCGTACAATTTCAAATTTTGTTTATTGTTCTGTATGATTGTAATAGAATTTCAGATAATAATAGTTGAATTTAGGATTTATTGAAAATTCTTTAATATTTGCCTCAGAAATTTAAGTTGCCATTGATAATGGTATATTATTTTATAATAATGGATAGAATATTCCGTTAATACTAATATGGGTTTAACAATTTGCATGAATGCATATTATCTATGTATATAATCAATTTTTTTATTAATCATATTTTTATAAATGCATATGAAAATAGATTACAAAACCGGCAACCACTGATGAGGAAATGCAGCCAACAGCTGAAATTGTCTAACCGGAACCAGCTAATCAGCGTTAAATACCCGAAAATCACAAACAAGAATGAAGTTAACAAAACTCTAAAATTTAAAAAATAATAATACTCTTAGTTTTAAAACAAATTCAAGTATATGTTTTATTTATATAAATATATACATATATGACTCTTATTTATATACGTACACAATAAAGTTGTAATAATTATATATTTTATAAAATCGTTTACGATTGTTTTGCATCACAGCGTAGGATGAAAACCCTTTCCTTTGAATGAAATCCGAATTTCGTAAAAAGATTCTTAGATATTTGATTGGAGTCGTTTATCATAGTACGAATTGCATGACCTTCTTGGGCAACACGTTTAGAAAACTCCTTGATGAGCACCGATGCCAGACCCTGTCTCCGGTATTCTTCTCGAACATGTAATGTACCCAAAAAACCACAAGGACACCTAATAAATCAAAATAAAAATATTACCGATTTTATACGATTCGAAAAGTGTTTTAAGACAAACCTGGTACACCAAGCAACTAGCTCGTTGCTATCTTTGCGATATACTCCTAGGCTTATATTGTACCTAATTAAAGATCTGAAAAAGTCTAAAGATCCTTCTTGGCGCGAATACCATATATCGTTAATAATGGCAGCATCGGACACCTTTAAGGGTTGTACTAGAAATTCATCGGGACACCTTTTAATAAAAATACATAAAGTTAAAAATAAAACACATACACAAAACATACATATACGTTCATTTTTATAAATTAAATATGAATATGTTTTTAATGACAGTGGAAACCAGATAATTAATAGACCAACATTCTCATTATGTTTCTACTTTTTTTTATATATCGGACCTTCTGGACGATTTATTCAGATCGACCGCCCAACATCAATAATAATGAGGCATAAATATTGGTCAATAACACAGACAAGATCACAATACGATGTTATGCTTATATGACAATAAAGATATATTTGAATGTATCACTTAGAACAACTGTCACATTCACAATAATAAACAATTGCAAAATTTTATATGTGTGTTTCCAGATTTCATTCAGCTCCAGGAACGTATTCGTTTTGATTTAATTGAAGACCGTCTAATACAATGAGCGACAATAACCTGAATTTTAATTACGCGTAATCAATTTTGTCGTTTGTTGCCATAGTAAGTAAAATACTTACATAATACTGGAGTCTATGACATGGTTTGGGTCTTGTTCATATATTTGCAGAGTAACAATTCGGTACTTTAATCCCAATTCTTGAAAGGTTCTTTCCACTATGCCAATGAGAGATGCTGGTAGAGCAGTTATTTTGAAATCACGGTCCCAATTGATTGCGCGAAGTGCCGTTGATATCTCCTTCTCATCGTACGTCACACAATTCAAATAGAACTGATATATATCCTTTGAAGGACAAGGGCAAATTAGCGATTATGGTGATAATCGGTAATATTTTCACCTACCTCGATTATAAAGAAACCGCTATTCTGCCAACAATTGGCAACTACATGAACTTTTACAAAATCCAGTTGTGGATTTAATTCAAACCATCGAATGTAATTGGTCAGCGTGTAGTAGCCATGACAAGTTTGCGAAGATGACTTTTCATACAGGTCCCGAAGTAATTTTATATCTTTCACATTTTGTAAAATTTCTAAATGTTTCATTTTTTATTTTGAGTTTAAAATGCGTAATACTAATGACACAGATTTAAACAAAGCACAGATTACAACTGAATGTTATTATTTCTCGCCGTACACACTGAAGCAAAATATTATTCAAATACTCAAAGAGATACGAGTAGTCAAGTAAATGTTCTCTTTGCCACTTATTCTCCATCTGGCCAGGTGAAATTCTCCATAGTAGGGAAAGTGCGTAGCCAATAACAGCGATCAGTGACGGTAAAGCCCAGCTTTTCGAACATACCTCTTGATGGTTTATTATCTTCGTTAACCAGGGCCATTACATCTTCACCTTGTTCACCTAAACTGCGCGCAATGGCACGGGTGACAACACTTCCGAGTCCCAGACGTTTGTACTCATTTTTTACTTGTAGTGCTCCTAGAAAGCCTCCCTGTAAGCTATATAGAAATTTTTAATTTATAAAATGTATTCTTAACAAGGTGTCTCTCTCTCTCTTACCGCAAACACCATGCCACCAATTCATCTGTCCCTTTAACATAAACGCCCATGTTTACGTTCCAATCAATGAGTCGTTTTATCAGAAACAATGAGCCCTGATGGCGATTAGGCCATAGAGTATTTATTATTTCAGCATCGACAGCAGAGGATAGGCGTTGAACATAGTAACCTTCTGGGCAACTATTAACAAAAAAATAATCTTCATTTTAATATTACAAAGTTAGAAATGTTTAGGTATTTCAATTATTTTCCATCAAAGCAAAGGGGGAGGGCCTGTCCATCATAAATTTAGTTTAGGTGAAGATGTATGTATTTTATCATTGTATGCATTACTTGAAATTTTAGGTAATGGTAACAAATTCTGATATTTTCATAATACATGTGTTTCAAATTATTTGATCGACATCATTGATTACAATTCATTTGTCAGTTATTGTTTTTCCAGTTAGCTTTATTAATTTTAAAATCTGTACTCTTACCATATTTGCAGGTTCTTAGCCTCATGATGCGGCATATAGTACATGAGTGTCAAGCTATCGTATTCACACTGTAAACCTTTATTTTTCACAACACTCAGAACCGAGAGCCTATGACACTCACGAAAAGAGCTTACTTTCAGTCCAACCGACCAATCTAATTGTTCTAAAGCTCTATAGAGATTCTCACAGCTGGTCGTATTAAGAGAACCAATAAAAACCTGATATCGGTCCACAATAACATATACCCCTTCCGCATTCTCGCTCTCTTCTTTCACAGTGTATATTTTTAAGTTTTTTATGTTGTCATTCGATCTCTTCCACTTGTAGAAATTATCCAAACAATAGTAGCCGACACAGTGTTGGGGCCAATCATTCAAATACAGGTCTCTTATTTTGCGAATATTTTCAACATCGTGAATTTCTATTAGTTTCTTATCATTTGTTGTGTCCGACATGCTCGTTTGTATTTATTATGAATTGAATTGAATAAAATGTGGAGTGGTTTGATGAGAGCGGATCAAAAAAGATGTTCCTTTAGCGACAAGATATCGAAAACTAACTAAAACAATTTGTATTACATGAATACTTTGTAATCCATATTTTTATATATTCTCAAAGTATTTTACAGAGTTGCCAAGAGTTCTTTTCGTATTTTCATAAATTGTCATTAGAGATACATATTCGAATTTGTTGGTGAGAAAATTTAATAAAACAATAAAAAATAAAACCAAGATCAACCCTATTTTCAGTATTTTTTAGTATATAACAGCAAAAAATCAAATATCGCCTTACCACTTCATTTTTTATTAAATACCCTCCATTCGAAAAATTACTGTACTGTGGTCAGAAAACTTAAAAAATCGGCCTTTTTTATTCGTACTACTTACTCACTCTAATAACAAATTTTAGCTTGACTGTTTGTTTATATATCTATAATAAAAATATGATCAGCGTTGCCAGTATTGAATACGTATTCTTAAAAAAAGTAGGATGGAACGTGAAAGTTTATGGGATCCCCCACAATGATTTGAAATTTGACTAGATATATTTGAAAAGCATTATAAACATATGAGTAGTTTATTTTGAAAGTGGTTTAAGTCAATTTTTTATACAATTTATTTATTTCAGGGGTTGCCTTTGATTTGTTTCAATAATATTGTTAAGTGGTATTAGTTTAGTTTGAAGCTTTGTGCCCTTCAACATGTTAGAAAATAATTCGTTATATAATAAACGACAAATATATACAAAAAGTGGGATGGAATGTGGGATAATAATTTTGAAATTTGACTACAATTATTTGAAAACTAGAAATATTAAAAAAAGGAAAATCAAAGTAAATCAGATTTATAACTGTAATAAATTTTGCTTATATCTTTCATCTATTACAAATTATATAACATTTTATTTTTCACGCTATTTCTACAGATTTTTGGTCGAAATTTATTCAGTATTTTGGTAGAAGATACGAAAAAAAACTATTGGCAATTCTGCACATGTTTACACTTCGCCACATGTATACAATAAAACAACAACAAACATTGCTGATTAAGCAGTCTCTCTTCGCAATTAATTTTTGCTTTTATGTAGAGTTTTAGTATTCTTCTAGACTTTGTAAAGTGTGGAGCTCCAACAAGTGTCTGTCGGTTTGTTTTCAATAAAGAGAAAATATGAATAAATTAATTGAGATACCACCAGAGAAATGGCCCCAGCTACGTGATTTATATGTGGAGCATAAAGATAAATCGTGCTGCTATAATACCCTACAGTCCTTTATTGAATGGATCAATCAAGAACCGTCCTTAGCCCTCAAGATTTATGCGCTCAACAGCGAATGGCAAACCGATGGCACATATGCGGCCCATTTAAGCGTAAGCATGAAAACGACAACTTGGTACGTTTATTAAACTATTTATGTTTACTTCAGGCGTTTAATCAAGTGTTCTGTAACACGCTGAATGAAGATTTATCTGATTTGATTACGATTTTGAACTGCTTTGATAACGACAATATGATAGCTGGCTTTCAACATCGGGTGTTGCCAGCTGTTGATAAACATTTTCTAGATTCGGGTCTGACCAAGGAACAGTTTGCAAATAATTGCACAATTTGGTACCATATTTCCAGAGAAGAGGCTCTAAATTTTGATATTCAGTATGAACAATTTAATACAATTATGCCAGCCTCGTAAAAATATAATATGTTCTATTTGTGCAGATTACCAGATAACATAACCATCAGAGATTTGAATGAAAGCAACGCGGAACAGGTAAATAGTGTCTGGCCTCATAGAAGCGAAAATTCAGTGGAGTTTGTCAAAATGCTGATACGATTGCATAAAAGCGTTGGCGTTTTTGAGGATGATAAATTGGTGGCTTGGGTTTTGAGGTAAGTAGTAATAAAACAACCCGATTCAGTAGATACTAGCTTCATAACGTTGTTCTCTTCAATAGATTGCCTTTGGGAGCCCTTGGTCTTTTACAAGTTGAAAGTTCTCACAAACGCAAAGGATTTGGTTCGCTGGTCGTCAAATTAATGTCGAAATACTTGGCAGAGAAAAATATTGAAATAACAGCACCCGTGGTCGATGTAAATGTTGCTTCACGTTCCATGTTCAAGAAATTGGGATTCAAAGAAATCGACAAAGTTTATTGGCAATTTAAAATTTAAATCCATCTATCCACCTATGTAGAAAATTATTTAAAAAATAAATGAGTGACATGTAAACATATGTTTGTAACGGGTTGCCTTTATTGATTTATATTTATTTTTACAACAACAATTTATGTTATTAATGTTTATACACAAATTATTTTATGGCTAAATTTTTGGTCATATTTGTTTTGTGTTCTATTCTAATTGAGAGTCAATTATACTCTTTGGTTTGCTATAATTATAGTTTCACTCAATTTTCTTATAAAACACTCATCTTATGTTTTACAATAACAAATCAATATTAAGTTATTTGTGATTTCTATTTGTCTCATTCCCGTTAACTCGGCCTCGTTACATTGTAACATTCTTTCAATAATGATGTTATATTGATTTTTTGACACATTTACATAAATACCCGCTAGATATACAGGACCATAAAAGCTAATATATTTGAAATAATATTATGATTGTCTGCGTACTTGATATTTTTAACAATTGTTACTAATTGTTGCCTTTTTACATAAAACGTCAGTAAAAGAGAGTGATTTGAGAGAGAATTGAGAACTTACTGAGTAATTATTACTGGAAAAGTACCCAGACATACCAATTATTATTTATATTTAATATTGAATAGCTCATTTTCAAATCGTTCTCATTTACTGGACTTTTAATTTATCAAATAATATTGAGTAACAATTTGTACAAATTATTACTGGATGTTCGATAACTTAAAAGTGCGGACAATGAGAGTAAGTTGAGGGATAAATTTTGACAGTTGTGTACTGAGAATTATTACTGGTAAATTTACTCAGTAAGGATTTTCATGTTTTTGTTTTCTTGTCAATTGTAAATATGTATTTAACTTTCGAACAATAATCTGAATATTTTAATTAATTTCGGGGTATTAAACAATATCCTGGGCATGAAGTACATAACATATAATAAAAAAATTCGTATTTTGTATCAATCCTCAAATTGTGACGCATACATTTGTTTCAAATTGGCTTCAAATATAGAAGAATACTTTACCTTCCAGTAAAATTTGTCAATCCGCAGTAGCACAAACGTAAAAAGAGATTTTCTTATTCTTATTAGTTATTAATTAACATTCGGCAAAGAAAATACCAATTTAAAACATAAAACGTTATTTTCAAAAATGTCGATGGAAAAAGAGTTATAGGAAAAGTTTATAAAATGTATAGATTTGAGGTAGCAACCATAATACGTTATTTTCCCAATTTATACCACATAATGATTAACTGACACTAAATGTAAAGAAATGAAAAAATTTGATGCAATTGAGCTCTACAACCACTTTGGATCAAAGGCCGGAGAGGGCAAAATTGGCCATTTCAAAAAAAGGAAGTTGCTGATAACATTAATCATTTTTTATATGAACTTTATTGTCCCTTACGAAGAAACCAATTGTTTTCGATGGTTATTTTGAGTGAATGGTTGGCTCTACACAAAAAGAACGTTTAAAGAATTTAGTTACATTCGATGTATAATTTGTTGTATAAGTATCTAACGGCTGTTCCATTTTTATGGAATGCAAAAGTGTAATCGTAAATAGATTCACAGTTGTAATCAATATAATAAAATTTTAATTATAAATATAATATTTAAACCAACATTTCAGTTTTTCTAACATAAAAACTTCTAACGGGTTTTATCCCACTTTTGGATAATTTAAAATTCAAAAATTGTCTTCTTATATTTCGTCAGATGTTCAATATTTATGCTCCCGCAGTCAGCTGTGAGTGTGTAGCATTGTAGCCATTTTCACACAATTACTAAAGTCGTGTCCGTATCGTACGTCACGTTAACGTAAACTATGCATCCTTGTTTCCATAACAAACACCAAAACACAGCATCGTAGATATACACAATTTTCACGTATTGTTGTGCCGCCTATACGTTGCGCTGCAAAATGCCGAAACAGTGAAGTTTTTCACACAGCCCAACATTGACACACTCAGTGAATGGATGTCGTGCCGTTTGACAGTTGCGTATAAATGATACGGATTCATTTATCGCTCATACGTTCCACCCCATTTATTACACGGCCAGCTCACCGAATAAGGGTTACTTTTATGGGTGTAAATAAATGTACGTGGAAAGTACAAATTCTGTTTTCCATCCCTTATTTTACAGCGGTCGATATTAGCGCCTGTGAGGTTTCTTTGCCATCAGATTGATTTTTCATTGTCAATTTGCCGTTCGTCCCGCAGCAGACAAGTGTTTGTTTCAAAAATAAAAAAGTATTGGATTTGTTAATGTTTATTTGTGAAAATTAAATTCGGTAATGGTGATTGCTATTGGAATTTCATTTGTTTAATAGATACAGGTGGGTGAGTGTGAAAGAGTTAATTTACAAATGGAAAATATGTAAAGAAAAATTTGTGAACGTGTTGAAAAGAAAGCATGATTTTGGAGCAGAGAGCATAACATGTGGTTTAACTGTATTTTTGAATGTCAAGTGCAAAACTGCAAAACACCCCCCAATGGTGGCACCCATTTGCTAGCAATGGCATCTCTTCCATAGACTATTTTGCAAAAGTTTTCTACAATTATATTTTATTTAAATTGTGAATAAATTAACAATATCGTTGGCATTTTTCCGATTTTCAAATCGCACAGCTCTAAATAACAACCTGGTAAGGTTTATATAGAAGTTAAGTGTACATGAGGAATGTGTTTTAGATGTTGAATTTTTGTAGTGGTTCATCCAATTTGAAATGAGCTGGAACTCAAGCCTATTTTGTGTGGAATATTATATAATAAGTTGGACAAATTGTTTTCCTATTGAACATATTGCACATGTTGAAGTCCGGTAAAGACACACATTCTTAAACGTGCACACCCGCATAATGTTAATTACATTCTAACAGCTTACGCGCAAAGATATACGCCATGCAGTGGACACACTTTAGACAATTTTAATCTTTGTTTTGGGTAATTATACTTTGTTGTCCTTCCTAGTGTAAATTATGTTAATTTAAAAGAAAAATATTTTTTTATATTCGTTCCCTCTTATGCACCCAAAAAATATTATTCCAGGGCTTTTCATGTAGCAGGCATAAGATAGTCATTTAACTACATTCGTAAAACAGGAACTACATGCGTAAAACATGAATGAAAGGTTTCACTTTGGGATTAGGTTATGTTTTAATTTATGTCCAGTACAGTTATACATAAGATACAAAATCAAATAGAATAATGAAAAATTAATGAATTAAATAATTTCATTAGAGCACTCACATTGCGTTAATTCATATTTAATTTCAAAAAGATCACTTTAAATTTTTTTAAATCGAATTTTTGGTATTTTTTCTTAAATTACCTAATATTTTTAAAATGTTGTGCGATTTTTCATACTAAAATCAACCAATATTTCTTATATGCCTATTTTTACTAAACATAGCAAATTTGACTAATAACAGAAAATAGAGATTTTTTAAAGAAAACCATGACAATATTTAAATGAGCTACTTATTATGGAAAAGCCTCATAGAAACCTTTTATAATTAAAACTTTATTTTCATAACCACAGCCTTATGACTGAAATGTTTGCCTTGTTGAAAAATACCTATCTGGGTTGCTGGTCCGCACGAAAACTCTCGACAGGATTTACCGATTTAATCCAAACATTTCTTCCGAACCTAACATGATGTACGGATGTAGAGAAAATCATGTCTATTCAATCCGAATATAGAAATCCAACAAATGGTCAAAATTTAGTTGTAAAATAAATAATAAAACAAAATAGATTATCCGTGTTGATCACAACTTTAGACAAACTATATTTTGTTGCGCTATCTCCTCCACAAACGGTCAACATTTTGAAAATGTTTAAATATCTTTCAAACCATCTTTCGGTCCGAAATTCGAAATATGTATACCACATCTAGATCAAATTCGGCGATGTAGCCAAGAGTTTACAATTTAAACCTATATTGATTTCTAAATTGGGGCCTATGGATCCACTCCCTCTGTTATACTAATTGTCAACATATCGCCCCGTTTGCCTTAATACGAATAACAACGAGAGCCAAACACATTTCTAATAAAAAGTTGCAGCTCAATATTTTTTTTAAATTTTTCCTAAATGTGAAGTAAATTGAAAATTGTTGAATGAATAGAATGAAGAATGTAGGACTTGCGCTGTTTGTGGGAAAATACAAATGTACAATTAGGTGCAAAAGAAAATCCCTGAAATCTTCACGTTGTCATACCTGTGCATAGTTATCAAATATTTGTCCATCCTTGATGGTAATTAATGAATTTCTCCTTAATCGACCTCAGCTGACTTTTCTAATCAATTCAATTTGGTTTTGTGTTAATGTATTTTTATTTGGAGGTGTACTATTTACATTTGTGTAGTATTTTAACATATATTTTGACAATGTCATTAAATGTTGTATTACTTGCAATTAACTATTGGAAAAGGTGGTTTCGATAAGAACAATTTGTGTGACGTTCGAAAGATAAATACACCTAATCGAAAATGTAGTTATATTATAAATATTAAGGAAAATCAACGACATTATGATTTATTTCTAAATGGTTTAGGTTTTCATCCATAAGGTTCGGCCACTGCTAATTTGTTCAAAATAGAAAATATTGAATATTAATACATTGGTGAATTCAACAGAAAGGGTTTAGAACATTTTATATTTGACCTATTATTTTATAGTTCAAGTTTTTTTTTTTAAATATCATTTATTGAAAATATTCGATTCGAGGACAATCGGACTTTGAACACTATGAAATTACATATGTAGAAATCATTTTATTAGTTTTATATTTTATGACGTACCTGAAAGTTATTTTTGGTTAATTTGGTCGTCACTTCAAATCCGATATGACGAAACCGGCAACATTTCGTCTATAAAATATTCCACTGGGAATATGTATATGCCGTGTGGCTATAATTATATACACAAATGACGCACAACAGAAAACAACACATTTATTGTTGTCAAGAAGGTGTGTCAACAACTTATTCTAAACAATATATGAAAATGCTTGGGCTTTTGTAGATTTCAAAAAATTTTATATATATATCCGTTATTTTAGATTTTACACTCGAAAAAAATGGCGTGTGACAACGCAGAATTGTTGAGCAATTTACAGCAACATGTACTGTCGTGCAAATATATTTGTTGTAGTAAAGGTAGCAGTCGATGAGTTGTTTATTTTGAAAGTGGATTAATTCCATTTTAGGTTTTGATATCATGGTTTTCTAGAAAAGTTTACAAAAAATATTACGTTATATTCTCTACCATATTTAAGGACACAAAGCCAAAAAAGAAAAATATTATTTAACAATATTCTCAAAACAAATCCAACCCAAAACCACATATATCTTAATATAAGAAAATGGGCTTAAACCACTTTCACAATAAATGACTCATATGTAAGTGTATGTAAGTAAGTTAAGTTTGAGCGGATTAATTTTAGCATAATAGGTTTATCCATGCAAGGACTTTAGTATTTGTACCATCAAAAATAAATAGATTTTGGAATCAGTACAGTGGTGCTATTCTATTACTGCTTAACGACAGGATTGCCGACGATTGTCGGTAACTTCAAATTTTAATTTTTTGTCATTTCGTTGATTAACAAAAATATTCGGTAAGTTAATGACCAACCTAAAGTAGTCGTTAAGCCCTACCGACAGATATGAAAAAATTATTATAAATTTTAGTCTTAATATGAAAAATATTTGTTCTAATTTTACCGATATTTGTCGGTACCATTGAAAGGAGTTACAAAATTTCACTACAGAGTTCATAAAGTCCCAATTTGCTTTCCATACAATTTTTACCCTGGTATTAAAATGCCTCTCAAATAATCGGATATATTTTTTTGAGTGTATATACATGTATATGTTGTCCCATAGTTCTGCACATTGTAGACAGTCAGCTGCTGTTGATATCATTAAAATCTTTACCGGGCGTTAGAAATCCCTAGAGAGTAAAATTCAAACATAATTCGGAAATACGAATTTATATGTATTTGTTGTAGATCCGAACGAGAGAACTTAAAAATATGAACAGACATCAAAAGGAAAATTAAATACCGTACCAATACAAGACGCATGTGTGTTATTTTGTCCAGTATTGTTTTAGATTTTGCAAGGAGAGGAGCTCTGGGCAATTGGTGGTGATCCAACGACAAGGGCAGTAATGGATAAATTAATTGAAATTCCCCCAGAGAAATGGCCACAGCTGCGCGATTTATATGTGGATCACAAACATCGCGCATCATGTTACAGCACTCTACAATCATTTATCCATTGGATCACCCAAGAACCAGATTTGCCGCTGAAGATCTATTCCCTCAATGACGAATGGGAAACCAACGGAACATATGTGGCCCACTTAAGTGTAAGTATATCGTAATAACAACTGTACCGAACAACATATTAATTTACTGCAATTTACTATTTTATGTAATAGGCCTACAAGCAACTATTTTGTAATACCCTGAAGGAGGATTTAGCTGACCTGATCGAGATTCTAAACTGTTTTGATAAAGATAATATTGTAGCCGGATTCGAAGAACGCCTCATTCCAGCTGTCGATAAGCATTTCCTCGACTCGGGTTTAAGTCGAGAACAATTTGAAAAATATTGCACCATTTGGTACCACATTCCTAAAGAAGAAGCCTTAAAGTTTGACATTAAGTAAGTCACGGGTGGCGGCGAGCGAACGAGCGGGTTTTTGGTGATGTTAATTGTTTACATTGTCTTTATAGGCTACCTGAGAACATAACTACCAAAGATTTAGATGAAAGCCATGCGGAGCAAGTGAACAATGTTTGGCCCCATAAATGTGAGGGATCATTGGATTTTGTTAAAATGCTAATAAGGCTGCATAAAAGCGTAGGCATTTTCGAGGGCGACAACTTGGTGGCCTGGTGTCTAAGGTATGTGTGAATCGGGTTTCCGCCAATTATAATGTCATATTGATGAACATTCCTCTTCTTCAGACGGCCATTGGGATCACTTGGCCTCCTGCAGGTTGAGAACACCCACCAACGCAAAGGCTTTGGTTCGTTGGCTGTGCGATTGATAGCGAAATCCTTGGCCGAGAGCGATTTGGAAGTAACAGCAACTGTGGTCGAGGGAAATGTTGCTTCCAGTGCCATGTTTGAAAAACTGGGTTTCAAACAAATCGACAAAATCTATTGGCAATACAAGATCTAAAAGTACTAACAGGAATAAAAGAAACTCATGTGATAAAAAGTAGCGAAATTGACAACCTATATACTCAACAAACATATACTCGTATATCAATATTTATGTTAACCCCAACTATCTATCTATCACTCCTGTACAGTGTTGACAACCATGTATGTATATTTGTAAGTTTCAATTGAAACGGAAGTGGGAGTTTTCTTTTATCAAAATCAACTTGTTTCGATCTTATTGACGTAGAATAGAATAGTATAGAATCTATTTATTAAATATACATTAGGCAAATTAGACCTAGACTTTAATTATGTTAACGAGTGAAACAATAGACAAATATATAAATAAATTTTAGTATTAATTAACACGAGCACGTCGGTGTAATTCGTGTATGTATGTAAATTATATCTTGAAGCAATATGTAGTGTTCATACAAAGAGTGTGGAATAAAGTTCCCGACAGTTTGAATGTACTTGCACGTATACTCAGACTTGTTCTATATACAACTGATTTTGTTCAATGTTTTATTTGTTTGTTTTTTTTTTCAATTTTCATCCTAGGGATAACAACATGAAGCCACTACTACTTTATATATAATATATTATGACATTTTACTGTCTCCATCCCACAAAATGTTTTATTCCCATGGCTTCTGCTGAAATACAAAAGTCCAAAACATAAAATATCTGCTAGCCAGATATTTATAGAATATTTTTCAGCCATTATCAATTTGAAGGCCAAATTTTCCATTCAATTTTCGTGTCAACATAAGTTAGTGCCAATTTCTTAAAAGAAACAACAAAGCTGGCGATAGCTGTGAGTAAATAAACCCGTGTACATCACGAGACGCTCGTGTGAGAAATATCTCATTTTATGTTTCGGCCAACAACAAAAGTGTATAGTTTTTTTATTACGTTATTTGTTATGTGGAAAATTCTGACGGCGATTAAGGGCATGTGAACTATTTCATTTTAAAATGAAGCTAATAATTTTATTTTAACTTTGGCTACTAAAATAAATTGGATTTAATTTAATTTTGTAAGAAAGACAAATTTCTAACGAACAATCGAGCAATCGCTTCTTCGATGGTAATACAATAAAGGTTTATCAATGTAATAGTAATTCGAAGACTAGAATTTCCGCAAACTTCGATCATTTCTCCGATTTTATTGACATTTTCGACGACCGGCCTAACTGTGCGAGGTGCATCTTTAACATCAAAAATTCCTGAACGGAATCTACGAAACCAAAATTGTACATAATTGGCTGTTGCAATATTGGAACCATAAACACCATTCACAATTTTAACCGCTTGGCTTGGTTTTTGCGACAATTGAATGCACCAAACAAAACCTGCAAAATATTTTTTTACTGTGAAAATTCACCCTTCCAACGAGCATAAATCTGAAATTCTTTGATAGCTACTTTACGAGAAATATATCAGTACATCCATCTGCCGAAAGAAATGATTGCTTTTGTTGAATCATTTGCACCTATAATTCAAAAACATCAATAAATTTACAGAGTTAAATTGAAATTCTCGATAATTAAAAAATTCGTTTGAATAATCGCTAGAGATGGGCAGTGGGTAAATACCCCATAAATTGCGAAAATACTCATTAGTGGATATTTACTATATTATATCTCTAATACAACATCTTTAGCCCTTTTTCCGGGTTTCTGATATTAAATCGTTTCAAAGTGAATTGTCAACTATTTCATACCTCATATTTGGGTAAATACGGGGATCTACGCCAACAAATGCATATATTTGCATGGATATCTTGTACACATTGATAACTCTCTGTGGCAATATATAACCAATTTGACTGTAAGGTGTGGATAATAGCTATATCCAAAATCAGAAGATGTGTTGGTATGACAAATATGTGAGCGAGTGGTTTGGTACTCGGGTACTCCCTAGTACCGTGTTTAAATAAAACTATTTTGAAATGAGTTGATATCTGAAACCCGGAAATAGAGTGTAAGATGTTGTATTAGCGTATTTACCAAACCCTTGGGTATTTACCCGGTAAATACCATCTCTAATAATCGCCAGCATATTGCATTTTTGTAGAAATGATTTACGTATGATTGCGGCAACATGGGGTTTTCCGGAATAAATCTGGAAAACCACCCAGTGTTGTGAAAATTATAGAAAAAGTAATTATTTGCTACTAGCAAAGTACCCGCTACTTCGTATGCGGAAAGGGAATAAAAAAATATTTCATATGGAAATGGTGAATACCGTATAATTAGTTGTACTATAGTTCTGAGTTCCACCTCTATTCCTACATTTAATATCAAGTTTATTACCATTAATTACTCTTCATACACATAAGCACTATTTTCCGAAATCCACACTTTAGCAAAAACGTACAGGTTCCACATGTAATTTCATTTAGAACTTTTCGAACACCGTCACCTCCACTAAATTTAGTACCAAAAACCCGTTGGTCCTTCTTTCTAACTCTCTGTCAATGACCAACATTCTAAATTTTTGGTTTCCAGCTCTCTCCGTTATCCAAGTTTAGTGAATTTTCTATTCTATACTATTGGTACACATAAATTCGAGTTTCCAAATTTGTCTCCATAGCTCAATACTACACTTCAACAGTAATCTAAGTTCCAAATCTCAAGATTCAACCAAATCCAAATTGTTTCAAATTTAGTACCATTTAGTAATTCTCATACTCATAGGTATGAATTTCTAAAACTACATCAATCCATCAATCCTAATCTTACTTCCAATCAAAATTGTAAAAATTTTTTTACCATTTAGTACACATAATGACGAATTTTAAAAAATTACCGACATATCTCAATTCTGCACTCAAACTGTAATATTAATTCAAAATTTTAGAATACAGCCCTATCCGTTCACACATTTGTCAGATTTCCGGACCCATTTAGTACTTTTTGTTTCTATAATTAACAATTTCCTAAACTATGTCAATCTTACACTCCAACAGTAATTTTTTATTAAAAAATTCGGGAGTCCAGCTCTATCCGTTCACACATAATCAAGTTGTACGAAATATAGTACTATTTAGTACACATAGGTACTATGCTTCCATATCTCAATTCTATATTCAAACATCAACCATTAGTCCAAATTATGGGTTTCCAGCTGTCTCCGTTCACCCAAATCCATCTAGTGCCGTTTATTACTTTTCGTACACATAAATACGTGTTTCCAAAGATGTCTCTATAGCTAAATCTTCAACAGAAATCTTAATTCCAAATTTCAGGTTTTCAGTTCTATCCTTTCAAGCAAAATCCAAATTGTACTAAATTTAGTACCATATAGTACCTTTCGTACCAATAAGTACGAATTTCATAATCTACCTCAGTCCTACATTCCAACAGTCATTTTAATTCCCAATTTGAAGACTTCAGCTCTGTCTGTTCACCTAAATCCAACTTCCACCAAATTTAGTACCATTTAGTACTTTTCGTACAAATAAGTACGATTTTTTAAAGCTAATTCCGATTATCAAGATTCCATCTCTACACACTCAACTGAATGTAAATAGTACGAAATTTAGTACCATTTTACACTTTTTATACACATAAGTACGAATGTACTTATTTCCGTACATCAACACTACTTCCCAACCAGTATTCCATTTCATATGTCAAGATTCATGCTATATATGTTCAATATATATACAACAGGAAGTAAATTCAGTAAAGTTTAGTACCTTTAGTACACTTATAGGTCGAATTTCCAAAAACCCTTTGCACATCATTCTAACTTTCCATCAGTGACCAACATTCCAAATTTCAGAATTCTAGCTCTTCCCGTTCGCTAATGAAAAGGGTACCATATTTGGTACATTTTAGTACTTTTCGTACCCTTCTACTTCCAACAAAACTTCCTACATACCCCGATCCTACACCCCCATAATGACTGTACACTGTAGTATGAATTTCCAAAACTTCCTACTTAACCCAAACCTACACTTCACAGTGATCCTAAATCCAAGTTTTAGGATTCCAACTCTATCGGTTCACCCTCAATTCAAATTGTACCAAATTAAGTACAAGTTTCAGAGAATAAATCCAAAATAATAAGCTTGCGCTTAGAATGTTTAATAACAACCGAGGAAAAGCCATCTATTGGAATTTGTCGACGTATCAATTGTCCTATCTTTATACTTTTATGGCTTTGTATACAATTTGTAGACATGGATTGTGGCTACACTATAAAGACTACTCGAAGTTTATATAAATAACACGAGATGTCGCTGTTGTGAATTTATATTTTTACTAATTCCTCCACCAACTACGCAGCCTTTGGATACGACAATAGAAGAAACAATGTCATTAAAATCTGAAAGCAGTTAGTTTATTTACTGTCTGCGAAGAAATAATAATCGTCATCAAATTTGGCTAGTGTCATTCTTGAAAACAAGTACTTGCAAGAATTTCCAAGAAGTCGTAGCTGCTTTTGGTTGTAAATTAATTTTGTTGTCATACTTTGAATAGACGACGTTAAATCTCAAGGCAATCGCCAGTCATTATGAGTGTAACAACATGTGGACAATGGCCTTTAATTTTGGTGCTGACATTCTGCACTTGCTTACAACTCACAAAAATAAAATTACTTTTTTTACAGCAACAACCTCTTTTTTCTTTGTGATTTTGTTTGACAAATATCTGCCATTTGTTGGTGGTATGTAAACATCAAAATCCTTTCAAAATTGTTTGTATTTCAATTGTTGTACTCAGTAATTAGACGTTTATTATGTTGACAAACAAAACAGCATTGCAAGTCGGTGAATGGACCTGAAGTCTGGGGTAAATTAAATTTGGAAATTAAATCAATGTGAAATATTTTATTTTTTAGGGAGCTGAAAATAATAACAATAGTCAAAGACAATGTTATATGAGTGTAAAATTTAATTTTTATGATAGTTCCTACGCGATTCTTTTCAAAGAAGAGTCTTTCAGTATCTGATATCAAGTACTTACCAAACTTGTTATCGATTTTTTTTAAAAGAATGATTTTCAACAATGAAATCGGTGTAGTGTTCTAAGAAGTGTTGCACAATGTGGAATAATTCCTCATATA